GAGATGTACGTTTAATTCTTTTTCCCGCTTCAACTTGTTTATTCGTTATTCTCGCGGATCAAGGCGTTCGTTCGTGTATAACGCGGATATGTATCTTAATAGATGCCATTTGAATCACATCGAATCATATTTTCGAGAAATTTTCGGCCGCGGCTTTCGAAATCAGAGAAGCGAAAAAAAGGATGATTGGCAGCTTTTAACGCTCTCGACGACGAGAAGTCAATCAAGGGAAACGTTAATTTGCTCGAGTCGCTTGTCGTGTTTTTTGCAAACACAAAGCGAGTCACGGGTAATAAGTCGATAAGCTCCGCAGTACGAGGCAAAAAGCCCGCGCAGCAATGCTGCATTTTTTTCTCTCCAGCTCGCAGTATAAAGTCGATCCAAGTTGGGCCGGGCGCTCTTTGCCTCCTCTTCGTCGTCGTCGTCGATCTAGCGAAGAACGAGATTCTAAGGAAGCCAGAGCGCTATTGTCGATAAAAATTCATGCGCATAATCTTGAATAAAAATGAGAATTTCCTCAAAAAATCGTCGAGCTTTGAATGTATGCCTGCTGCAGTGTGCCGCGTTGCACCGTGTGTACCTTCTGCTTTTGTGTATATAAAGCATACGTATACGCGATATATTTTGTAAAGTAAACAAGCGCGCGGATCATCGTATCATATACATGAGCAAGCGCACCGCCAGACGTTTATATATATCATTATATGGAAAAAAAAGGATGAGTTTCAGCAAGATTATATTATGATAGGCGAGGGCCGAAAGTTGGCGCGTTTACCTTGCCAGCTATCGTCCGTAACGCGCACGGAGCGCGAGGATGCAATTGCGAAGCGAGAAAAAAAAAGAATATCTTATTATGAAGTTGGTCGTACGTATCGCAAGCCCGAGCTTCACTGCTGCGTGGCTCCTCCGACTGCGCGGGTGGGTTTTCTTCGCTGCGCCATGCGCGACTACGGATAATTGGAGCCGTATATATATTCATACTTTGGCCGAAGCGGATCGATGAGACAAGCTAGCTGGATGACGACGACTCAGCGCACGACTACACCGATGTTTTATGTATTCGTTGCATCATGGGTATGTAGCCGTATAGACACAGGCCAATACACGAGGCAAAAGAAAGAAGACACGGGACGACGTATACATGTAGGCCGTATAAGGTTTGCCAGGGCAGGCTTGGCTCGTGCGACCGAGCCAGGCCAAATTGTTCCGCACTCGTTGCGCGAACTCGAGACATTTGGATTTAGCTCTTCGAGACTCGTTACGTATACCTATACGGACTCGACTGGAAGAGTCTGCATCGGAAACAATTCGACGCAACGACGTCGCGGCTTAATTATCCTTATTAGCTGGTCGATCGTCGCGTCGAGCCTGACTTCGATCGCCAAGATAGCGCGTCCCATTAGCTACATGTACGAACGAGGGATCGGAGGAGCCACTGCACATTTTTCCTCTTTTTTTTTCTCTCTCTCTCTCTCTCTCGTACTGACCATTCAGTGGACGGACTAAACAGCGTGATTACTCGGAAATCTCCGTGGCTTCCCGATTCGATTCTCCCCCCGAACGAATATTCAAATGGCGATCGTGAGATTGACGTCGTTTTCATGCGAAGCGATTAGATTAGAAAAAAAAAGTATATTATTTTTCAGCTGGCGCGCACAGCGATAAAGATCTGAATTAGCTCGGTGGATCGGAGCGAGACGCGGGGACAGATAGATATATATATAAATTTTGAATAATTCCTGGCGCCCGCGCGCATCGATCCTTTTTATTCGGCTTCACCTTGACATTCTGTGCTTAACTGCTCGTGCGCGTATAATATGCAACTGCCTGTATTATAGATGCTCGGTGTCATCTGGGGGACGCAATGAATCAATTATTGTATCAAAACTTGCGAAACGCGCGAAGAGCCACGGCCGAACTCTCGGCTCGAGACTTTCACGAGGTTCTTCAACGATTATCCGCGTCTAATAGCCACTCAGCTACCGTTTCGAAGCATCTGTTTACAGGAAAAGCAGATTATCCTCGGGTATTTAGGCAAATTAAGCTTCACGAGAGCTGGAAATGATATACGGTGTCACATATTGTGTACTGCTCGCGACGCAAAAGTTCGAAGCGACCCGGAAATAACAAATTTGTGAGTCACACCTCGTAGTCGTCTGGCGAATTACCGGACGAACGTCGGGTCGTAAGCAACGATATGGCAGCGTATATCCTGCGTACACACAGCAGCTCCTCGCACGTATGCATCGCGGCTCTCGGTCGGGAAAACTTTTTTTTCTATATACCTATATATAGCTGCTGCTGTATAGATAGCACGACTGGACTCGAAGAGAAGAGAAGCTGCGAACCGTGGGGGGGAAGAGGAGGGAGCGAGGATCGAATGCGGAGGGAGCGAGCGAGACGAGTAGTAGCGCGCGAAAGGGTCAAAAAGTTCAAGGTCGAGGCGCGCACAACCGCACACGCCGTGGTCCGATTCCAGCTTCTCGTTTTTATTGATCAAGCTCGGCATTATGTTCGCGATATACATAGTCCATATAGACAGAAACACGTATTATGTAAAATGCATGCCTGCGATTATACTATACGTGTATTTACGGATATTTTGGTGGCTCGTGCGGATCCGTCCGTCAGCAGCGTAGCGAGGAGTAAGGAAGAAAAGTTCGAGGGCGAAAATTTGTACCTCGCGCGTGTATAGCTGTGGTTCGTGCTTTTCTCTCGCTCGTCGTACTCGCCACTCGCTCGCGGCTTTTCATACATATATATATATATATCCTCGCGCGCTCCGACTCGAGCTTATAACGTAGAGCAGCTAGCTTAGCTGTCTGTGGCGCGCGCGCGACGAGTTCTCGTATTGATCAGCAGCAGCAGCAGCGGCAGTGGCAGCGTGCGCGAATATACACAAAACCTTTATCATACCCAAGGGGTCGTTCGAAGAAAAAAAAATGCCACCTTCTCTCGTACGAGTATAGTATACGCTGGATGTGGCACACAACAAACGGAGCTGGTCTTGGCAGAACACGCGGTAATAAATGTCGTTACTCCCCGCTACGGATAAAGTACCCCGCGCGCTATGAGCTTGTTTATATTACTATGTAGCCGTATAATATGGAAAGGGGGCCGACGTTGTGCAGCAACACAAAAACACGAGTCGAGCGAGCTCTCTATGTATATATTAACTCCCGGCGGACTTGGGAAAAGCCGCCCCGTGAAAAGTGAGGCTCTCTATATCTGCTGCCGCCACGGGATCGCACACGCCGAGAGAGAGAGAGAGAGAGAGAGCTCCGTATTGTATCTTACTTAATAAAAAAAAAAGAAAGAAAGAAAAGTCCGACCGTCGGTTCATTTGGTCTGGTATACACACAGAGTCGCGGACTGCGCTTCGGTCATCGAGTTCGAGTCTCGTGTCCCTTTTAGGCTCGCTGCTGCTGGCATCGTTCATACACGACCTGGTGCTGCTGCTGCATTCAGCCAGTGCTCGTACCACATCGCTCCGAGGCAGCTGCCGGGTTTTCCACTCAGTATTATATACCTATATAGACGGCCACGGCGCCGCACGGGCTCGAGGCAGCTCCTGGCGCACGTCCAATCCATATTTCCAAAGTAAAACCATTTACTTTATCCTTTGAAAATTCGTTACGCAATTCCCTCCTCAAATGAAAAGATGACCTAATCTCCGGGTACGAGAAGAGCTGCCGCTGCCGCTGCTGCTCTGCATTTCCCCGAACTCACTGCACTGCAGCTCGACTCGAGGCACGACGAGCATGACTATACACAGCTATTGTTCCGCGAGTGGCCCAATTCGCGGCGACGGATCCTCCTATTTTTAACGATATATACATGTATAACGCGCGAGCGGCTCGGGATTATTTACTCTAATTCGCTTTCACTCGAGCGAGTCCCGCGCTCCGACTCGTCGTATTTTCTAAAGCTACTATATACATACTCCGTGTCCAGCGACGTAATTATGATAAAGCTTTTTACCACTTTCAAACTTGGAAATTTGACGTATCTTTTTGATCGGACCACGACATCTGACAATCAATACGAGCTTATGTTAAATACTTTTTCTAATTCTCGCTTTTATTTCGTCACGAGAATCGATATGTATAATAAAATAATCTTCTATACTGGATTTTTTAACCGCGATCAATGCCATTTTTGCTCAAAAACACGTCAATCAGTAACAGTATTTTCCAAGCAATCGAATCGAAATTTGAAATTTTAATCAGTCAGTTAAGTATGTGCCTATGGTAATTTTTCGCTAAAACGGCCAAGCTGCTAATTATTGACGAAATCAACTATGGACCGATAACGAAGCAGTGGTTAAATTATGATATTAAGTACATTATTTCAACCGATACTGAGTTACGATAAAGTTTCGTACAGTTACGTGTTACGGCATTTACGTGCTACCTTATTTATTACAAATTTTATCATAATTTGAGACGGAGGAACTAATTAGGAATTTGAAGCTATGAAGCTGCCAAAAAAACTTGGAAATTTAAAAAAACTCAGGAAATTACTTACAAGTTTTACACCCGCGAAGAAGTAAGCAAGAAAAGTGCAGAAACTCAAAAATTGAATATAACCATTGAAATTTTTTCCAAAAATATTCAGTAAATCCTGAAAAACATCATAAAAAATCGAAAAATTGAATTTTCATTTTAATCTGGGCTTTGCTATGACCTTAATAAACTTTTATACTTTTTGATGAACTACCTAGTACATAGGTACTTTTTCAAACCATTAATACTCTACTACACTAATGGAAAATAATCTCCAAGTTTTAATATTACAATAAAACAATTTGAGAGGCTCGCATGATTATTTTTAATCGACATAATTCTAACTCGTCGAAAAGTGTTGTACAAGTATCGAAAGTCGGTTACATGGATAACTTTTGCACTTTTATAACCTTTGGCTGAAAATGTGCAAAGCGCCACCTGCTAAAAATTGGCGCGCTCCAAATCTCGAATATAGATTCAAAACGTCAACTGAAGATTGTTGTGAACACAACGTGTTGTTATTTCAGTCTCCGGTGTCCTATCAATTTGATAAACAAACCAAAGTTAATCAAGAACTCCAATTCTTGATAAACAAAATCAAGATAAAAATTCTATGAGTTATTTTATTAATAAAAATGTAGCCGTTGATTCTTGTACAAGAAATCGTTATAATACTAAAAACCGAAACATAACAAAAGTCAAATTATGTCTCGTCAAAAGGTGAGATGTTACATTTTTTCAGTATTTAGAGATGATAAGACTACGTTGTGCCATTTTAACATTATAAAATATCATACCTGTGACAAGTTTTCTTTGTATTAAAGACATGGAAATTTCTTATTTAAAACATTCATAAAATGTTTCTGAAGGTTATAAATATTATTTGCAGAGGACTATGAAAAGTTGGCTGCAATCTTCCTTTGATTTGGATGGATTTGATGATGCTCCTAAGAAACCCAAATTATCACAAAATGGTTCCAGTAAAAATTTAGAAGCAACTATTGAGGATTTTGATGTTAAAGTTTGTATAAAAAAGAAATCAACAAATAATTTAACTTCTTTGTTGAATGTTTGTGCCCCTCAAAAACCAGTGGATCTAGCAGTTAGCAGACAGAAACAACAAGAAATAAATAGATGGTTTCAAGAAAAAATAAAGCATGGTCAACCAAATATCCTTGTTATCTCAGGTCCATCGGGGTGTGGAAAAACTGAAGCCTTAAAAGTTTTAGCAAAACAAAATAACTATGATGTTATTGAATGGACTACACCAATGGATCAAGGCATGGATGAAAACAGTAAGAAATACAAATTTTAACTCATTACGAATAAAAGTAAACATTCATATCATGAATTATTTTATTTTTAGATAGAACAGTGTCTCAAGTAGAAAAATTTGAAGACTTTATTGTTAGAGCAACTAGGTATAATTCTGTATTATCGGATTGTTCAAGACGCTTATTATTAGTAAAAGATTTGCCTCATTCTTACACAAGTGGTAAAGATGACTTTACAGTTCTACTACAGTAAGAACAAAGATTTTGTCTTCTGTCCATTGATGTATAATAGTTAATGACATAATAATTTGCATTTTTAGTAAATATTGCCAATATGGTCGAGAGCCGTTAGTTTTTATTGCAACAGAATCTGGTTCTTCCAAATTAATGACGACTTTATTCTCTCAAAGTAACCGAGATCGTTTTAGTATGGAATTTATAAAGTATTTATAAAAATTAATTTCATTATAAAAAATAATTAATAAGTTTATTAAATAACAAATAATTTTCAGTATTAATGCTGTTACTCCTACAGCATTGAAAAATGTCATGAAAAGAGTATCAAGTATTCTTAACAATAAAGCTAGTCAAATGTTACAAGTAACTCAAAATAAAATTGATGAAGTTTTGTCTAATTCTATTGGAGATGTTAGAAGTGCTCTTCTTAATTTAATATTTTCTTCTTTGAAAGGTATAACACATTAAAGTTATCACAAATTTAATTTTATATTGTTAAACTTTTCTAATAGATTGTTATCATTGCAGTATCTAAAAAATTTACCAGTGAATGTTCAAGCAGAGAAGAAACTCTTGGTCTCCTACATGGTATAGGGAGAGTTATTAATCCAAAAAGTAAATTGTGCAAAACTTTAAAATGATACTAAAAAATCATGGCACCAAATGACTATTTTTATTATTTCACAGAAACAACAACTTCTGATGGTAAGTCATGGAGATTTGTCCATAATCCTGATGATCTTGCCTCATGCTTCCAAACTCAAGCTAATACATTTATAAGCTTTGTACACGAGAATTATCTAAACACAATTGGGCCCAATATGAATGGAGCTACAGCTGCAATTGATGCTATTAGTATGGCTGATATATTCAATGCAGAGTGGAGGGTATTCAAAATTATTCTCTAGTTTAAAATTTAACAACATTTAATAACTTATTTTATTTTATTTTTCAAGGATCTTAATATGCACAAAGTAGCTCTTTCTCATTGTGTAAGAGGAGTAATGTTAGCCAATAATAAACCTGTTTCACAATGGAATCCAGTCAAAAAGCCCAACAGAACTGATTTCCAAGGGTAAGATGCAGATGAAATAATTTATTTTATCAATAATTTGAACTGTGTTATAATAAATTCATTCATTTCAATCTCTCTGTAGACAAAAAGATTATGCTGCAGCAGAAATAGAATGGTACAAAAATTATATAACTCCAAAAATGAAGTACCCTGAAATAAGTGCTGAAGATCTTGAATTACTATCAGAATCAATAATAGAAGAAATAGGTGATGATTGGTAAAAAAAAAACTTGAATAATTTAAATTCTGACAATGTATAAAGTTGTTGTATTGATGTTTAAAAATCAATTCATGCAAAGTTCAAATAATAATAAGTAATGATAGATTTCATGTTGGCGAATGTGTTTATTTCATTTTTTTAATATTTCATATAATTTATACAATTGCCACTTTTTAATTTACATATTTAATATGATTATAATCACAAACCAATATTTATTTTTAATTCTCTTAAAATTAGAAACTTTTTTTAGAGTGAAAATAATCGTAACACTAAATGAAATTCTTAAATAGTACATACATACATAAATATTATACATGTATATTGATTACTTATACTACATTTTATCTCAGCAAGACTCATATTTTTTGTGCAAAATAATATTCGTCTACTTATCTCATTTAAAACATAGATCTAATTGTAGCATTTAAAAAAGTATAGTCTCCCATAGGGTACATTATCAATAAATGTTTTTATTATAAAATACGAAACAAAAATTCGCATTTGTGCTGTTCTGTCTTATGTGAGTTTCAACATCTATATATGTACAAGAAATCAAATAATACAATGCATCGCACATTCTCTTGTTGATCATTCGTCAAAGAAATACATTAAATGGAATGTCGATCTACAATTTGAAAAAGTGTTAAGCACTTTTTTTTCACTTTCATGTTCTCTGTCGTCGCTTTTTACCTGTATTGATTGATAATATAAGAAAATGTCGCACAGCGACTTAAAAGTCTCAAAACATAAATTCTCTGTTCTTCACAATAAGGCAATTAATGGACTTTCGTCGGTGCAAAAAGTTGCAATGCAAGAACGCAGTTAGCCAGTGCATCGGGATTGAAATCCTCGTTCTATTAAAATAGTTTCTTCAATTGTGTGGTAACCATAATTTTTCAATATACTTTTTTATAACTTGCATTAACTGTCTATGCAAGAGTTCATTAGATCTATCTCATGTTGCCATTTAACGTTATTACAATAAAGTGAGATTCACATCATATTTTACGATTTATCATGATGATCGACAATAGCAATAAAGATTAAGTTATTCAGTTGTACTGTTCTGGTAAAACATAAGAGATATCATCCCAAGGATGACGGTAAAGTCCTTGTTTCAACCTTCTTTGATCCATGTAGTGACCTTGACATGAAAAAATCGTCGACGTTAGTTAAGTCACATTATAATTTTTAAATTAACATAAATGATCAATGCGAAACTCACCGATGAAACCTATGCTTCTGCCCAGGACGAAGAGACTGTTAATGGCACCAATCTCGATATATTCTTGAGCTTCTTCTCTGGTGAAGCTGCCGGAATTTCTCAGCATATCAACGAATGCACAGGCAATGATACCGTCAACATTGAGGATTAGATTGGGTTTCTTTGTTGTAGTAATTTTTTCAACCTCAAGGGCATATTCGACTAGAGGTTTCGTTGGGAAATTTTCCAATACGTATTCTTTGATGAGCTTGACTCTCATGTCTGGGTTGTTGATTGACTTGACACGGTGACCAATACCCATAATCAGCTGGCCCTTTTTACGAGTATTGTTGACAAACTCTTGTGGATGTAATCCGGCATCATAAGCCTCGGAGAACATACGGGCAGCTCCGTCAAGAGCTCCTCCGAATCTGTCACCCTGTGCAAAAAATTTTGTCATTTAATTTCGTCTCTTTTAAAAATTATGTAAGTAGTAAAATATGATAGAAATAAATTCTCATAGAACTTACGATGGTTAAAAGACCAGATACGAGAGAGCTAACAAGGTCTTTGCCAGCTCGAGCACAAACGATCGTGTTATGTGCGCCGGAAACGGCAGGTCCATGATCAGCTGTAAGCATGAGAGACATTTCGAGGAATTTGCAGTAGAGTGGTGGCAAACATCTTTGGAACCACAAAAGTGAGACAACACCACCTATTCCAACGTTTTGTTTTAGCACTTCGGTAACCGGCATACCGGCGTACAGAAGTTCTTGACCACGTTCGTCACAAATCGATGTCATAAATGATGCTGGTTTGCGAATCAAGCCAAGTTCCTAAGTACAAATAATTGATTATTATAATTTGCTCAATAAAATTAGTTCAATAAAAAATCCCAATAGAGATTACTTACCCTAGCCCAGCTATAATCCATTGGTACCGTGGGTGGTGGTACTTCTGGTTCTGGTACAACTGTACCGTCTTTGACTAATTGATCGTACACTGAGTGAATAAGATCACCCAAGGTATCGAAACTGTCAGGAACGTAGGCTCCAGCGGCTTTGAGAGCAGAATTCTTCGAGACAGCTGTTTCAAGATTCGAGTGGGCAATGGAGCCGGCATGACCGAATTGCACTTCGGAATTGAACATGCTAGCGCAGGTACCGATGCACCAAGCGATCAAAGGCTTGGTTATGCGGCCTGTTTTCAAAGCTTCGCACACTTCATATTCCTCCACACCACCAACTTCGCCCAAAAGAACGATCATCTTGGCATCGGGATCATTTTGGTAGCGCATAATATGATCCATGAATGTAGTTCCTGGGTATCTGTCTCCACCAATGGCAACGCCTTCAAACACGCCGTTGGATGCTAAAATACATTATTACATACTTTAGTTCAAAATTCGAAGAAAAATGGTATGACAAAATCAATCATCTCCTTAAATAATCAATAAGATATACCTTTGGATATAATATTGTTGAGCTCGTTGGACATGCCACCAGACCGTGACACGTAGGCTACGCTTCCTGGTCTGTATAATTTGCTGTGTATGATGTTGTCCATCATACCACCAGTGTTACCGATTTTGAAGCAACCTGGTTTGACACCTCCTACAGTAGCTGGGCCAATGATGGTAACATTCTTTTCGTGTGCTTTGAGAATGAGTTTACGGGTCATATTTTCGGGAATGCCCTCGGCTATGATAGCGATCGTCTTGATTTGTGGAAACTGTAAAGATTCAACGGCGCTGTCGTAGGCCGAGCGCAACGAAGCAAAGGTGATCATGACATCGGCATCGGGATGTTTAGCCATGGCATCTTTCATGTTTTTGTACGAAGGAATGAGCACTTCCTTGTGTCCCCAGTAGAACTTTTGCTTGTGATCACCGGTGAAAGGATAAACGCAAGCGGCAACGGATGGTTCAGCTCTGCGACAGACGAAATCAAAATCGAGCATGCTCTGAACCGCGCGAGTTTGCATTCCCCAAATGATTGATTTAGTTTTGCCAGTGAAGAGTGGCTTGTGCGATCCATCGACCGAGTCAGTTCTCTGAGCTTTCATTGGCTTCGTTGGAGAAGTAGGAGTGGCAGCTTGAGATGATGGTGCAGAAGGTCCTACATCTTGACCAGAAGGCAACAAAAAGTTTGCTGTGGAGAATTCCTGAGCTTCTGGGTCTGGGATGGGTTTCTTGCCAAGAGCCATTGCACAAATGGCAGTCATGTGAGTTTCTGGACCAAACACATGTACTGGGACTTGCAGTCTTTTACCAACTTCGCGGATAATTCTGTACAAAGAATGATATAAATTAATAACTATTACATGAACATTACAGCCATTCATATCTCTTTAAACATATCGTTAAATGGTACCAACCTCAAGCCTTCTTGATAATTTGGTCCAGCTCTTCTGACGAAGATTTTGATGTTGTGTTCAACTAATTTTGGCTGGAACTGTTGCAAAGCTTTGACAATACCCTTGAAGGTAGCTGCTACATTGGTGAAATTAGCGATACCACCACCAATGATGAGAACTTTTCCATCTGCGTGCTTTTCTTTCGTCATCAAACCCAGAATAGTTTTGGCATATTCGTAGGTTTGTTGTTCGCTTGGGGCGCCGGAATATTCTCCATAATTGGCCAATTCGCTTGCACCGCCGAGGTCACAGATAGTGTCGGAGTAGATGACGGAAGCACCACCACCGGCAACCATGGTCCAGATTCTACCGGTTGGATTGAGAATGGTAAGCTTGAGACTGGCTCCAGATTTGGCATCCAGATCAGCGATATAAGCTTCTTCGGGGTAGGCGTCTCTGCCGAAAGGTGGAGGATAGTCAATTTCTCCCCATTCTGGCCGGCAAATGAAGTCGGCGGTTGTGTCGAGCTTGGCAGCCAAATCGAGGATGTAGATGCCGTCGTCGGTTACTACCAATGGGTTGATTTCCAAATATGTAAAGTACAGATCAACGTACAGTTTGTACAGAGTCTGGATGAATTTAGAAACAACACTGAAAGAATTGAAGAACATTGTACGTTTTAATTGAGGCTTTTTCGTGAAGAAAAACGATATTTAAGGAGTAGGTTAATACTGACGGCTTTTTGACATCAGCAACATGTTGAAGCAATTGTTTGGTGATGACATCTTCTTCTGGGATTCCACCGTTAACGGGAACTTCGAGTTTGAGAGCTTTGGCATCGACATCTCCGATATCAACACCTCCTTCGTGATGGAAGAGAATAGTGTCGGCATTTCTGTGCGAGTAAATGCAAACATAGGCTTCCTCCTCGGCTTTGTGCGGCAGGAAGGGCTCGATTATGAAGTTCTTGAGCTTTCCCGAGGTTTTGCCAATCTTTTGGTCTTTGTTCATGCGCTCGGCCACCCACTGCTGGCACTGCTCGAAATCGGCGTTGACCTTGATCAGGCCGAGCTTGCCTCGACGCTTGATCAGTTGATCGGGCTTGACGACCAGACGCTCGGTGGCGAGCCATGGATGCTCCGAGACCAGGTGGGACCAATTAGTCGACTCGTCGATGCTGACGAATCGGCACTTGGCTGCGGCCGTGCCGGAACTCAATTTGCGATTGATCAGGTCTTTGCCCGTAGCCTCGCGTATAGCCTTGGCCGACATGTTTTATTTGACTTTGAACTTCGACTCTGAAACAAGCAAATCAGCAAAATTTTAGATTAGCATGCACACTTCAAGCAGCGCTTCTGCGATCGATATGTTTACAGTGGCGGAAAAAAAAATTTTTAGAACTATTGACGATGAATTGCGCTTCTACTGCAATGCGTTGGTCAATTATATCGAGCAGCAAAACATCGATTTAATAAAAATTGTAAATGCATCAGCGTCGCACGTCGTCAATCGAATTCGCGCGAGGTAGGAGTAATATGACGAAACGAAAAAAGCACGGAACTGTACAAAAAATTGCTGAAGAAAAACACGGGCTATGCATTGCAGCAACATTGACGGTAAAAGTATGAACTGCAACGTGGATAAAAAAGTGCCTATGAAAGCGCAAAGATCATGAAAACACGGAAGTTGATTGATTATTTGATCGAATAAGGTGAGTCGCGAAGATCCATGAATCTGAATTTTACAGATTTTTAATGCAGATTTTGTTGTCATGTATAAGTTGAGAAAAAAATGGCGAATCTAAATTAGTCTTCGTTAATTCGATAGTGTCGCAATTCTCAGCTGATTACTTCCGCGACTAATATGCACGAGTGAAAGTTTGTGTAAAACGTTGCGAGAAACTCTCGGCCAGTGTTGCGAAAAACATCATTTATGTACGATGGATATGCGCGCTCTTCTTTCTCCGCGTGCGTGAATGTTCGTGTGCGCGTGTATGTGTGTTTGCCAGGCGAGTGAAAAGAAAACAGAATTTTGTCGCGTGCGATTGTCGCGCGATGCGAACTAAAACTCGATGAGAAATTTATCCAGCCGAAGTACCTCCATTTTTCATTTATTCAATAATATGCAAGGCTTGCCGTGCAATGGCCAGTTATGTAAAGGTGATATTATCAAAAAATCAATCGCGCCTCTATTACTCCTCTTCTGAGCTAGAAACAATTGCGAATGAAAAACTATTTGTATCCGTCGAGATGTAGATAGATAATCGAATGAAAAATCTCAACTTGACTTATTATTCAGATCAAGGCTACTTATCGATTATTCTTTACAATTATTTTTTCATCAATTTGTGGTGTGAAACAAGTTATTGGCAGCCTGATATATTTTTAATGCGAGTTATATTTATTTATTCAAAGTTCTTTTATTTAAATTCAAGCAGGTATTTTAGCAGTGATAAAAATACTCATCAAAGAGTCGCCTTTTTGACTTTCGTCAGCGTTAAAATTAACTGAAATAATAATCGAGTATTTAAACGGTCATAATAATAAGATTTATCCTAGCTTAATTTAAAATTCATTTGAGAAGTTTCACTCGGTGAAAACGAGGCTCATCTGCCTTTCAGAAATCAAGAGAAAGAGGTGGGCAGCGGTAGAAGCAGCGATGAAGTTGCATCGCCCGGTAGATCGCCTTTTTTTTTGATTATACCAAAAACTCGACAGGCCACATTCTACTTCGCGCACGCGGAACGAACGGGAAAAAAGAGCAAAGAAAATAAATCGCCGAGAGTCAACGATCGATGTTTCATGCACTGCCTCGAAAACTGGATTCAAATGAAACGTAATTTGTCTGCGCATCGACGTCGATCCCAGTAGAGGCTGCATTGCAACGTTAGGGACGACGACTAATTCAAATCTTTGCGATCGTTTTGGAGCAGTCGCGCGAGTTTGCGCGAGTATGATGTATACGTGAATACGTATACACGTCGTTGGTAGTACGACTTTCACATTTTTACTTTTCGAGTCAGGCCACCGAACCAAGTGTGCACGATAAATAACTACCTTCGTACTTTCGACTTTCCAATGAATATCAATATTTGATTTTGTTGCTTGAGGAAGGCAAACTAACTCTTTTCCGATGAAAATTAAATTATTAAAAGCTCGCGCTTGAGAAATGCACGTTTGAACGCATTCGTAGACTTCTTTGTATGCGCTCGGCAAGCGTCGGGAGGAAAAACAACGCCAACGACTCCAAAGTTATTGTTCGAGAAACAGAGATAGAGAGAAAGCGATGGAATTCTACGACGTCACAAATTCGTGAATAAATCGACGAGTTAAGCTCATACGAGCTACCGCTTCTCAAAGAAACAGGTGAAGCAACTTCTTTTTCTTTAATTGTGTCCGAATCTCAGTGAACGATCAAAAAAACGATTATTTTCTTTAAAAATGTTTAGATCGCCCTGCTGGCTCATTCAAGTTCACCTCGCCCTTGTTACGAAGAAAAAATCGAAATTACCGTGAACGTGAATCGCATCGGGAGTGCCGTATCAAGGTTCAGCGTAGTTCACGTTTTGAGACTTTGAATTGACTCGAACCGATCAATAGAGACCTAAGAAAACAGGTTTTCACATTGAAAATTTGTTGAGTATTTTTTTTCATTTAGAAACAACATCGGGCTCTGACCTCGCACCAAGAGAACATATCAATAGTTTTCCAAAGAATCACTCCGACGCAAATCTAGTATTCAATCGCGATTAAAGATAGGTAAAAAATAGAATAGCATCGTAGATTTTATATCACAGCTTCGACTGATTAATTAACTATTTGTTACTCTTAACTAGATGCAATTATTCATCAATATAATAAATTGCGTTGAGATTGTCATAAAAACGAACCATCGACTCAATTTGTAATCTCTAAAGAATGAAATAATATCACAATCACGCTATAAATTGCTTATTAAGATTATATTGAATTAGAGAAGAGATTTAATATTAATTAATTCATGGCTCAATAAATTCTTACAGCAAATGATTTGCAGTGAAATAACAATGTTTTTTCGTTTCAACCTTCAATGGCAACAATTCATTATTATACTATCAATCAATGCAATTATAGCATAATGACTTATTGACGATTAAAGGGTGATATAAAAACATAATGGTGCCTTGAATACATGCAAATTGATATGGCAATTAAGAAAAAAAACAGGAAACAAGTGAATTTTTTTCGTAGCACACACACAGAAAGAGGTCGAAATAAGCGTACTTTCGAAAATGTAACTTCAAAGTGTACTTATTTTTAAAAAATCGCACCTAGCAGTCACCAATTTTTGGAGAAACGATAAAGGTAAATCGGACTTTGGCGCGCGACGCAATTTCGCGATCGGAGTCGCTCAAATATCAAAACGAACAGGATGATTTTGTATTGTAATTAATTCACACGCCACTCGATACGCGCGTCAGTCCGCACAAGTGAGTTTTCCCGTTTGTTTCAAAGAACACACGCGAACGCACAGTCGCAAGATATAGCGGCGAATCGCGCGACAAGTTAGTCTTCCGTACCGCGGAGCCTTCCGATCGGAGGGCCAAGCTGCGAGGGCCAATAATTAAATCGATAAAGCTCGTTTGCCCTTTGAATACTCACTGATTTACAGGTGAAAAGACGGGGGGGCCAAGACGTCGCAGTAGCCGCCACGAACGAACCAAGTTTCAAGAAAGAAAAAGAAACGAGCGGGAACAGGACGCGCACAAAAAAGCAGGCTCGCAAACGCACGTACGTATGTGTGAGTGTCTCTAAAAATAGGCCTGCAGCAGGCGAGCGATGAATGAAAGTAGCTGAGCGCGCGTGAGTGGGCGCCGACTATCCGCACACGGTGTACACACAGCAGCAACTGACTTGACTTTGAAAGCGGCGGTCGATACGCGCGACGTGTAGATATATATATGTACGACGAGAGTCGCGTACCACCAAAGAATCGTTATAGGTGTGTATGTGTAAGCTACCTGTGCGAGATTACTCTCTTTCTCTCTCTCGTCCGACTGCAGCGCGCGCCTTTCCTTCTATATGTATACTTTCACGAGCACCAAAAATCCACGATCTTGCCGAGGAGCGATTCACCGCACCGACTGAATCCGTGTGCAGGCTCGCTATCGCATATGTATGCGCGTCCCCTTCTTTCTCACCTCCTCTCTTTCTGCCGCGCGCGGTCTCTCTCTCTCTCTCTCTCTCTCTCTCTCATTTTTTCTTTCTCTTTACCACGCGTTCGATCCCGGCCTGCGCGAGTTGCTTACCTATAACCGTCGCTGGATTGGGCAGCTTCTTGTAACGACGCAGAATTAAAAAACCTGCGACACCAAAACACCTGCCTAGCCGTTAGATTTTATCTTTCTTCGAGTCTCGCGCGTTTTGAACGATCAAAGCCTCGACCAGTAAAAACTATTTGAACAGATCCGGGTTTTATCCAATCGACCAGATACACGCCTTCGAGCTTTAATACTAACGAGTTTTATACGCTTTATATGTATCTACGATTGTGACATTCGACCGCATAGTTTTACACCGCAAATTGATTTATCGCTTTTTTTTCGAGTCGCAAAAGTTAAACGACCCTCGACATAATGCACAGCAGCATTCAATGCAGATATTGATTTAAAAACCCTGGCCATTTAATGCGGTCCGCCACCTCTCGCTCGTGTCACTGTTCTTTCTGACGAATCGTTAATTGCGAACGGAAAACTTTTGTTTACGGATGCATAAACGCTCGCGGACATTATCATTTGACAAAAAAAAGAAGAAGTATCGATTAGAGTTTAATCGACCGCCACTTGTCGCGGAGCGGGCAAGAAAAACGACTCACGAAAAAATATACTAAATTAGCTGCGGTCAAAACATTTATTCTCATCGAGCTCTCTTTGGACGCGTTACTTTTTTCCCAAAACACTAATAACGATTCGAAATTTTGCCTCGGATAAAATCTCTAATTTCTTTAACTCACGTGCGAGCATCGAGCGAGCATCGTGCGTCAGGTGTAATAACGATATAGCTGTGCACACATAGGTCGATAAGAAAACGAAAAATTGAAATTTACACGATAGCACTCTGTACGAGAGCAGCAGCACGAACGCTCAATATGTAAGGCAGTTTGCCATTCTCTGCTACGATCGAGTTGTCATTCGTTCGAAAACGTCTTTAGTGTAAACAAAAAAATCGCTATAAATATTCATAAAAATAAATGCGCCGAGCTTGGGAGCGCGCAGGTCGAAAACCTCGTGACGCGCTCGCCTCCATCTGCATAATAATGCAGCAGCAGCCACAATGTTGGGCTTTACGCGCGCACGCGATTATCTAAAACTTTGCGTTTGCTCGGTAGTGACTTTGTTACTTGAAATTGGCATTATTCATGGCACGATTCTAATCTACAATGCACTTCGAGATTACCGAGTGTACATGCGTTCTCGACACTTTGACAAACTCGATTCACCTTTTTGCGCGTCGTTTTAAAAAATTCATCGCACTTCCATGTTAGCGCGAAAATTGAAACTTCAATATTTATCCATCGAGCTTCACCAAAACATTTTCAATTGAAACAGCTATCGAATATTATTTGCGATGCGTGTGCATGTTAAACATTTGTAATTGTCTTCCGTCGTGAAGCGAAATCCATTTCGAATGCAATGAGAGAGGAGACGAAATGGATGAGGGTTTTCTCATCTCTCGTTTGTCATTCGAAATCGATTGGCTTCTGTCAGCAATCAGAAGTGGTACACAGGATTTCTATCAGGCGGTAGGCAAACTTTCATCGTCGGCACGTACGATACATAATCGACAAATAAATAATTCGCCGTTCTTCGATTGTAACGAGGTCTCGAGGGAAAGTAATTGCGCAGGCGAGAAAGAATTTTTAGCGCAATTTTGAGGCAATTTTGACGGATGAAAGTCGAAATGTGTAAAGCGATGAAAATTTGGAGCGTTACGTAACGCGCGCGATATGAATTTCTCAAAATTTTACGTAAATCAGCACTCCGCGACACTCGTAAAAGTCGATATAATGCAATTGATCTCCGTTTTAAAATTTTGCAATTTCACCAAAAAAAAGGCGAAAAAAAAGAAGAAAAAGAAGGAGAAGAAGAAGAAAAAGAAAAGAAACTAAGCGCGCTTACGCGCGAGGAAAGTACTATTGCTGACGAAACTGTATTTTACGTCACGCGTACGGCAGAGAGTACTTCTTCGTATTGCGACGTATACGTTGGCGGTTCGATTTGACAATGAGTAGCTCATTTTCATGCTGAGCCGGCTTCATGAAATATTAACGAACGCGGAAAAAATCTGCACGCGATCCTCGATCTTTATTAGGCTGGATGAGTTGGTATAAGTACTGGAAAAATATATCACGAGAGCCAACCCGCTGCGTGCACATCCACGTCGATAGCGTTTCCAAATCGAGACCAAGATTGTGTTCGTCGACGGGGCCTTATCAAGAGCATCGAAATAGTTCGATGAACGGCTTCGTGCTCAAGCGCGGAGTCGAATAGTTTTTGGTCGTGAAAAAGCTGACACGCGTGTACGAGAGCAAAGCAATGCTTATAATATACACACGTGGTGTATAAGTTTACATGTATATATCTGGGTACACATATATATTTATAATGTACATGAGTAGGCGCGTAATGACACATTGCGATATAGATATGGTAGGCGAGCTTACACACATACACACAAGTTACAGTAGTTATAGTTGTGTATAGCGAGGCATATGCGCGTGTATATAGAGGATAAGACGGCAATAGTCACGTGACCGGTGGTGCGAGCGCGTCGCGCGCTTATTCCCACCTATCGTTCATTCGCATCTGCCGAACGCCTGAGGAATTGTCGTGGCGCGCGAGATAAGTAACGCAACCACCGCGCCGCGTACATTACCATTACTATCGAGTTGGCCTTGAAAATGTCGCGTTAGATCTTACGATTGGAGCACTCGCTGTGTCAAAGACCCAGCCGTCTGAATATAATTTTCGACTTCATTGATCGTTTCGAGGAGGCATTTTAAACGTTCGTTTAAAAATCGACTCTCGGCCTTTCGGTTTCTTTCTCTAGCCCGCTCGGAAACGTGTTTCGTCGGGCCGAAGCTCGACGGTTCGGAGCGCAATAAGCGAGTACTACGTAATAGTAGCCTATTGCGATGTATACGAGCGCGCGATCGCTCTCAGCCCATATTCGATCGGCTTCCACGCACACAATAGTCGGAAAGTCGATCGTCGCCGCGTACATAGAGAAATAGATGAGGAAAGTCGAGTCGGGCAGATAAGAAAAAAAGGCAGAGTCGTATTATAGAGCCGCGCGTCGAATCGGGCCGCGCGCGCGCGCTTATTACATTATACCTTATGCCGACACGGACATTAGCATTATTGCGTAAACGGGATTATTAGCATTTGCCGATGTCACGACCACTCGACTCTCGTATAGATAGATAGAGGTATGGGCCGACCGCGTGCGTGGTGCACGCGCCGCATCGTCGCCTATTGCTATTTTACCGAGAGACACCGTCACACATGCGTTGGCTATTGTTTTGTGTATATATACGCACACCGGCCCCGGCTATATATATAGCGCCTCGTAGGCGACAGACTCTCGGACGCGAATCCGTATCGCGGCGATTGACGAGCGTCGACGATCGAATCGATCATCGTTGGCCGGTTCCGAAGCACGCGAGTAGTCAACCTGTTGTTGCCGGCTCGTATACTAGTAGCGGCGCTCCAGAGTCCGCGCCGAGTAAAAATACTCAACGTTATAAATACATGACCTATGGCACGATTAAATAGATTATGCGTCGCGCGAAGTATATTATAATACATCTATATAGACGAGTGTCAGTCTGGTCTCGTGTACGTGCATTATTTTATGCGCGCAAGTATCGGAGCTCGGTGCACGTATCCGAAATCGGAGCACCAGCGGTAAACCGGCGCGTTTCTCATTCGTTTTACGTCGACGAGAGTACATCGTATGTCGTGCCACGCGTTCTCTAGCCCAAGCCTATAATAACGAGACTCTCATTGCCGCAATGTGTACAGAAACTCGATCCACGGGGCAAGCTGCTGCTGCACGCGGATCGTATACGGCTTATATCGCCTAGCTGGCATCGCGCGTTCCGCAACTAGCCGTATCATCTGCGCGTACTTGTCTATTAAAAAGTAACGGTAAACGCTCTACTCTCTGCATGCGACTCCTCTCTCTCTCTCTCTCTCCCTCTTCCGCAATTCTATTTCCGTGCGGATAAAACTATGTATGCACGAGTACGCGCGAGCTGAGTGCGCTCGCTCGCGCGGATAAGGTACTGATTTTGCTATGCGGAAAAAAGGAAAAAATAGGCGACTGACGCAAATCGAGCAAGCGCAAAAAGAGCAATTATTTATAAACTTAGAGCGGCTGGCCGAGGCGCCGATTGCGAAGTCGCGACACAACAGCCCGTTACACTTATACATCGCGATGCAACACCACCGGGAGAACGCGTGGCCCTATACACACTGCCGGTGGCCGGCGGCTTTAAACGCACCATCTCTCTCTCTATTTGCACATAATTGCCATATTGCGATGCAGTTTCAGTTGAGGTTAGGTTAACTGGGCCTTTATCTCTACTTCCATTTTTCTCCTTCCTTCCACAGTTTTCAAAGATAAATAAAAGGTGCAGCCGTGCTGTGTTTGCACGAGCGAGCCTGCACGCTACGGAGCAAAGAGATATAAGCTCCGGCACGGCCAAAGACCAGTCTTACATGCCTCTTATGCTTTATTTACTCTCCGTTATTCATCGTTTTGTACAGAGAGTGAGCAACGTTGGGCTAACCATATATACCAGTGTTTAATTCACAAAATTACGATACATCGTGAAACGTAAATTTAGATACGTGACAAGTAAATAATAATGCGAGCAGCCGTATCCGATAGGACCGCTGTACTAATTTTACAAATTGCTTGAATTCATTCCAAAATTTACGTTCTAAATTTGTACTATTGTACCGACAAACACTATTCGGGATTAGAGGCAGAGAAAAAGTGCACGAATGAAAAATCGATATCACCAAATGCCATAGTGTTTTGTTTATAAAAATCACTGTTTACATTACTCACAAATAGGACACGAATTGCGTGAAGCTTGCCAGCTGACCAAGGATTCTTGTATTTACGATGCTGTGCAACCACACAGACGTCTGCGATGTCTTTAAATGTTATAAATCCGTGAATTTTCGGAACACAAGCACGTAAGAGTCAAGATCCGTTCAGTTCGCGCACCTGGGGAATACTGATGTGACTGCTGGTCCCGGCTTATGCTACGCGGACATGGAAACAAAGTACGAGTAACGAACGCGGCGCCGACTAGTGTTCGACGCCTAGACCCCCGCAATGTTTTTTACCTTATTTCCTCCGCGTACGAATACTACTCTCGAGTCTTGCTCCTCCTCGACACATTTACGCGCAATACATACAGGCACGTTACAACGCTAACAACGCACACGTCAGTGTCTGTACTTATACTCGATACTCATTTGTACTCTTGTTCGCTGACGTCAAAACAGCACGTTTGCTGTCAAATTTGCGATACCTATACCGTCTAATGTAATTAAAAGGGATGCTTTGCGTTCTCGTACTCGTTCGCAATCGTTCCAATTGATTTTTAAATTTGTGTTCGATTCGTGCTTCAATTTATTTTTTCTAAAATTTTCCCTAGTATTAAGATCATTTAAAATTTAAAGCGTCGTCTTCGAAATAGTGAAATTTTTAAAAAATATTGCACAGATTAATGCTACTTTATTCGTAATTTAGTCATATTGTTGTTTCTTAATACAAGATAAAATATACATATTTTACACATAAATTCAAGCAAATTTTCGTGCTCATACTTTCACATTTTTTTTCATAATTAGTCTCAGGTGTAATTTAAATTTTCATGATTCCAACCAAAAGTTGCCACTTGGTTCAAATAAATTAAAATAATTAGCTGTATATGTACACGATTTTTTAAATGTCTCATCATAATTAAAATTTAACAATATCTTATAAAAAATCTGATAACATCTATAACTGCAACTGGCATGTCTTCTGCATATCCTTCATTTAAGTTATATGCTGTCTAATAACATTTTTCATAACATTTTTTGTAATCAATAAATTACAGAAGTTCATTTGATAGTTATCACTATCTTGTACACAGTATAAAAGTAAAATCTTAAAAACAATCTGGAAAAAATAATAGTTTAAACTCTACCCTCTAGTTTAGATAATACTTCATGAGTATTCTCAATAACACTGTAAATGTATGGACGTTCCATTGGATTTACTTTCAGCATGGTCATTATCAAATTTTGCATATCCTAAAACATAGCATAATTATTTATTAGTAAAATTAAATGCATTCAAAAAACTCCACCAATATCAAATTGAATAAATATTTACTTCATTAAATGGCGAGTTTTCTGGAAAAGTAATGTTTGCACTAATAACAGCTAGTGCTACACTGTCACCCCTTTCATATACTGCATCAAATGGGGATTTGAAGTAACACATTGCATAGAGAATGCAACCCAGAGACTGAATGGAAAAAGGTATATTAATTTTTCATAATTTGTAACTGGCTGTATTCAATATATATTTACCCAAATGTCTGTTCTTTCATCTACCATACAATAACTTTCAACTTGGAAAAGTTCAGGAGCCCTGTAAGGCATTGAACATCTTTCTGCAGCCAACTCTTGTAGTGATTGAGCTGCTTGAGTGCCACAAACTTTTACTCTAGCAGGTGCAACTGAACCTGTAATATCATTTAATAGATTTTTTAATATATTATTTTAATTACCAATGATTATAAATTTTAAAAAATAAATAAAATAATAATTAAAGTTAGTAAACTTTTACCTAAATCCATTATTACAGGTGTCATATTATCACCTAAAACAATATTTGCAGTCTTTAAATCTCTATGGGCAAGGGGTTCTGGTTTAGCTTCATGAAATGCTTTTACTCCATCACATATCAATAAGAATATATTGAGAATATCAACTGGCTTCATGAATTCTCTTAATCTTGCTCGTCTTTCCAATTCTTGTGCTAAAGTTCCTTTCTGTTGTGTTTAATAAAAAACAATATAAGTAAAATTATACAGGGTATAAAATTAAAAAATTTACATATGTAGTCCACTTACATGGTAATAAGGCAAGACTAATAAAACTTCACTAGTAGAATTAGTTACAGGATCAGCTACACCTTGGTAGTCTGAATCAACCAGTTCAATAACATTAGGATGTTTTACTATGGAATGGTACTCTACTTCCATACAGGCTAATCTTTGATCATCTGGACTGTGACAAACAATTCTTTTCACTGCATATTTTTTGTGTGTAAGATTATCTTCAATTAAAGATACTGTGCTGAAACCACTGAAAAAAAATTTGATACATTGAGATTAACTTTTCTATAATTGAAAGATAACTTTAAAAAAGTATCCTAGTATCATACCCTTCTCCCAGATGTTCTAATATGATGTATTTTTTGCCATTCACAGTAATTGTCTCTTTGGAACAGAGACAGCCCATTTTAAAAATTAAACTTAAACCTAAGCTGTTCATTTTGACGTTAAATAATAATTTACAAAAAAACACTAAATCATCGATTAATTTGTACCACAGATTTTGGGCATTACACTCTTATTTTGAAATTACACATCAACATGTCATCAATGGAAAAAATATGAGTTGATTTTACGTTAAGTAGGTTAGCTATGAGTGTATATTAAGATTGTATATATGCTGCTGCAAAACAGCTTGTTGACAGTAACCAAACATCACGTGAATACAAATTCAGCGATATGGTAGTGGAGTGGGAATGTTGAGCTCCGCAAACGCGAAATTCAAATTTCTATTGTTTTATTTTTGCAATTCAGTATTTCATTTCACGAGGTTAACTACGATCGCGTAAAAAAATTTTAAAAACGGAGAAAATTAAGAGTCCAGATTAAAAACGAAAAATACGAAAATTTTTATCTAGTTACAAACATGAACGAAGACCACGTATCAATGATTAAGGTGATGGTTTATAAAAAAAAATGTATTATATATTAGAATATCTTAGAATTGATCTGTACTTATTAGATGGCTTACACATTGACATTCGCCATCATCGTGAGTTATTGCTTATATTGGGGCGAACCTGAAGAATCATTACAAGATCCTGTGGACGAAACCGGTTGGGTTGCAGACGGTACTTTTGCTAAAATTCTCGACGAACCACCACCCATGATGTGAAATTTTGTGTGAATTAGGACGTGATTATGGATGATAAAAATAAATTTTGCAATTAAAAATTTGTTCATACACGAAAAGTTTTATTTACAAATTATTTGTAATAGTTAATTTAATCTTCATAATACAGTGCACACTAACTTTCAGACTTGGAGAAAATTACATTTCTAAGAACTTTTTTATCACTCAAATTTTCTGTAAACACTAATTTTAGTAGTATTATTAATCTCTTTGCAAAAGTTTTAGCTTAACTTTTCGCGCACTATATACATTAGTGAATTACAAATTCAAAATTCACTTTTTTTTATAAAAATTTGAAAATTTACTTTTCCATTCAAGTCGCTTTATATTTATTTTACATTTTTTACCGCACATTATGAGACTGTAAGGAACTTAAATATATTCCAAATTGATAAACATCATTTATTTTAATGTATTAATTATTGCAGAATGATTGTACTGAGACTGTTTTCTCGCATTAATAACCAATTGCGCATTAAATTTTCAACACAACGATAGATATTATTCTTCAGTTATATTGACATCAGTAGGAACGACGGCTTCCTGATCGTTTGAAAGTTGCGCTTGCCACATATCGTGATAAAAACCGCCCGTTGAAATGAGATCTTCGTGCTTGCCTCTTTCGACTATTTCTCCATCTCTCAGAACGAGTATTTCATCGGCATGGATTATGGTTGACAATCGATGAGCGATGATAATGGTCGTGCGATTAGCACAAACACGATTCAACGCTGCTTGAATATTGCGCTCAGTTTGAGTGTCTAACGCACTGGTAGCTTCATCAAGTAGAACGATTTTCGGAGCTTTTAACATTGTTCGAGCGATCGCCACTCGCTGTTTTTCGCCACCACTTAGACGTAGTCCACGTTCTCCAACCTGCGTTGAATAGAAATATTGTGATGATTGATGTTATGATTTTAATTTTTTTTCAATATTTAAATAATTACCTGCGTCTCGTAACTTTCTGGAAATGATAAAATTCTCTCGTGAATGTCAGCATTCTTAGCTGCTGCAATTATGTCGGCTTCTGGAGCATCAATTTTTCCATACTGGATATTATATTTGATAGTGTTGTTGAATAAAACTGTATCTTGTGGAACAACTCCTATTAATTCAAAAATTGTAAGATTAATAATTCCAATCATAGATCAATAGAACGAGGAAAAATTATAGTACCAATAGCTTTTCGTAAAGTATCTTGTTTTACGTGTTTTACATTTTGCCCATCAATAGTAATTGCTCCTTCATCGACATCGTAAAATCGGAACAATAAGCGCATAATGGTTGATTTTCCAGCACCTGATGCTCCTACCAATGCTACTGTTTTTCCTGCAGGTACAACAAAACTGACGTTTCTCAACACAACTCTCTCTGGAGTGTAAGCAAAAGATACATTCGAAAATTCAACTTGTCCTTTATCAGCTATCAATGGAATAGCATTGGGTATATCAACAACTTCTTGTCTCTCTCTCAACAAATCAAACATATTTTCCATGTCCACAAAATTTTTTTGAATAGCTCTGAAAAGTAAAAAAAATGAATGAATTAATTTATGCAACTCATTTTATTATAGTATCATAAAAATAATATACCTATAATATGTTCCAAACCAATTAAGTGGAACATACAGTTGAATGATGTAACTTGCAAACAAAACATAATCACCAATCGTTAAACCCTCTCCATTTACAACCATATGAAGACATAACAATGATCCAGTTAACAATCCGCAACTAATAATTATGTTTTGCAAGGTATTTAACATATTGAGAGTTATCATAGATTTCCATTCTTCTACTTGATATTTTAAAATGGCTTCTCTGTAACAATCAACTTCATACTCTTCAGCTCCATAGTATTTTACTGTTTCAAAATTTAATAAACTGTCAACGCTACGAGCTTTCTGGTTATTATCAGCCAAGTTCATACGTCTTTGGAATTTTGTACGCCATTCAGTAATAGTTATAGTTACAACTACAAACAAAATAAATTTGTAGAAAATTTAAAAAAATCAAACTCTAACTTTTTTTTACTTACTTATGTACAAGATCATAGTTGTAAATACTATCAATCCAAACCAATGATTGAAAGATATAACAAAGAATATTACTGCAACTAGGATGTCTACGATTGTTGGAAAAATTGAAAACAGTATATAATTCAACAAATTATTGATAGAATCAGTTCCTCGATCCATTACTCTAAGTACTTCGCCCGTTTTTCGTCCCAAATGCCATCGCAGACTCAACCCATGTAAATGTCTGTGTTACAATACATTTTAAATTAACTTATTAAAGTTAAGTTTTTTAAAATAATAAAGTAAGTGCAAAATTACCTAAATAATTCAACTTCAACTTCTCGAGTTGTGTATTGTTGGATACGAATCCACAAAAATGATCTCAAGTTATTTAAAACACCCATACCTCCAGTACCACCTCCTTGAAGAAATTTGAAACCAACATATATCACTACCAAATCCCATCTGTAATGTGAAAAGAAAACTATATAGATCAAAATCTTAAAAAAAAATTATTTTTATCTTTTATCATTAATTAAATCAGTCACCTGAACTGTCCTGGTGTTTCAGTAACACTGTCTACTATTTTTCTGTTGTACAGAGGTACATACAAATTGATGACTCTTCCTCCAATTAACAAAAGAAAACAAAAAATCACTCGTATTTGTAGCATAACACTCTTTTTAGGCCAAAGGAATGGTGCCAGAGTTTTGACTTTGTACCATGCATTTTTCCAAGTTGAAGAATTTTCATCAGGACGCTGAAAATATAAATTTTATTATTTTATTTTTGATTTTTCTTAAGATCAATTATAACTTATGTTATTAAAATAATTTTTTAAAGATATTAGTAAATGTTGTCTCTATATATGAAAAAATTTAAAACTTAGAGAAACATTTAAATCATTAAATAACTTACACCTTGAAAGAAGTTTGATTGTGGATTTGAGCCATCTTGAAAACTGTGATAATTACTTGGAGGATCACCAATAATACCAGGAGCACGTAAACCAAGACTGAATATGAAGAGACTACTGCAGTAACGCAAGACAAATAGCACCATCTCTATTTGATTTGACGGTCTGAAAATAGTATGGGTATATAAATAGCTTGCTTTCTACAGAGTAAAAAAAGGGACTGAGGTCAAAACAGAATCTTATGTGCAGATGAATAATTACATTGGCTTATATTATTATTTATTAAATAAGAAAATCAAAAAATACTTACGTATCAAATTTAAACCACCAATCTTCATTTTTCAAATTCAAAAAAGCAAGATTTTCAGCAATGAAAGCTAAAGTCCAAAATCCAAGTAAAACAATTCCATGACCTTGAGGTGGCACACTAGGTAATAATTTATGTCTCTCTACTCTCAGAATAATGAAAGAATATGGGTATACAAATATTGTTAAAATTGAAGAGAAAACCTAAAATGAACAATACGTGTAGATATTAAAATCTGAAAATTTACACAGATTTATGTTCCTTTTTACCATGTATCCATACAAGTGCTTATCATCAATAGCAGTGGCTTGTAGAATCATTCGTAGAAAACTTATAAATGGCATAAAGAATAATAGCAGCTTCTGACATAAATACAATTTACTTCGAGGTAGAGTACGTCTATCTACTTCAGTTCCATATCGATTATACATCCATAACTGAATTGAACCAAAAATTAATAAATACATAGAAATAATTGCAGTGCTGATGGTATCCATAAAACATTTTGAAGTGCCATTGACCCATATTTGATCAAATGTAACATTTGGAGGACAATAGGAAGGCATCATCTTGGAAAATTAATTTGTCTTTTCAACTCAATACTGCTAAATATAGACGATAGTTTTCAAATTAACTGACTCCTTTCCAATTAATATATAATGACTAGATATTCTACACATTTGATAGAATTACCTGTGAACAATAATTAAATTGGAATTGTAAAATGTTATGTTTTCTTTAAATCATAAAAGTTTTCAAACTTTGATGTGAGAATAATAATTTTAATATTAACTATGTAAATATTGCTTTATTGGGAAATGTTTACGAGAAGTGCTAATGTTCTCTTACTTTCCAGTAAAAATATAAGTAATTCAAGATTTTTGCACAGTCATCAATCTGTTCAAACTTGCTAACAAGCATCTTTGAGTTCCTTTAAAAATTTTCACTGGTTAACCTATTATGATTTTGTTTTATAATTTAGCATTTTTCAACCTACTTAAAAAATATGCATGAAATTTTTGTTCACTTACATACTTTACAGCACAAAGTATCGGATGTATCATTTTTTTTCAAGTAACGTAATTAGAATCATTTTACAAATCAATTTAGATAACTGAATAGAAGTTGGGTGAATGACTTATACTTCTGTGATGCAGAAATTTGAAATGTCATTTCAACGTCAGCTGATTGCATTAGCGCGTGTAGAACAAATACACGAATAAACATTTTGATACTCTTATGATTTAAGAGATTTAATTGATTATTATATTATTGAATTTATCTATTTTACATATATTGTTTGCATTTTCAATAACGCTGTTTTACAATTATACATATGAATTGATTTGCGAACGAGAAATATTTACATATAATTTAATTGTGCATAATGTAACACAATTAGTTGTCTCTCTTTGAACAGAGAGCGCCGTTCAGAGAAATAAGTCAAGTGACTTTACTTTTGATTCATATGTGTCATAATATATTCACTTGGAGTGAAAATTATCAGATAGTCATTCATATTAAGGTTCACAGTTTTAAAAAGATATATAAATGGAGTGATTTAATTTTAAGGTGTTTTTACATGAATTTCCCAAGTTTCAGAAGTGAAAAATTTACGAATAACAACATTTTTTCACTTACTTGACTTGATTTTACGGAATTCACGGAGGACAAACTAATTCACCGGTATTAAAACAACAATACGATCTTAGAAACAAAGTACCTAGTACATTAACAATAGAATATAACACATGCATCTAGTTTCGACAAAAAATCTATTAATTGAGAAGTCAAGATAATTCACTGTTATTTTTCATATCGCGAACGAGCTTCTAATTGCAATTAACTATATTAATAGAATATTAATGAGGAATCGAGTGAAGCATTTTTAAAACAATTGTTCAATAAAATATATGACCAATATTTTTTAAATTCTTTTATTATTTCTTTAGATTTTTTTATACAATTTGAATTCTTCTTTCGTGTTCAGGTTGTGTACGCGCGCAATTGTAGACCACCTAATAAAAAAATACACGTGCTTTCGAGCAGCAAGCTAGATTTTAGTGACTCGAAGTGCCGGGTATCAGTGCAGGTTGCAAAAGTTACTTTGAACCTTTGTTAAGATGGGTAAAAATAATCGACATAAAAAGCAGTTGAAATCCGAAAAAGCAAAAGTTAAGTTGAAAGGTGCGAATAAGTTTTTACCGAAAGGTACGAACGTCACAGATGCTAGTTTCAAGGCAAAAAAAATCCTCATTCGTGAACAACTTAAGGAACATGAGGGCGATCAAATTCTTAGCCGTAGAAAACTTAATTTGAAGGTGAAATACAAATTTAGAGTTTTCTAGTTTTTAAAAATAAATGAGAAAATGTTGTGTTATTTTGCTGCAACTGTTCAAAATATTTATTAATGTATCTTTGTTTTTTTAGGAATTATTAGTGAGACTGCAGCATTATAATCCATCTGTCAGGCAAGATGCTATTAGGGAACTGAAAGATATTTTAGCAGAGCATGCTATTAATGATTTAAATATTCAACTCAATTCCTTATTGAAAGGTATAGCCGCTTTAGTTCTTGACAAAGAAAGACCTGTCAGGAGAGAAGCATTGAAGGCTTTAAATTTAGTTTTGAGTCCTTTATCAAAGGAACAGATCTCTCCATTTTGTGATATTCTAGTTTCGTATCTTACTTGTGCAATGACCCACCTTCATCAAAATATAATGGAAGATTCATTGTTGTTTCTTGATTTATTGATCCAACACTGTAGTCACTATCTAGCTAATAATAGCAATAAAATTTTATTGTACTTTTTGGATATGATATCAAAACTTTGTACTCAAGCTAAGCCAGGTAGATTGTTAACAACTACCATCAATTCTAAGAACACTAGTATGAAGTGGCGGTTAAAAGTTTTGCATAGTTTACAGCAATTTTTATTTTGTGTTATTCAGCATGTTAAAAACTCTATATTAAATTCTTCAAAAAGCTCATGCAAGGAATTGCATGTGAAAGATGACAATAGATATTTTCCAATATATGATCAAACACATTTACAAATTTGGCGCCTTGATTTAATAAAAAAAGAGCATATATTACAAAACAAAAAAGGATCCTTGAATCTGCCAACATTGCAAAAATATATTGAATCGCTGATGCCATTGATATTTGACAGTTGGTTAGAAGTTTGTCCAAGCAGCCAAGAAAATAAAAACTCTAGCCTTTCGCTTAGTGTAGAAGCTGCATCATTGTTAAAGTGTATTACAAGTATCATTCAATCTATCATAGAGTATATAGAAATACTTGAAAATGACAGTAGGGAATCAGATTATATAAGTGGATGGTTCAAAAGTAAATATAATAAATCGTTGCAACAGAATTTAATGCTCAATTTTCCATATGAAGAGCAAAAATCTGGCTTCAGACCCAAGAAATCTAAACAAGAACAACCAATGCCAATAGTACCAATTGATTGTGTAGAACAAAACTTGAATTTGGCATTTATTTATTTCTGGTTTGCCACGCCTAATAATAGAAAAGAGTCTATAAATTTGGATAAAAAGTTAAATGATTGCTTATTTAACTTTTTAATCGGTTAGTAAAACAATAATTATCTTTCATTAATTGTTTTATAATATGAATTTAATAATTAATTGCATTTCAGATACAATTTCCAATTGGTCTGGTAACAATGCCTCTGGTATTTCATCTTTGAGTAAAGTTTTACAAATTTTATTTCTCAAAGCCAGCATGACAAATTACAAAGACAAAACTTCTGTAATAAATTTATTTGAAAGCTGTGTAGATGTTTATAGTCAAGAAACAAAAAAAGAACTGCATCAAAATTTGTTCTCGATTCTCTCAGACATTGCTTTAGATCACCATCTCAGATACTTACACGAGTAAGTACTATTAATATCATTATTATTTACAGTTTGTAATTATTTAATAATTATTTTATTTACTTTTAATAGAGAAAAAGCTTTTGAAACCTTTTTAAAATCTATTCCTGCACTGTTTCTGAAGAATAAAATACACAAGGTTACAATAGAAAAATTGAATGCAATCATTGCAAGATTTAAGCAGCACATTCAAAAGGAATTGCTTGATAATTATGATGCAATAATTGGTAAGTAATAACATTTCTTATTATATCGTTGATCGACGTGTACTACTGAAATATTATTCCCAATTAAATCTTCAAAGTAGCTACATTTCCTATCAATTCTGATTTTATAATTTTTAAGTAATACAAAAAAATTTTATGTTTTTTTTCAGCGAATTCTAAAACTATTAACGTAATTGGTTCGGAGAACGAAGAGAATTCTCGTCGGATGATACAAGATTTAGGTCACTATTTGTCTGGTAAAATTGTAAAATAGAATTTATTTTAAAGTTGTCTGTAAATAAATTTTTTTTTATCTAAAACATTTTTAATGGCTCACTATTTTCGAGTAAATAGATATTTAGTTGAGTATTGATAAAAAAAATCACACCATTGGTTTATTATATCAATTCAAGTAATATAATAAGCTCTTTATTTCACTAGATTCTTACGATACTTTTTGGTTCGTGAATAAATTCAGTTGTCAACATAATAAAATATTGATAGAAAGGCGAGTTAGTCCACCGTGTTGATGTCATTGTGATTCTCGAATGCAGAATTATTGATGCCAGTCATGCAGGACAGAGCGCGAGCCGCATTGCGTTGGGTCGTCGTCTCGGTTTCATTAACGATGCGCACGGAGATGGCCGACTCGGCAATACTGGCTTTCCTCGTCGTATTAACGATGTTCTCGTAACTCGGCGTCACTGGCAAATGGGGCAGCTCGTTGCTTATCGGTGGCCAGTTGTGATCCTCCTTCAATTCGTACTCGAGTCGCAAGAACGGCTTCTTCGATTTCTCGGGCTTGTACAGTCTGGGCTTGATTTTCTTTTGAATCACGTAATCCACAATGAACGCCTCGAAGGCGAGACAGATAACGAAGTTCAACACCGCCAATCCTACAATCGCGAATCTCCAATCGTACGCTGGTGGCATCTGTAGTTTGAGGATGTCGCTGACCCATTTGGCCGGATAGATGGTGATGTAAACGTTGAGCAAGGTCAGCACGAAGATGGACAGGCAAAACCATCGATTAGTGAACATGGATTTGCGATAAGGTTTGCCCATGGAGAAAACGATGGCGAGCATGGCATACTGGAAGGTGGATAGAGAGAAGACGGAGTAGTTCTCGTAACAGTCGTAACGATACTCGTCTTCCGGCTTGAAGGGCGTGAACCAGGAGAACTCTTGAGTCGCGTAGAAGGCGACCAATTCGAAAACAGCTATGAAGACGGTGTGCATCGCGATGGAGAAGAGAGGCGTGAAACTGACGAGGCTCGAGGTCGGCGGAGTCCGCGCCAATTTGCCCTCGTAGGCCTCGGTCTTGCCGAAGAAGAAGGCGAAATTGACGAAGAGCAGAATGTCCACGTAGAGAAATTGCAAGTCCGTGAAATTCGAGCTGATGGTGTAGAGGATGATGGTGCTGATGAACTCGGTGAGCGAGTAGCAGACCGTGAACTTGAAGATGCCGAAGGACGTGACGAGGGCCGCCCGGCCCTGCTGGATCACCGTCGGCACGCAGCGAATGTCCGGTACCCTCGATGTGAATGGACTCGCCACGCTGTCGACAATCGATCAAAACAATGTAGCATATGCATTCGAGCGCAATTAGCTATTTCGCGATGTTTTCAAAAGCATCCAGTATGTTCGACGATCGTTCGGTCATACGTACTATCGGTCGCGAGATTCGACTCGCAATCGGCATAATGAGTTTCGTCGTAATCGAAGCTCGCTGGTATATAATATAACTCGCATCGACGCGCCGCGAGCTTTATCTGTCGCGTACCGATTGCCTGTAATCGTTGAAATGCTCGAGAACGGCGAGATGATAGAGGCACTCGGCTTTTCCGATCCGTTTCTTTCGGCGTCGGAGAAAAAGTACGCAGCCGAAGAAGTTAAAAAGCTCGCAAAACCGGCGCGCTCGAAATTTTATCTAACGCGAGGCGCGCGCGTGTGACCTCTCGCCCTGCAGTCGGTCGTATCGAAGCGGAAGAAGGCAGCCGCGATCACGCCTGGAGCCATTCGTAACTATAAAAAAAATGTAAATATGTTGTGATGAGTTTACCTCGATTCCGCCTCGGACAGGGAGATGCCCACGTGCGCCGCTCTGAGGGCCCCGCAATCGTTGGCCCCGTCGCCGCACATCGCTGAAAATAGATCATCGCATCGTTTCAATCGTTCGTTTCGTGCATCTCTCGTGCTCGCTTGTGTTAATCGTCCCAACTTTACGAGCTCGTTTGCTGTTACCCGATGCGTTAAAAATATATGCGTCAGCGATACGACGCATCGCTGGCTGCATCTTTATCATTACGGACTTTTCTCGAAGGAAATGCAGCAAGAAATATCGATCGGCATAGACACTTTTCAAACGAGCATTAGCAATCGATGATTAAATAATTGCGCAATACGTCAATTACAATGAAATTTTTTTTATGCCGCTTCTCGCGGTGTAAATTTGTTCGGGTGTAAAAAAGATTTACCTAATGATTTTTCACGCTAACGGGTTATATTTTTTTTTTCACTCACCAACGTGATAGCCAAGTTGCATTAGCTCGACGACGAGTTGCTGCTTCTGATCGCTGCTCATTCTGGCGAAAACGACCCCTTTGGTGCATATTCGCGGCAGCAGTTCGGCGTGGTGTTCTCGCAATAATTGCCAAGTGTCGCCCGTCAGAGCGAGCTTGTAATCGTTCGGATAGCTGCCGTATTCCAAGTCACCTAGCATCGACAGGCTCATTTTCTTTTCCTGCGTGTCATTTACATGAATTTTTAATAATTTTTTCAGAAAAAGCGATAATTAAAAGATGGATCGAATGTCAAAAGTGCGTCGAATATTTAATCGTAGGACTCGAACTCACCAGCATCGGTAGTCCCTGCGCATTGAAAAATATTTCGGTGCGATTTTTATCCTGTGCGCAAGGCACGACCGATACGTTTATCACAGTTTCCCGGTACGAGAGAATTCCGCACTCTTTGGCCACGCTAATCGCCGTCTGTATATTGTCACCTGCAACGGAAATTTCAGGGTCATAAAGCGCAACAATGTGCGCATATACATAGCGTGTATACTATAGCGCGCGTCGGTGCGCTCGTGTATGTAGTACGAGCGTCGAGCGATTCGGTTCTTACCGGTTATCATGATTGTTTTGACATTGGCCTCGCGCAGATCCTTTATTACCCCGATCGTTGGCTTCTTCAAACGGTTTTCCAATATTATCAGGCCGAGAAACTCCAGATCTTTCTCTATCTCGTCGCGTGGAATTTTATGTACCTGCGCATTTTTTACATTATTTGTTATAATTTTCCTATTATACTTGGAACAAGTGGAAAATATTGACACGAGATGTTTGTGCGGCCTTATCGCGAGCGTCATTTTGTTTTCTTTCGCAAGCACCTAGGAAGTGCATCGGTTACTAATTAATATGTGCGAGGCACGATATAAAAAATCATAAAAAATTAATTATGGATTTGAAAATGATTCCAAGTTATTTGAAAATTTATTTTTGATTGCGAGATTTCCAAGATACAATGTAAAGTTCGAGTTTGGAGTTATTACTCTACCTCTTTGGCGCTAACTTGAATGTCCTTACGAGCCAGAGCGATGACCCTGTAGCCCTGCTCGGTGTAGAGCTTCAAGTTCAAGGCTAGGTCCTGGGGTACGGTCTCAGGCCGGCTGAGACTCAGGACCATTTCGGGCGAGCCCTTGGTAAAGGCCACGAATCGATCGTTCTCCTGGGGCAGCCTGGCAATGGCCGACATGCGCTGCAACGTGCTGGAGAATTGATACTGCTGAATGATCTCCAAGCAAGGAGAATTTTCCAAGTCGCTCTCGTCCTTGCTCGGGGATGGACGAACGACGGCCAACACCTGTTCCGAGCGCAGAGCCTGCGGATCTCGCAGATCGCGATCGTCTAGTTGCCATCCGGTGCTCTCGAACATCTGCGCGCATTATGAAAATCGGTATACTGAATCCAAGTGCCACTTTGGATGCGATCGCGTCAAAATTGCGCCAAAGTTCGCCGAGATCTCGGGCCTTGTCAAACACGATATACTTGTATTTGAGCACGTGCTGCATGGCGGTCGTTGCCGAAGATACGATCGCAAAACGAGATAGCCGCGCCGCGAGTGGCTCGTATCAGGCGCGTCTGCGAAGCCAAGTAAATTAATTATCGCGACTGTTGATTACCATAGAAGAGGAGAAACCGATTGCCATGTGCGCGCGACGTCTTATTAAGATCGATGAACTCGCCGGACACTCGTCGATTGACAGACGCGTATACGCGTTTGTGTGTTTATGTGCGCGCGCGTCATGTTTTGCCGACAAAAAGTCGCCCGATCTCCTCGTCATCCGTCAACACGAGCTCTTCGATTGCACAAGTTATAGGCATTTAAGTACGAGCTTATCGAGTTCATCTTTAAACTCCGTACATAATAGGAGGTGTGACTGTAATTGCGTTCACGTTCTTTCTTTTTTTCTTTATCACGATCGTTGGAATCCGATCGATGCAGTTTGAAAACACTCGGGCCGACGACGCGACGATCGGCTGGGGCGCGATGCGCAAAGTTTACAAAATAATCGGTATCTTATTATCGTATCGAGCAAGTACGAACGCACCTTGATATCGAGAGGATCGCCGCTGAGCTCTTCGTCGATCAACGTCAGACTGTGGCAGGTGAGCATCCCCTGGAACATGCTCGTGCCCTCGATCCTCCTCACGTCTTTCTCGGGCTCGAGCAGGACGTTGCCGTCGCGAATCGCCACCCCCATCATGTCCAGTCCGTCCTCGGTCAAAGTGCCGGTCTGTTGGAGAACAATACCAAAGGCAAAGTTGATTTGATTCATCGATTGATCGCAGTAGGCCACTTTTCTTCGGCACAATGAGACGTGTCGTCGAAAAAATGTTTTGAAACGGTACTCTCTCTCGCCGATCGGACATTATCTCGACGACAATCGAGCGTGTACTTTGCGCAAACTTAGAAATGTAGCGTCAGAGCTCGCACACCGGAATCAAAATATTTCATTAATCATCGAAGCGAATGACTCGATCGTGCACGATGTATACATAACCGAAGTCGTAAAAAGTAAAGAAAGAAGATCGGATAACCGATCGCGACGTATACCTTGTCGAAGCAAACGCAATCGATGCTTCCGGATATGTTGATGGCACGAGTGTTGATGCAGTAGATCTGTTTGCCCTTGAGGCGGAAAATGGCGTACATCTTGCCGACTGCCATGACCGAGGGCAGAGCCGGTGGCACGACGATCGTGAACACGGTCAGAGTCTTGATGACGATGTTGAGCGCGCTGTTGCCTCGCTGGATCTATATCGGACAGCAAAGAAAATATATCTCGCGGATGCAGTTCTGCAAATCAAGGGGGAGGGCGAGTTAGTCGATTGACATTGGCTGCGTTACCATGATGGCCAGCGTGTAGAAGAATCCAACGAACGCGACCGAGATGAGAATGGCGATGAGCTTGTAGGAGTCCTGGTCGAATTTGAAATCCGCCGGTGGTGGGTACATGATGGCGCAAACGAGCGAGCCCTTGTTGGTCCACAGTCCCGTTCTGATGATTTTGGCCAGGACGGGCTTGTCTCCGTATTGTCTGGAGGATAAAGGATCGCTCTTAGGAAAAGTTCATCGATCGGAGGTCGACCAGAAAAAAGAGCATTATGATTGATTTACTTGGACTGTATGATGGTGGTGCCGCTGAACAAGGTGTGATAGGCATGTTCTCGGGAATCGTAGAGATGATCGTTCGGCTGGAGGGGCGTCTTGGTCACCGGCACGGACTCGCCTGCAATGTGATGTATGTAAAAGTAGCCGCTTTAATAGCCGGTACTGCATATATACAGCGACGGCGGCGGCGGCAATTTGTACAATTGTCGCATACCTGTTAGCATGGACTCGTTGACGACGCACGTGCCGGTCAATAGGATGGCGTCGCAGGCGATTACGGCTCTGTGCCGCGGCAGCTCGATTATGTCGCCGGGCACCAATTCGTCGCTGGAGACGGTCTCGAAGTCGCCGCTGCTCCGCAGCACTCTCACGCTCTCGGTCTGGGCCACGGTGTTCCTCAGGCTCACTTGATTCTGTAATTCGAGCGCGAACGCGTCGCGTTTTACGTATACGCATACGTGCACAACTGTCTGTATATATATGGGTCAAAATAATACTTTTTTACAAAACCGTGCGCACGTATGTCACCGATCTTGACGCGCTTTTGGTATGTTATAGTACATGGTAAAAAGGTCCCAAAAAAAAATTTTTAGACCCCCTCCCCCCTCCTACCCCCCACTTCCGGTATAAACGTCCATTTTCGATCTATATTTTTTCTGAGGACATGAAGCAAGTAAAAAATCTGAAAAAATTCATAAAAATACTTTTCCACAATCCAAACAACCTTGAATTTTTTCAGATTTTTTGAGTGCTTCAGGCCTTCAGATAAAATCATTGAAAATTTCAAAAATCGAGATACGGCGGTATGAGCCGATGTAGTACTCGGAAATTTTTTCAGTTATTTTTCGCATTAAAAAACATAACCTCAATTTTTTTCAGATTTTTTCAGATTACCTAACGCACCTTTTGAAGCCAAAAACCGATTTTTTTGACGAAAATAATTTTTTTAGGACAGTACGGAGCCTCGAAAAATCTGAAAAAAATTTTTTCTTGTTTTTTTCATCAAAATACGTAATCTCAAATTTTTTCAGATTTTTTAATTGAAGGCGATAGCTTCTAGGGCCGAAAAATGCTATTTTTAACAAAAAATGGTTCCTAGAACCCGATGGTTCCGGTGAAAAAATTTGAAAATATTTTTTTTGAATTCCTTGTCAAATTTTAATAAATTTTGACCGTTTCAAAAGTTCGATTGAAGCTTCCTAGCTCATTTTAGAGCAGGACAAAGATTAGTGCAAAATATCTGAAGACGTTTCTGAAGACATTAAGGAATGATAAAACTCGTTTGATGCTCTAAAATGAGCTAGGAAGCTTCAATCGAACTTTTGAAACGGTCAAAATTTATTAAAATTTGACAAGGAATTCAAAAAAAATATTTTCAAATTTTTTCACCGGAACCATCGGGTTCTAGGAACCATTTTTTGTTAAAAATAGCATTTTTCGGCCCTAGAAGCTATCGCCTTCAATTAAAAAATCTGAAAAAATTTGAGATTACGTATTTTGATGAAAAAAACAAGAAAAAATTTTTTTCAGATTTTTCGAGGCTCCGTACTGTCCTAAAAAAATTATTTTCGTCAAAAAAATCGGTTTTTGGCTTCAAAAGGTGCGTTAGGTAATCTGAAAAAATCTGAAAAAAATTGAGGTTATGTTTTTTAATGCGAAAAATAACTGAAAAAATTTCCGAGTACTACATCGGCTCATACCGCCGTATCTCGATTTTTGAAATTTTCAATAATTTTTTCTGAAGGCCTGAAGCACTCAAAAAATCTGAAAAAATTCAAGGTTGTTTGGATTGTGGAAAAGTATTTTTATGAATTTTTTCAGATTTTTTACTTGCTTCATGTCCTCAGAAAAAATATAGATCGAAAATGGACGTTTATACCGGAAGTGGGGGGTAGGAGGGGGGAGGGGGTCTAAAAATTTTTTTTTGGGACCTTTTTACCATGTACTATAACATACCAAAAGCGCGTCAAGATCGGTGACATACGTGCGCACGGTTTTGTAAAAAAGTATTATTTTGACCCATATATTGTCGCCAATTCATTTATGTAAGCGCTTAACGCGTCGTCGCGGCTTATAATTGCAGCGAGGTATAGCCGAGCACAGGCGAGAATTTACCGGTGGCGTGTACACAGAAGCACACACGTACGGCTCATTATCGTTACAAGAGCATCGCAATTAGTGCGTACACGCGTTCGTATATACATAAATACGTGATACAGCAGTCGTCGCGTGTTAATAAATTTGTATTTCTATGCGAATCGTCGGATTATACGTTTTCGCGCGCCTGTCATATTACACGCGATTTTTTTCATTTTTTGCTTCTCTCTCTCTCTCGCTGGGATAAAAAATGACGTAGCCTTGTGTCTGTGTATGTAGTATGTAGGCATGCGATCGACTTACCGCTCGAGTCTGCCGAATCGACGTGATGATGCCGCAGATGGACATGCACATGACCGCTATGGCGTACTGGTAGTACTCCTCCAAAAACCACACGAACAGGCTGAACACTTGGAAGACGTAGAACGGATTCAGGATCTCGAGAAAAAACAGGACCTCGTAGCCTTGGACTGGTACAAGAATCTCGTTGAAGCCGTACATGATGCGTCTGTGACAATACAAAGCGCACGCGTTACGTTGTTTTCTTTTTCCTCGTTCATTCCTCGATGCCATTTATTTTTTATTTAAAAAAATAAATAAATATATTCGATGCGTATTTCGAATAGCAGTATATGTAATAAACAGCGACTTGTAACATTTTTTGCCTAGCGCAGCAAATTCAGCCGTGAGCTGCAGTGGTACTTTCAAATGCAATCCGCAGACGATATTGCGTGAGTCATTCGTGTGTATGTATATAATAATATCGTCGCATGCACGAGAGCCTCGCGAGAATCGAGTTAGCAAGAATCGTCAAAACAAGCAATTATCGTACCGTAAGAGCTGCTCCTCGCGAGACAGTCCCTTGATCTTGTCGCTGTGCAGATCTTTGCAGCGAGCGTGCCTCTCAAGACTCGCCAGCTTGGAAAATTCGGCCAGCTCCTCGTCCCAGACGTAGCACTGCTTTTTGCACCAGAAGGCCTTGTAATCGAGCACGAGCTGCTTGCAACCATTTTCCAAGTTGAGCTCCAGCGGCCGGTTGCGTATCTTCTCCAGCAGATCCTTGTCCGTGTCCACCGAGCGCCGTCTCAGCGTGTCGGAACTGGACAAGTCATCGTTTGAGCACAATTATTACATGACATCTCTCGGCGCGCTTCGTGATCGCGAGCGAAATTAATTCACGTTTCTCGAAACTGATATTACTGCGGCGTGGTAAACGAATGATGTAATGTATGCTTCGATCGACCGTGGCATGGGGCTGGGGCCAAACTTTAAATTTTAACTCGTCAATTCCCAGGCGATATTTGTACTTATTGTTAATATTTTTATTTTTTCAAATCACGTAGTCCGAAAACACCCGCCAATTTCTTCAATTCGCGACAATTATCGACAATTATTCGAGTACATGGGCTACGTAAATATGCGACGGGTTCAACAAAAGTTACATTTTCAGTAACAGCTACTACGGGCCTGAGCGCAAAAAAAATTGATCATGACGTTTGATGGAAGTGGATGATGAGAGACAAAACGACCAACCTCAAATTACGAGTTGATACTATCTTTATTTCCTTAACAGTATAAGACTTGTATTTGCCTTGATAATCGTCCTGTAAAAACGTTAATCATAAAATCCTGTTTTAAATTTCAGTGCGTAACAATTAATTGTGTGTCGACAATAGACTGTCAATGTTTTTATAGAGCATGTGTGCTTGGCAATATAATGTGTAATTGGATTTATCAGATTTACACAAAAGTAAAGCTCCCAAACAAATCTCCAAAGTTTTGAAATTAATGCCCGACACATATAAGTCAAACATCAATTTCAACTCGCTCGTTCGCGATTTGTTTGCAATTTTGCTTTTAAGCGATTTCAAAAAGGTGTGTAATATACGTTTGAAAAAAAGAGCTTGCCTAGCAATTAAAAAAGCCGGAAAAATCTTACCACAATGAGTATTTTGGTGGCGCGACTCAGGCCGCAGCTGCGATGAGTCGCGTACAAGTAGAGATGCGGATACCAGTGGAAAAAGAGGCGCAGAATGCCAGCGCTAAGTAGACAGGCGAGCCAAGTCGCCGTCGTCCTGGCCCAATTGCGCTCGTATCCATATGCGGTCTAAAAAATCGTTCAACATAAAGAGATCGTATCGGTCGCTGTTTCCTCGAATCGGGCTGTTTTTGTTTCTTATCAGTTTCCTTGTAATTAATGCAACAACACTCACCATTTGTTCATCTTGGCTATCTTGAATTTTCTGACAAGTCAATCCGAAGTTTTTCACATCTTTCAGATCTACAGCCGCGGCAGAGATAATGAAAAGTAAGAGAGAAAAATAAATAAATAAAAAAATCGTCTGAGAGAATCGTGCGCATTTGAGAAAACGGAAAAAAATGCTCGTCGCGTACCAAAGGGGATTAACTTACCATTGATGCTAGTCATTACGCCTTGGGTTATCGATTTTTTACGATCGAACCTGAAAAATGACGAACACGGATCTTTATCGATTGTGTTTGATATGCACACAGCAACGAACAATTGCGATTATATTATATGGCAGGCGTGTGGCGACGGCTAATCTTTTTATCGGCGAGTTATTGAAATGTTTACATGCCCCATCCGATGGCAGTTATAATAATTATACGAAAACAAAAAAAAAAGGAGAAAAGCATCGGTGGTCGCGCGAATGTGGATCGCGGCTCTTATAGCGCGAAAGTAGATCAAAAGTGTTGTTGCGCTCGAACGATAAGCCGCGGAGAGCATAAGTGCGCTAGGATTGATGCAGCGCAGACTTTTAAGAATGACAATCCTCGTCTCTCTCTCTCTCTCTTTGCGGTTGTTATACATAGTCAGACTGTGCGGGAGCGAATACACTTGCAATTACCGTTCGCGAGCGCCTTTACATTACTTTGGCATTTTATGATCGACGTTGAATAATTGCTCGAGACGAGCTCACGCAGACAATTACCGTGTGTCTCAAATGTTCCGCTTGCCACCGACGCTTATCGAGTATATGTATGAATTTTACTTGCACTCGTGCGCCTCGTGGCTTGCCGCGCGCGCAGTTATTTTTAATATTAAATATTCACTTTCGTAATCTCCTCTCGGGCCGATGTATCCGAGATGGCACAAAAAAAGAGCCGAACTTTGATGAATAGTAAATTTTTGCTTTAAAAGATGGAGCTGCATATATTTCTTTTTCGTCGAGGTGTTGGCTTCGAGGCACTATAATATTTACTATTTTACGATTGACCGAGCATGAAAACACATTAAAGGATAAGAGATTTTAGAAACCGTTTTTTTTATTTTATCAAAGTAGTATTTCGCGAGGTCGACAAGTAATCTTTGATCGTTTATCTGTATTTACTAATAGGTATTATCTTTACAGCTACATCATTAAACTCTGCCTCGAATAATTTGAATTTATAACGATAGCTCTAAAAGTAACGCGTAATGCGAATGAGCGTGTAATTTATATGTGGCAAGTGGATATACTCACGTCAAAGAATAAAAAAAAGATAATAATAAGCTTCGAACGTTGGTTCGAAATGGCACTTGTTTTCACTTTCACGCTGTTTTTTGTGTGCGTCTCGCGGCGTCGTTTCGCGTCAGCGTTGAAGCAGCTGCAGCACGAAGCTCCGAGTCTTTCGCCGAGTCTTGTTGCTCATTACCAGTATTCGGATCAAGCGAGGCCTACTCCTTGGGAGACGCCAGTCTGACTTCTCGGACCAACGAATCCGAGAGGCACAAGATCCTTTTGATCGACAAATTTTCGAAACTTTTGAACTATTCGACCGAATAAAAATGCCCACTGCCGCCTCTGCTATGGTAACTCGACGAAGCAAGAGCTCGATACACTGCTGCTGCTCTCTTGTTCGTCAACGTCGAGAGAATATCCGCACTGCACGCACTCGAGGTCGCGGGGCCCGCGCGTACACAGCCAATTGCGCGAGGATCGCCAAAAAAATGCCTCTGTGAAAAGCCGCGCAGCGATCGGTCGGTCGGAACTCGAGCGCACGAGTCAAAATCGTCTACGCATGTCACGAGACGTATGTATAGCAAGTAGAATAGAAGCAAAGTAAGCTGCAGAGAGCAGTGGCAGTGATGCACTGTAGCGCGGCACGCGTTTCGAGCGATAGAGCTTCACTGCTGCTGCTGCTGTCGGCGGCGTCGTCGTCGGCGACTACTGCGGCCGAAGGAAGGAACGGACGACGCCGGCTGCGCCGCACTCTCGTAATGTGTACACACTCGCACGTCGCTCGTGTATTATAGAACTCGCGGAGCTCTCGTATACTGTATTATGTGTATATGTCGTCGACCAACACACGCACGTGCCTCGGGACAGATATACACGAACAGAACGAGATGCCCGCCGCCTATGGGCACGCTTTAATTTAAAATCCCCACGCGCCGCTCGCGTCTTATAGCGCGTTGAGTGTGTATATAAGTACGATTGTGTCGGCGCACAAAATAAGCTTATGTGCGCCTGTTGCGCTGCGACGATCGCTGCTCGTCGGTCACGCGCGCGTCGCTTGTACCAGCTCCGATCCACCTCCACGTGTGCAGCTTTAGCCTGTATACACTGCTGCGATACACATTAATATTATGCGATAACCGATAGGCGCGCGACGTCGAATACCGCGTAGTAATCGGCGCCGGTTCCACCCGGTTATTGCCGATTTCATCGCGCCGAGCGAGACTTAAAGTTTATTAGTTCGCGATCGAGACGTAATTTGCCAAGGCTGCCTGCGATCGACAAACGCTTTGCGTTGCGCAAGGAGCAAAGCGGCCCCCCTTTTTTCATACGTGCAGCTTATTTTTCAGTCTAGCTGCGCGTTGAAAAAACAAAAGAAAACATCAACGATCGATGTGGTGTACGTGCCGATCTACTGCGCTGCTTCGAGTCAATTGAAGTATCGTGGTCGTGTCGCGATCGATGCGATATACGTATACCCGAAACAGCCGAAAACACTGACTCACGGCCTGATGAAAATCATACATTCACTTTGATCATCTAAACTGCGTATGCATGTACGATATGCGGGGCTCGCTCGCTGACTCGATAATCGTTCGCAATTGAGAGGATCGCCAGACAGGCAGGCGGGCGGTCTGCATCAATAGAAAGTCATCCTTGAAAAATCGGCTGCTGCTTCGCTCTTTTTTGACAGCGCGTCGAGCGAGCTTCTCTATACAGCTAGAAGTCTCCTTTTTCCTCGTCAATGATGACATTCGCTTCTCTTGGGTAAAACGAGTCTACGTATCGCTTGGGGAGCGGTAAGCGCGAGATTGAATTAAAAACAGAAAAGAGAGAGAGAGAGAAAGAGAGGAGAGATCGATTCGTGGACTTGCGAGTCTCAATTGCCGATTGCTCTATACTCCAATATGGAACAGATAATATACAATGTAGCGGCGAGCCGCGGCAGTAATTCCCAACTCGTGATTTCTGCATCGGCCGCTCGGTCACGTGCTGCACATGGTGAATCGAGGAGTAGTAGCCATGCAAAGCTCGGCACGACGATCGAATTTCGACACGCCAATGGATACGATGTATATTACGAACCTATACGTCTCTTATCGTTATCTCGCCTTCGCGGATATAATACCGATTGCCATAAGCTCTGTCTAGTGCATTATAATAACGCTTTGAATACAGGCTGACAGAACGTGACGTGGGCCTATTAACTACCAAAACAACGATTATCAAACGACTATCAAGATTTTTCGTGGTGCACGCCCACAGCTCTAGTTATAATTATTCCGCTTCGTAATTATAATTCATTTATTCGTGTTACTCCTTACCGATAAAAGTAAAACGACGAAGGCTAGGATTATATTATAGATCGTTTACTTACGCTGTACGAGATTTTCGGATTATTATGATTTTGTGTTTAACGAGCATTGCTCTCTGACGTCACAATTTTTATCTTCAGCAAAGAGTAAGTCTTGTAATCTCTCGCTGAATAATTATTAAGTGAGACTAATTACAAATTTACATACTTCATTATTACTTATTTTATTTTTCTACATGAAAATTTTTACACTTTAGGCTGGGTTTTTCAAAAAATCTGTTTATCTTCTTATTTATCGAGCATTTGTTTATCATTCTCTCAAGTATGAGGCAATAGATCGCAAAAGTGGAATGTGTAATTCAAGGGCATTGTAAAGAGTTATCAGTGCTGCTTTTAAGCATCGTGCTGAAAAAAAGAAAATAGACTCGAGCTTTTATCGAGCTCATTAGCTCATGGCTATAAAATAACAAAAGAACGGTTCTAACGACAAACGAGCGACTCTTGTCACCGAAAAGGGCCGATTGGTTCTAGAATTCTATTACAGCAAATTGATCATACCTGGCGCTAAAATATTCGGCGATTGCTTTGGTTCCTTTGCTGTATTGAACAGCTCTGCGTGGAGTAGGAGCTCGATGGCAGTCTGAATCTCCAGGGACGTTATAGTCGATATTCGTATCGTCACCAACGAAAGAAAGACAGCAATCTTATAAAAATGTGTTTTTAAAGGGCTTGTTTATTTATGTGCATGAGCTTGTCTAATCGGAACCAATTATTCTACGATTTATCGTTTCAGCAAGAGAGCAAGAGCCCGTGGCATAAGGGATAAAACGGCTTTTGATTTTTTTTAATTTTCCGACCAGTTATACAATTTCTTTATGAATATAAATTCAAACGATATAGCGACGAGTTGAGTAAAATATTCACGATCAACCAACTTTATTAATACAACCTACTTTACTAATTCAATTGCGTATTACGAATGCGACATCTTTTGGCGACTTATTAAATCCAGGTTGTAGCGATGGTGTTCATCGCTACTTCTCAAAAAGCTCGCTCTCCCACCTTGAAAAGTAAGTTTAGAATAGAAGAAGAAACTAAGAGCTAAAAGTCTTCACTAAACCAAGAGGCCATTTTCCCAATTTAGAAAAGTCATGAAAAATAATCTGAAAATTTTTACTGAAAAGTATTTCTCACTACTTCTATGTTCATTTAATTTGTATATATTTTCGCTGAAGTCGTTTGGTTTCAAACATAAAAAATGCAAAGATTAAAAACCTTTTATAAAAAAATTCAAGTTTTAAAAAAGCAACATTTTTCAACTTTTCGAAAATGAAGAACTTTAGCGAAAAAATCATAAAAACAAAACCATAGTCTTGGAAGACCAAGTAGTTCAAAAGATATATAATTATAAAAAAAGGTATTCTAGCTGCTCCTCTATTGCGTGACCATGGCTCAAGGTGATGTGTTGCCCATCATCCACTCTGTTTCTTACTCGTGATAATGACTGTTATTAGGACTGGATTTTTTTTCCAGAACAATGTTTAAAATGAACAAAATAATTCAAAACTGATAGTTGAATTTAATAATGCACCGAACTACGTCCATGCAATTAATTATTATTGAGAAATTTCTTTTAAGACAAATAAGGAAAAAGTACCACAATTTTGTAATCTTCATTATAACTCATGCGTCAACGGCAGTTGATAAAAAATGTTTACTTTTTAAATCTACCTATTGAAAATTACAGCTTATTGTTTACTTAATTTCATCGTTACAATCATTTTTACTCTTGATTTTTCATCGGAAACTCGTGTAATTTTATTAGGTGTAGATCATAAATCTTTATTGGTATTTTTATGCAGAAATAGGCATACATAAAAACTAGTCTGATAAGTGCAGAAATCACCAGTTCTTTGTCGACGTCCTTTTAATATGCGTCAAATAATCTGTTTCAAAATAATAAAAAATATTATCAATCGAAAATTGATGTTTTCAAACTCTAACCGGTTTCATTCGATATTATTCAGCTCTGCTCAAGACAATGTGATGTTAAAAATTTACGACTTTCTATACCAGCGAATTCAAGTGAGAGTATCTATGTATGCCGAGGTTACTCGATTATTTGTCGCGTACTCGCTATTATACTCGTATTTTGAAACAGTTCATTCATTAAATCTTTTATGTTATACATTTTTATGTTATAAATTTTCTCTGTAATTGTTATGTAATTCATGTTATTCGTATAAAAATTTTAATGGATCGTATACGTCAGCCGCAAAGATGCAGGTCACTTCTTAATTAGTGGCGATCTCACTGTTTTTAAAATGACCTGTTAAAATGACTGAGGTTCCAAATCTAAAAAATTGTAATTAAATAAATTATAGTTAAATAAAATGAATAGAAATGTGGACCTGTATGCTCTAAATCTAGTCTTAGCTCAAAGTAGAAAGAAATTTTTGATGCTTGATAAACTTTGCTTCTTGAATAAATCGTTCCTGCGTAATACAAAAAAAAGTCTGTAATCGTCGCAGATGACAGTTTTCGAGAATGAAAACAAACGAGAATCTTGATAAACATTGAAGGTTAAATTAAAATAGTAATAAGACGTGAAAGTTGATGAGTTGAGGCGGGGAAGCGCAGGTAGGGTCGAAAAGCGTCATGAGCGACTATCATCACCACCATCATCATCAGCAAGAAACGGACAGATGGTCTGGGGGCTTGATACGCAGTTACTCCGAGCACGCGGCCCTCGTACTGCAGCACTATCAAAATCATCGGCCTCGCGCGTACTCCGACAATCTCAAGTGCACCCGCTCCGGGCCGGACTTTCGTCGTCCCTACGATGACGAGAACGACGAGGAGGCGCGTCAAGAACAAGACTCTCGAGCTTTCGCCAAAATTACGACGAGCGCGTGCTCCATCTACGCCGACGAACAACAGGATAACGACGACTCCGATGGCCAGCGGACCTGGTGAGTCGTCTCCGACAACCCGATAAGTTTACTCTTTTAGTGCGGATCAACTAGCAATTTTGCTTCGTCAAAAGTACAAGCGTGAACTCGAGCGAATGATTTTGATTTTACTGTTTAAAATTAATCGTGTAAAAGTTCAACCCTCTTAAATGCCCAAGATGTGTTTAGGCATTTTATGTGCATAATTGTTTCAAAGGAGAATGCCCTCGAATTACGAGTCCAGTTTCGACGAGTCGTCCTTTGCTCGGCGACGCAAAATCGGCCAAGATGGAGCTGGAGATTCGAGTGCTCTAACAACTGACATTTCTCAGCTGAGTTTGACGGACGAATGTCAGCCCCAAAAAGTCGTCTGCTTCGAATCGGCCAACACTCTGACTAGTCAGGAAACACATTCATCGGTCGATCGACGCTGTGTCATTTTCGATAACGACGACGAGCACGACGACGAGCATCTCGTATTCGTCGAGGACGACGACGACGAAGATGCTACCTTTGAAAGCGAATACCAGTTTGAGCAGCATCCCGAGTACGATTGACTTATTAAACAATAACTTTGCATTGTATAATTTTTTCACGACTTTTTTTACGTAAAAAAGCTCTTGCCAGCACGGGAACTTGATAAAGTTATTATTACACAATTATTTTGATTATAATTGTTTTAAAAATGATTATCGACGTTCGCAGCAATACCCGTAGTCCCGAGACATCCGAAAGGACAGTAAGTGCCACATCACTACAGACGTTCCCTGGCCAACAACGTGTAAACGGCGCACCGATATCGCGCTTCATTTCGTACGAGGATTGGGCCCAGGAAAAGAAACGCGAACTTCAACGACGCAAAGACGAAGAGAAGCGCCTGGAAAAAGAAAAACGAGAGCTCGAAGAACAGCAACAAAGAGAAAAAGAAAAAAGGGATCGGGAACGTTTTCTGGAATGGTATCAACGCAAGAAGCGAGAAAAGGAAAGGCAAAGGAAGGCTGCTGAAAAAAAAATCGGCATTCAGAGAAAATTGAAAGATTGCCAAGAACAATTCAGGCATCAAAAAAATGATCTCGAGTTGAAACAGTGGTGGAAGAAGAAGGAAGAGCAGCAGAAAGGTATTTGAGTGACTTGGTTATTTTTTTTTTATAATTAACGCGTTTTTATTTACATTAAAATTTTACAGTTTTTTTTTCTTACTATACCAACATTTTACATATTTCATAGGTTAATGCTTATGTTAGAACGCAAGATAATAATAAACAATAATTTGATAAGATAACATCAAAGTACCATTAAATGATTTTTATTCGTATATACGTGTAGCTCTAGAAGAAAAAGAAAAATTGAAACGTAAGAAAGCTAAGGAGGAAAAGGAAAAGAAAATTCAAGAAAGTTTAAAAGCTTATAAAGAATGGAGGGAAAAAGCCAAAAATGTACCAAAGCCTGCAACACAAGGATTATTGCGTAAGTATAAATCGCTACTCGTCGTTATTCGACCGATGTTGTTTTTATGTAAAATTAATTTTTAGCTCATCAAAAAGCCAAGCCAGCCTTCACTAATCCAACACCTTGGCAACGCTTGGTAGACAATGGAAGCGATGATTCTGATAACGATACCAGGTCGAAAGATGTTGGATCGTGCTTGGTAAATCAAAAAACATCGTAAAAAATTAGTTAAAATAAAAAAAAATTTTAAAGTCTGGAATGTACAAATGTTTGAATTTTGCACGATTTCAGAAAAATTGAGTGAAACCAAATTTGCACTTGAATTATGAGGGTTCTTTACGTATCTGCTGCAGCTGTCACTATTTCGTGTAATAATAATCGATACGATGTGAGCAAGTCGTGCTTCAGACGTCGTTTGTGTTATTACCGGCTTTTTCGAATTCTTTTGTTTTTTATCATCCATGTTTTAGCTCAATTTTTGATAATATCTGCTGTAGCAGCGGTAAAAAAATTCTTTAATACTGCGTAAAAATTTGTAAAAATTTATTTGACCAACTTTAGTCAAACTTCAACTTTTTCATTTTTAAAAATCTAATTTTTAATTCGGTTTATATAAATGATACTTAGGACAGGTGCCATATTGCAGAGTACCTCGGCCAGTGGTCAGTCGTCAGAGCTACTTAGCAACATAACTAATGATGGATAATTGTTCTTTAACAACGCAACTTTTTCGTTTGAAAATTACAGCAAAAAATTTGACGAAATACTGTATTATAATTTTATTTTATAATATCGAAGTTGCTTACGTATTTACACAAATATTGCCCTTGTATAGAAACCTTTTTTTCTATTCAGATTAGATACGACTTATATGTAATACTATAAATGGTGCATTCAAGTTGAGACCCGTAAACTTTTCATGTTTTTGTTGATTCCTCTTCCTCTTGCATTTCTTTGATATCGGTTTTGTTCATGAAATAATAAGTCGGCTGCCGCGATTTCTAAAAAAATATTGATAATTATCATCCGAAATATATCTTTTCGAGCGTTTCTCTTACCAAGTCTTTTTGTACTCTTCTTGCTCCTGCTTGTATCAATATATTACTCAATTGTTCCACCGAATGAACTCCCATAGCATAGTGTAGAGCGGTCCTTTCCAACTGTAATAATTAGCACCAATTTAGTTTTCAAAGTAATTTAAAATGTGCTTCTAGCTCTTGTGGTTTTGCATTCAAATTTTTAAATTTGTTATACATGTGCAGATTAATGCTTTTCTTGAAATAAATTTTAATGTAGTTTTTGAATTAAGAAAAGTAAATTAACGCATGCGGTGCAATCTAGCGGCGACGTTAATGTCAAGGTTTCAATTTGTAATTATTTAAATTGTACAATTTTCAACACTTTAAGAGTACATGGCACAAGTGAAAAGCTGAAAAACAGATTAAAATTCGACTTACATTATCGCCGGTGCGTAACGTTTCAGGATAATTTTTAGCGAGATAGCGCACGATGTCCTCGTGTTCGCGCAACACAGCGATGTGTAAAGAACAGCGGCCAGTGGTGTTTTTACCGAGTGCCAGTAGCCGAGCTCCGTCTCCATTGGTCTCCAGTAGTTCTCGTGTTTTCGCTCCGTCGCCGGCCCTGATAGCCTCGTGAACTTCATTTCTCAAGTCCTGCCAAAATTACATCGAATTATATTTATCAGCCGCTTGTGGTTCATTCGAGATGTAGGAATGTTCAATGCTCCAAAACTTACGGTATAATTTTTAATTGATTTTAGAAACTCTACTGTTGATTTATTGTCTTCTTCTTCGGCAATTTGTAGTATACCTTTACCATCGTCTTCCGCGTCTAATATATGGTCGTATCCTTCTAACAGCAATTCTACTAGCTTGTCTGTCTCACCTGCGACAAAATATTCAAAAAATTGATATTTTTTCGTTTGTTATTAGTTTAAGTGAGCAAATTGAATCAAAAGTAATTACCGCGTGCAGCTAGATAAATAACGAATTTATCGATTTCTTGGACATTCTCGGGATTCCCCGAAACTTCGGCGACGTCCCGACCCGTTCGGTAATGCGAGTCTCTGAAGGCAATGTTGATTTGAGTCTCTTGCAACATGTGATATAATCCGTCTTTCAAGTGGGAACGATTTGCCGCGAAGTGCAGAGGACTTTGACCATTTTCATCCTGAAATTTTTCGCAGTTCAATGTCAGCACCTTATTCTGCTTGACAAATGATCAGTAAATTGCCCAAAATCAATTACTTACCCGTTCCGTTTCTGAGAATAATGTATCCGGAGCATCCAAATCAGGACTTTGAGGATAACCATCATCGTTCTCGTCATTATTTTCTTGAATTTGAGCTTCTTCCTCTTCCTCCTCTTTATTTTCAGGAAGTATCAGTATGTTCGATTGCTGCTCGTAACGGTAAAGATAAAAATATTGTTGAATTGACTTTTCTAATAATTATGTAACGATTACACGATGTATTTTATTATACCTCATTGTTTTTGGCTTTATCGGCATTCGCAAAGTTGTAAAGATACAAGGCTAAATAAGTAACAGGATCTTTTGGCCGGTTAGTTGCTACTTCTGACAAACCTCTTAACAATGGATCACCTAAGGCTAGTAAAAGTAATCTCATTTAATATATACTTTTGTATTGTTTAATAATTATATTCACAAGTAAGTTATTAAACTTACAAGTTGCTAGGTAATGACCTTGCTCATCTTGGAAAATATTGATATCTGAAAAGTTGAAAAATCAAAATAGCTGTCAAGATTTTTAGAGGCGTTAAGAAGCAAAAAATAACAACATAAGCTTCACACGGTGCACAACGAATGAATAAAAATTTCAGAAATTCGTGGTAAGCAGTACAGAACTTCAAATTTATCCGGCAGATCACTAATGATACATGAATAAAACACTTTATTGGTAACATTGAAGTTGATAAGCTACAAAGAAAATGAAAAAATTTCTCAACCAAATAATTTTCAAAAGCTCTGAAAACAAATGGCACGACAATCACCAAATTTAAATTAAGTAAGTAATAAAATAACTCGCGTGCAGGCTCAATATGTCGTCAAAATATGCCATAGATAAGCTAAATAGTTTATGTTCATGAAAATATCATCTAATCAGACGTTCGAATTGAACGTTCATGCCAAAGTTGGTGAAAAAAAAATTGAACAATCGAAGAGGACATGATTAGAGCCCGCGTTAAACAATCTTAAAATCATTTTACGAATGCCACACTTCGACTGCAAACTGCAAACATCAAATTGGAAAGATATGTGCTGCGCCACATTTATTGATCAGTGATGGCATATGTTATGCAGTATACATGTTAAATATGTACGCTTATATTGTATATATATTTACTCGTTGTGCCAGTGACAATGAAGCGTGTCGACGTCGATAATTTGTCGCCATTAGTCAAAAAAATTTTCTTTATGATTTTGAAACATCAAGGAAAAATCCATCTCTTTCGTGGCTAAAGTTAATATTTATCATTTGCAAATATGTAGCACGAGAATCCGACCGAAAGATCAGAATAATTTTAAACAGCGAGAGCTCAATAAATTGATTTGTTTACTCGATTCGGTATACACGTACGAACTTGGATGTACGCACATGTGTACACGAGAGTCTGAAATAGGCGGCAAAGTATCGCATCGGTTCTGAGTCAAGAGCAACCATTATAGTATAAACGAAATAATCGAACCTCTTGTATTTGTCTGTGTGTAAAACAAGCGCGGAAGCTCAAAGTCTTATAATGGTCCGTGACGGCGACTCTTTGATTATACTCTCGAAATTAACAACAATTAGCTGCACACATCTTTCCAAAATGACGATGTTCTTCTTTATACACACATGCTCATATTTTCTGCAGTCTGATACATCAGCTTGACTCTCTTTCTCGTTTACAAATGGTATGCGCACGTGTGACACTTTTGCACGATATTGCGATAAATCGATTCTCTATATGTTTTTACATTTCTGGCTTAGCTCGTCGATCGATATCGACGTCGACGACAATTTACATAATTTAGTTTTATATACATTATCTATAAATTATATAATAATATAATGCATAATGCGACGCACAACAATAATATTTCAGTGAGTATTGCTAAATTAGAATATGTCAGTCTATTAGCAGATTATTCATCATATATTTACATATTTACAATGTACGTAGACTCAGAGCGAGAGCCGCATATAGGACAATCGATATATGCGGACGCTGCAACGACAGAGAAACGTGCAAATCGAACGAGATTCTCTCCGTCGAATGAAAAGTCAGTCTTAATAGAGAAAAAACGAGTCGGTGGCAAAGGAGTTGGCGGTGCGCTCGTCGAGGGCGTAGGACGCGTATCAGGGCCTGACGCTCCTCGCGCCAGACGTGCGTCGCCGCTTGAACAGATTGGCAATGACGGTGGCTATGCTGGTCGAGCTGTTCAGAGCTAGCTCCTTCTCCAACATCAGGATATTTATGACGGCCCGCTCGAAGTCCTGGTACGTCTGCAGCTCTCCGATCGACAGGCTCTGCTGATTGCCCAGTCGAACCGTGTCTTTGCGCAGGGTCGGATGGATTCTGAGGCCCCGAACGACGCAGAGCTGCTTCAGCTCTTCAGGGTCCTTGGACAGGCCCGGCAGTTTGACGATTATGTCGAAGCGCAGCGTGTTGCCCAGGGCGCACGGCCTCGAGGTCAAGAAGCCGAGCTTCCGGTGCTGCTTGAAGTTGAAGTTGCGATCGAGCACGCAGACGACCCGGGCCAGACGCACGTAAGCTCGTCCCATGTGGGCCGGCCTCGACTCGCTGCTGCAGCTGATGATCCTCAGATGATCCTGCACGTTTATCCAGACGGCCAGGTCGCAGGCCGACGTGACGTAGACGCCTCGGCCGTAGGGCCAGTGCTTGCCGTGCAGTCTGCGCTCGTCGCTGTTCTCCGTCTCGGTGATGGGCAGGAGCAGGCCCGTGGCCGCAAGACGGCCCCTCACCTCGTTGTACGGGTCGAGGAGCTCGCTGAGGGTGTAGTAGGTGCCAGCCTCGTCCTCGCTCGAGCCCTCGGCCAGGATGTTGCTCAGTTCGTTGGCCATGAGGGCGCCGGTGACGATGCGCTCGGTGTCCTCGAGCTCCTTGATGCGCATCGTCAGGGGCAGCTGGTGATCGGCCAGGTTGCGCGTGCACTCGACCACGCCGGCCATCACGTACTTGCCGCTCGGGTCGATGTCGCGCGCCTCCAGGTAATCGATCGTGTCCTGGAGGCTCTTCTCGCCGGCGCGGCTCGCCTGGATGAAGGACGAGCGCTGCTGGAGCTGCTGCTGGGCCGACTCGTCCTCCTGGAAGAAGCGCGACTTGGGCTGGTTCGGCAGCTCGCCCGTCACCGTCACGCAGTGCAGGTCGCGTATCAGCGGGTCCAGCAGCTCCGCGAACACTACGTAGCTCTCGAAGTCCGGCGCCACGACGTTACCCGTGAAATCTTCGTCGTACGACGTGGCTGACATTCTGACAAGGCGCATTCGTTATTTTTCAACTTTTACTCTCTTACTATCCCCAACTCGATATATATAAGATCGCGCCTCAAACTTTTCTCCCGATGCTTCGATTCTTTTTTTTTTCTTTTTTTTTTAAGCACCATTGATATTGGTAATTTTTCATCTCACTTACAACGACTGAACGTATTACGACTTGCGCACTTGTTGACTTTTTTTATTGATCGGAATTCCAATGGAATAATAATGTTTTCGAATGTAAATATTGCATGAAAAAAGCAGATGCAAAATTTTTAACTAATAAGTCAAAAAGCTTCAAACTCAGCACACTCTAAATCGACAAAAATTCACTTTAGCATGTTTTTAATCTGCGCATTAAATCAGCTAATGCACTATAAAATATGTAGCACCACGCAGATTTCAAAATAAAGTTACCGTTCGGCATTTGACATTTTGAAACTTGGATTTTACACAATGCGAACATAAACGTCAATTTGAAATCTACGCACATAAGCAGCGCAAAGCAAAAAGCCAACAAAGCACTGTATCATCTTTATAATTAAAAATTTACTGAAAAAATAGTGTGTCAGTAAAGTCCGTTTAGCGTTACGAATAGACAGCGTCCCGATCGGCTTGAAATACAAAATCAAACGAAGTTGGTGCGAGAGTCATTGGTTTTTAATTGAGAGCCCGAGCTAAGCGAGATTTTGCGAGGATTTTCGTGGATATGAAATGTAAGGCATTCGAACCTCCGTTCGCGCACGTTCGAATTGGCAGTCTGTTCGAGGCTGTTGCTGCTGCTGGCGTAGGCGTTGCTGTACTTTTTCAAAGCGGGCCAAATGACGTCAAATAGATTGTGATCCATGCAGGTAACGCGGTGCTTGATCGCTTCGAAGACCGAACGTCTCAAACAACGGCCTAGTAGCGTACCGGCTTTCGAGATGCTGCCGCTGGTGCTCCCGCTGCCGCCGCTGGGCGTCGTCGGCACCGAGCTGCGCCTCTGGGCCGAGGAGCTCTGGCCTCCTCCTCCTCCACCCAAGCCGCCACCGCCGCTGCTGGTCAGCAGACGGAAGCAGCGCTCCAGCGTCACCAGGGTCTCGAGCTCGCTCACGTCGCGACGGGCCGATGACTTGTCGCCCTGGCCGTTGACACCTTTCACTGCTCGTGCGTGCGCAATGTATGCCGCAGCACAACGATTGGCCCAGAATTTAGTTATACCGATCGAGCTTACACGTACTCGCACACATATTCTCTTTCTCTCACACACACACACACACATCACACGCGCAGCCGATTTATACGACTGCGTACAGCGACGAGGCATTACTTTTGGCATTTTGCAGCATCGTCGCGATAAATTAAGTATATCATAAGTACGGTGAAAATGACTGAGACGCACGAATGAGAGCAAATACAAGTAACACAACTATATGCTATTATATGAGCAATTCTTTAAATAAAACGCATTTTTTGAGGTAGAATCGCGGCAAATTTTTTTTTCAACCTACGCGGATACGGACCCCCGGGAAATGTTTTTGGGGGTCCTAGGAACATGTAACCACGTAGGAACCATTGAAATTTCAATAGTGCTTATTTTTAGAGCTACTTATGTGATTTAGGGCCGAAAAATCATGTTTTCTCGTAAATACGGCTAATTACTCAATTTCTAAGTCGCTGAAAAAGTATCAAAACTCATCTAAAAAAAATAACTGACTGCTGTGTTCAATAGGAAATTTTCTCAGCTTCCCAATGGTGGTGTCAGATTTGCCGATAAGTCGCACATTCACCGAGAAAATCGCCATCAAACATGCCAAGCTAAATATCTCGAAAAACTCGGTACGGAAAAAGTGATCTTTGATGCCTATTTTTGATTTTTTCTGTTGGAAATGAGATTTTTCGGAAAATCTGACTGCACCATGAGAAAGCTGAGGAAATTTTCTATCGAAAGAATATCTTCATTTATTTTTTGAGTCGAATTACAATGTTATACATGGGAATTTCTTTTACTTTGTTCCCTGTTTTCTGTTTCCGAGCTGATTCAGCGCGGTTGCGAGGTTTTCGGCTCGCTACAATCAAAACTAGCTCGTAATTCCACTGAAAAAATGAATCAAGATATGTTTTCGATTGGAAATTTCCTCAGCTTTCTCATAGCGTATTCAGATTTTTCGATAAATTTCATTTTCACGAGGAAAAATCGAAATTAAACCTCAAAGATCACTTTTTCCGTACCGAGTTTTTCGAGATATTTAGCTTGGCATGTTTGATGGCGATTTTCTCGGTGAATGTGCGACTTATCGGCAAATCTGACACCACCATTGGAAAGCTGAGAAAATTTCCTATTGAACACAGCAGTCAGTTATTTTTTTTAGATGAGTTTTGATACTTTTTCAGCGACTTAGAAATTGAGTAATTAGCTGTATTTACGAGAAAACATGATTTTTCGGCCCTAAATCACAAAAGTAGCTCTGAAAATAAGCACTATTGAAATTTCAATGGTTCCTACGTGGTTACATGTTCCTAGGACCCCCAAAAACATTTCCCGGGGGTCCGTATCCGCGTAGGTTGAAAAAAAAATTTGCCGCGATTCTACCTCAAAAAATGCGTTTTATTTAAAGAACTGCTCATATACCGGTTGTATTTCGTCGACTGGATATTATGGACAATAATGGATTTTCACTACGACAAACCGTGCCGGCTAAGATGCTCATTTTCATAGCAGTGTTGAGGAGGCTTAAGGCCCCCCGGATATGGTGCACCCAACAAAACAAATTTTTATTTGCACGATCTTACATGACAAACCTTTATGCTTTACTTAGAGACTGAGAAAAAATTATTTATCGAAATTTCATACTTTTTTATCAATTGTCTACTGTCATTTGCGTAGACCAAAATTAACGCTTGCAATCGCTACCTTACTATACTACAGAGCTTTATTTCTTCTCGCAAAAAGCTTCAGACTGAAACGAACATTATTAAGAATTGAATCATCGATTTCGAACTTTTTCTCTATTTCTACTTTTGCTTATGTCAAGTTACAAAATTAAAAAAAAAATCTATATCAACGTAATCAATAAAAAAGTATTGAACGTTCACAATAATTTCTTCTCCAAATGATATACAACTGCTGCGAACGAAACTTTATCAATTTTATATAAAAATAAGCGTTTTTTTAATATTTAAAAAACAAGCAAAATGAAAATGTACTTTATCGTTTAAGCCCGTCATTGCTTAATACGCGCTCGAATAGGAACAATTGACAAAAAATATTTTAGAACTCAATAAATATCGCGGAATTTCACGAAAAAAATTAATTTTACAAAAACGTAAATCAAAACAGATAAAATGTAGCGATGAATATGTTTTGATAATGCTCGAAAATACCTTTGTCGACAAGCATTTCGTCGGCGAGCGATTCTTTGGCGCCAAAATCGCGAAGCAATTGTTTGTGAGACAAGTCATCTTGATTCTCCTTATAAAAATCAGCTTTTTGGCCAAACTAGTGAAATCAACAGAGTATCAATTAATTGATGCACTTGAAAAATTTGGAATTAAGCTCAAACTTTTCACTGGTACTAACGTTATCCTGTACTAATGGATTAGCGCCTAAATGCAGCAGCAAATTATAATAATGGCCATTATCCGCTAAAGTGGCGGCATAATGCAATGGAGTCCGACCATCGAGATCGAGAGCATGAGCAGTCTCGGGAAACCTTCCCGCCAGATATCTACAATGAAATTTATTTTTATTAATTACGAATTAGTCGAAGGCCAAATTACACATTCTATTATGATTTGACAGTATGATTTACCTGACAATAGGTGTATGACCAAATATAACAGCAACGTGAAGAGGGGTGGCTCCATGAGGAGATGATGGATCTTTAGCAATAGCAAATTTACGCCTGTCCAGAGATATTTGTAAATCTTTGAGATTTCCTTCTCTAGATGCTTTATGAACCGCGGCAATTTTGGCCTTGAACACGAAATATGAATTTGAAATGTTATAAATTTTTATCGCACAGCATGAAACAATCAATGATAATAATTTAATAATCAAGCAAAAAAATGGTGTGCATGTTGGGTAAATACAAAAAGTAGTTCAATGCCCGTTCATTGATGATAAACACATTAAGGTGACTGGCTCTTTCTTGCACGGACTATGAATCATTAATTCATGACAATCGATAAAAGCGCTCAGTCGCAATAAGTTGAAAAGCGACTTTTTTCCAACCAGATAAAACGACACGATAAAAAGCCCGGCTGCGCACGTGGTAAAATCAATAGCGAAGAACTACTTTGTCTAGTGCGACACACGGAGGAAGCTCATACGCATGTATAACAGGTTGGAAATGACACAAACCATGTAAGCAGGAACATTGTCGATGAAGGCTTGCAGCTCGGGGTTGCTCGACTGTCTGCCGATGAGTCGATGGCCCTCGCCAGTCAAAACTATTGCCGCTAGCTGCTCCATCGTGCCGTTTTCCAAAAGTTCCTCGGTCTCTTCGTCCGCGGCATCTTCGGTTTCGGCGGTTTCTTCGCGCTGATTATCCTCTTCCTCTTGTTTTTCCTCTACGGCACTCTACACAAACGTTATTCTACATCGATGAAAACCAATTTTTACCCTCTAATTGTGTGTTTTATACAATTGTTGATTATATTCACATTGATGCAGAAAATTCGACATAACAAGACAACCAAACGTATAAATAACACTTATATATTTCCTTCAACTGTTCTCAGGTAGAGTTTTTCATAAATGAGAGAAATTCTAGTTTGAAATAACAATTAGTGGCATTGGACTTGAGAAAATTGTGAAAATCAAACATTTTTGCAAGAAGCTACGATTAGAAATTTACAAATAACTAGATTTCTGAGAGTGCCAAATGCGCGTCGAGACGACTTGTGTTTTGATGAAGAGCGGAAAGCGATAAACATCCGACGTCGGCGCGTTTCCAATGTGTATTATTTTATATCGTGTAGAGTACACCTGCTGGACTCACGCCACTGTCCGCTAGCTGCACGCGATTGTACAAATTTTTTTTCTCCCACGCGCATCGCTTGTCCGTACACGTACGGAAATCAACGAGGCGCGTTCGAAGCGAAAAATCGATCCTTATAACTGACAGCGTTTTGCGGCTCGATATATTCTGCTAAATAAATGCATGCATACAGATAATTGTGTGTACTGCAATTGTGTGTAAGACAAAGTGTGTGTACTATATCGATCCAGGCCAGGTGTTTTTTTACTCGCGTTGAGTTTTCCTGGTGTTATTGTTAAAAATTGAACAAATATTTCATTCAAAGTTGGTCAAACAACCGATCTTAATAATTCCGTTACTAAAAATTATTATTGAATGTTTAATGTGCATTCCTGTCTAGTGGGGGTTCTCGTAATGCTCTGTAAAATTTTCATTTAAAATACAAATTAATCCAAATTACTTAGTTCAAGAACATATCCATATTTTAGTAACATTTACTTAATTACTGTTACCGAGTTCACAAGTGTTTAAAATTTACTTGCATCTAACACTAAATAATGAGTATTCATCGTGATAGATTTCAAAATCTAATTCAGACCGTTTAATTTTAGCTAATGTTAAGAAAAACTATGTAATTAAAAATGTGAGTGTATAGTTTATACTAATAAAGTGTACTTGATGCTGGAGTTAAATTGTGCGACATTCATATAAGTCATAACATATAAGCTTAAGATTATGGTGCTAGCTATTTTTATTCATCTTCTAACAAATTATAGTTTCAACCGTTACTCTTACACCTATTTTGTAGAAACTCGACAGCTGTAACAGTCAAGATTGTCGATAAAACGTGGCTTCCTTTGCAATTTATGCTAAACTTACTGCCACACAATTGATGTACAGATATTTATGAATGATAATGTATTGAATTAAAAACGAAATGATTAGATTATTACGACATATAAACAAAAATTTCGATAACTTAAGCAAGACGAAATTGATCTAGGAAATTTCACTAACAATTTGATAACACAGTACTATGAAATAATAACTGTTGATGCAAAAAATTGATTATAATAATCAAAAAAGAATGTGAACGTGAACGCTATGCTCTAAATAATATAAAAAAATTCAATAGATATGCGTTCAATCAATTTTAAGGAAACCGTTGCAGCAACTATTGTTGCTCATAAAAGAAAACAATAACACTTAATTAGAAAGAAATTGAGCTTTATGTCTGACCTGCTCCTCGTTGTTTGGTGTATTAGCAACGCCAGAATCAGTAGCTTCTTCCTCAGTTTCTTTTTGTTCTTCATTTTCAGCTGGTTTTTCATCAGCTTTTGCAGTTTGATTATCGCCTTCTGGAACATTAGCATCAGAATTTTCGACTTGATCTACGTTTTCATCTGGCGGAGAAGAGTGTTCTCCGTCATTATCTATGACAGATACAGGCTCATTTGAAACATTTTCAGAATTTATTTCAACTGCTTCATCTTGAGAAGCTATCGCTTGCTCTTCGCCTTGAGAATTAATCTCTTCCTCCTCTCCATTTTGATGAGTAATCTCTTCCTCATCATTATTTTTATTAACTTGTATATCAACTTGCTCATTTTCTTCGTTACCTTCGTTAACACTTTGTTCTGCATTTGATTCTTCATTTTTTTCGGTGGTCTCCTCTTCAGCCGTCCCCTCTTCAGCAGTCCCCTCTTCAGCAGCCCCCTCTTCACCGGCCCCTTCTTCAGCAGCTTCTTCTTTAGCAGCCTCTTCTTCAGCAGACCCTTCATCATTATTTTCAGCTTCATTTTCTGTTGTTTGCCCCTCGTCTTCAACATCCTTATCTTTAATATCTCCTGTTTGTTCTTCTTCAACAGCTAAAGCCTCCTCTTCACCGATAACTAATTCTTCATCTTGATCTTCCACTTCTTCGCTTCCGACAGCTTCTGCAACCTCTTCACCTTCCTCAGTTGCCTCGTTGAATTCATTTTCATCGGGAGATTTTTCTTCTTCTAAATTATCTGTAGCAGGTTCGGCATTTTCGTTATTTTCATTACTTTCTGTTTCGTTATTGTTATTATCACTAGCCGGATCAGTATCAGCCACTTCTTCTTCTTCTTTTTCTTCCTCTTCTTCTTCTACATGAGTTTTGTTTTTTACTCCTTCCTCAGATTCTTCCAAGTTGGAATTTTCCTTATCGTCGTCTGGAGTTTCAATCTGTTTATATTTTTTAATGCAATGAGTATTAAATTCAAGTATTAATTATAAAATAATTGCTTTGAATTTTTCGTCTTTCGTTATAATTAATAAGTTTAGCTTCGTAATTTATTCATACCTCGGAAACTGGTGCCAAATAAGAGAAATTACAGCATAAAATAGTGTATTACATGTAGAAAAGTAAAAATCAAAATGCTTGAGTACATTGGCTTACTTACAAGCATGTAGTCTGAAACATTATTTTTTACTTCCTGCGACACACATACTACTTTAAGTGAATTTTCTTGCAGAGAGTAACATTTTTAACTTTAATCCAAGCGTCAAATATGTTACTTTCGCCTGAGATGGCACGAAAATACTTTTTAACTCATAACATTATTCATTTTTATTGACACATTTTATCGACAATCCACTAAACAACCCTATAATGAATTGAATCACTATCATCGTTTAAACCGTACGAATTTCCTAATTAAGCTTAAAACTAGTCCGCAAACTTAACAAAAATAAAGTTTAAAAATAATAAATATTAAAAATGAATAAATTTCTTTGAAATAATACATGAATTAGGTCTATACATATTCTAATGTGAAAATTGTATTATCATTTATTTACAATTGCTCAATTATGAAAGTATTAATCAACGTCTACTTATTCATTGCACGAATGTATAAATTATATTTAATTGTAATGAATTAATGTTAATGTCATGGTAAAAATGAATAAGATTACTGTAGTGCCTCTTGAAATTTAAGGTTGGTGATCAATTTGATATAATAAAATGATTACAACCATGTAATTCTTTAACTGATTTAAAATTTGTTACTGTAAGTCATATCAACAGTATTGAATAACAAATTGCTTGAAAGACAAAAAACTCTGCAACTTAAATAATGTCGGAGCGTGATATTGAATAAGATAACGTATTATTTATATACGTGTTTTGAAAAGAAAATTCAAAGCGGATATTCAAATTTTAGAAACCGTGATAGTATTTTATCATTGATGTCAAAAAAATTAAACAGAAAATGAAACATGTATAGTTCCGCGGGGTGACCATTGACGAAAAGCATTATTTTAATTCCACAATCATGCAACTACAATAAATTATAAGACCAAATTTAAAAAGTCTCATTGTTTCTTATAAATTAGCTTCTACGACTTTTCTAAAGCAAGAAAAGCAATGAAATGTTATCAAGTTTGAATTATTAGTAAAGCTAAATTGATTTTAAATCAAAATGCGTCTCACGTATACTTCATTCATGCAATAGACTCTCATGAATAAGCATGTAAACAAATATAGTAAATCTAGAATTGTAGATTTTTTCATGGTTTAAAATCATTATTTTTATGTAAATATTTGCAATACAATGAAAGCTTTATGGGTTGTTTTATGAAACAGACACTAATTAAAAGTTAGCTTGTATATAACGCTATGTTAAAATGAAGTAGCCTGCTATACTTTGTGAACAAGTTCAAAGCATCATGAAATATTGACACATTATCAAACTAAGTTAAAATACTAATTACAATTTTAATTTTTGAAAAATGCCACAATTTTTACCTTAACATCAAAAGATATTGAAAGTCATTTTATTCCTGTTCACGAGAGTACATGAATCCTTAAGTTATTTAAATTCAAAATGTTAATATTAGTTAAAATGAACTTTTCAAATTAGATTATTAGAACGTCTCATAAATTTACAACCAAAAGTGATTCCAAAAAAGAGAAAAAATTAAGGTTTTCTTAAAAACTATAATCCATTCATTCAACAATTTCATGAAAATTTTCTTGACATAAAAAGTACATTTGTTTTTCATTTACTTTAGAAATTTTCTTAAAAGAGACGCCAGACTTGAGATAAAAATTTCAATCCCATTTTGTGAAACTATTCTAAAATATTTTTCAAATAGGTGTCAAAATTTATTTCGATATTTTTTAGAAGGTCGTATAGTCTTTTAGATAAATATTCAGCAGAAATATCAGAAAGTTGGATTGAAATTTTGATTATTAGGTTGACTTCGCTGTCCCTTTAAATGTATATCACGTATTTTCACCACGTATACAACATCTCATATGACATCAATAAGCTGGAAGCGCTTTGTGCTTGAAGATCAATGCTTGAAAAAATTGATACATCATTTCAACAAAATTATATACTATAATTGACAGATTCTATTTTTAAATATATTTTTCTAAATTTTTTCTAAATTGTAAAGCTTTACATTTTATAAAATAGGAAGCGAGAAGATATATTATGAATTAAAGTTAATCGATACTAAAAAAGCTTAAAGCTTGCAATAGTATAGTAATTAGATTGATTAGAGTAGGTAAAATTTCAAAGTTAAAGAAATGAGAATTCATTAAAATCTAATTGAGAAGAAAGAACGAGACTTTTTGGTGGGAGCGCGTCACTTCTCCATCGCGATGAACAGTAATGAGGCGAGCCTCATCGCGTCGAACGTGTACCTCCGGAGTGATGAGTTCGTCGGTAATTTTGGCCGACTCGGCGCTACCGAACGCGCTATCCTCTTCTGTATTGTTATTGTGACTGGTCGAATGCTTCAATCGACCGCTTGGCAATTGAATGTGCGTCTGCTCGATAAGACGCCAATCGAAATTTTTCGGCCCTGTACCTGATGAGCGCGGAGCTTCGGGCACCATGACCAAGTTGGACATGTCCAAATCAGCTGGACGGTTCTTGTACGAGCCAGCTGTTTTATGTTTCTGTGACATTTAGTGTGATTTGAGCAGTTTTGTTCGAGTAACTCGTGTATCACCAACAAAGCAGATCGTCGAAGTGTAAAAAGTAATAATTCGTAATCAGTTTGAAAAACTTACGTTATCAATTTTATTTTCGTCGGCTCCATATTCCACGAGAAGATCATACATCACGCCACCATCTCTGCAAACGGCTGCATAATGCAACGGTGTTCTGCCGTCAACGTCCTGAGCATTTACGATCGATGGGTATCTATCTAGAATTTCCTTAGCCAGCTCCAAGTAACCCAGACCAGCAGCCTAAAATAAATAAAATTAAATGAAAAATATTGCGTTTTATCGGGTCTAGTGCATATGTCAGTATACAAACCTTATGGAGAACGTTGAGCCCGTTCGTATCTTTAGCACACAATATTATCGGTGAGACTGGCTCATCTAGTTTTTTTCGAAAGCCATCAATGTCATTTTTTATTACAGCCGCGTGAAGATCTTTGATGGTACCCTAGATTATAAAAGCATTAAGTGTAAAATTTGCAATCAAAAACAAATTAATGGAAATGTAGATTGAATACCTGAATGAAGGGAACAGCTTCGAGGAAACGACGAACACGGACGTTATTGCTCGTTTCGCAACGCAATTTGGCTCCATGACCTTCCCAAAGCACGTGCTGCAGCTTTCCAATGTCGCGATTGTGAATCCATATTCTTATGTTCGACGGTTTAATGTCGAGAGCTATGAAGAAATAATTATTATCACGAACTCAAATCAATATCTTGAGGCTAATGATTTTTCTTTGCGATGAGTTTGGAAAATAATTTTTTGAGGAAAAGTTTATAAAATATCCTTGGATGAAGAAGGGTAATATTAAGTTTGCTTCCAAGAATAATTCAAGTAAACCGCTAAGTTCATACGAACGTACAAAGTTTACGTATAGATGAAAAATAGTCTAAGAAATGGCTTATAAGTTAATTACATACAACATTATAGGTCAGGGAAGCTTTATACGTATCGCGTACAAATAATGATTCTACTTCTAATGATAATTTTCGTTCGAATAACTTATTTCTTCTTTGGATTAATGCCATTTTAGTTTAGCCCTAATGACCAAAAATATCAATGACTTAAAAAATACTAATTGGTAATACTTGAATGAAAACGAATAATTTAATTGTGTATTGACGAAAAAGCGTTCAAAAAATGTCGAATGCGTAAATTGCAATTGCGAAAAATTACTAAAAATAGCGATGATCATTCAGTTATAAACAAATGATATGTGAATAATCGTATGATTGAGATGGCTTTTCCGAAAATTAAAAGAGAAAAACAGAAAGTATGCGACGTACCGTTAAGATCCTTTCGTCGCCTACCCATAGTGTCTGGTGACTGATCGAGTTTCGCGCGTCGTACCTTATCGAGCAGCTGGCGCGCAATCGCGAATCGGTACTGGAGACTCGTTCAGCGAAGCGAGGGTGCATCGCCTACGGCTAGCTACGACGAACACGCGCCTCGCATCTGTGTACTTAGCTATGTCTATTTATGAGCGAACTACTTGAAAGGTACACAGCCCGCAGCGTCTCAAGAAACGCGAAGTGCGTGAAACGCAGAGGGTGCTAAGCACTCTTTAATGGCCACTCGTCATCTTGAGCAAATTTGCCTTCGAATGCTTCCGGAAATGTGTTTACCCTTTTTGCTTCCTGAAAGCTCGCTGCTGCACGCAAAATTTCGACTCGTTGCCCTTACACGCGCGCGTTGTAGAATCTTTTTTCACAATTCGATTCTTTGTTTATGTCTGCACGCGCGCACAATCATATTATTTTGACCTCTGCGCGTATTAGACCTTCTAAAACGCAAACACGCATTTACTAAGTGAAAAATAATGATTTGTTGACTATTTTTGGATGCGTGACTTTTATTTTGAAAACCAATAACAATTTTTCCGATATAATCAATTTCCATTGCGGACTCGAAGAAACATAGGAAATAAAACAAATGTATTCTATGATTTTGATGAAATTTTCTTTTCCAATCTTTTTTCAAAACTCAAAAATTTAACTTCACTGAGATACAGCTAAACGTTTCAGACATTTGAATTAATTTTTGCATACTTATGTGTGATTTAAGCAGTTGTGTCTCATTAGATAGTGAACATTTTAAAATTTTTTAAAAATATTTGGAGAGCAGAGAAAAAAGTTGCCGAAGTTTTCTTCAATTTTTAAATTCTTTTGAACTCATATCGAATAAGATGATAAAAGACAATTTCTATATCTTATGTTTGAAATTAGCTACTTAAAACAGCACATTTTACTCTACAGATTGAAGATTTAAGAATGAAAAAATAATTCCCGGAAAAATCTAAAAGGCCAAGTCCAGGTGTACTTTGCGCTTGGAAAAACCTCGGCACTGTACAATCCACAGAGAACACGATGGTCAACCAAATCGTCGTGAAAAGGTCTTATACACGTCGAGCGTTATGATACATGTGTACGTAGTCGAAGCTAAAGAGTAAAGACAGTTTTAAAAATTCACGTATGCTCGTGTTCGGGGAATCGATAAAAACTTACTGCACCGGCCGAATGAAAAACGCTGACACGGACGGTAAGTATGTGTTTCAAGGATGGCTGCTCTACGGCAACGAAACGACGTTGTTTTTGTTATAATAATACACAACTTTATTGTGTATGGTTACATGTAAAATTCGTTCGAATTCATTCAATTTTAAAAAAACGTCAAGCTCTAGCGAATCGCACCAACAAAAAAGCTCGATAAAGCGGCGCTGGTAATGTCAAAAATGTCGAATGGGGAGGTGCAAAGATCAAAGATAGCTTACGCGAGTGAACGAATCGGACCTTTTTTGTTGTTGTCGAAAGCATGAATATTTGCATTTTTCACTGGAATACTCACTGCCGGCCCACTTGGAGTTGTCCTTGAAGCGTAGCCTCTTGCTGGGCATCCTCTCGGGATCGGGTAGCTCGATTTCCGAGCCGTGCTGCAGGTAGTAAGCGGCCGGATTGTTGCGCCTGTCGCAGATGCTCGAGTCGCAGCCCGCGTCGACCAGCAGATCCCAGACGACTTCGGAATCGCGACAGGCCGCGCAGTAGTGTAAAGCCGTTCTGCCCTCCTGGTGCGTGTACGCAAGTATGAGCAGCGGTCAGTGAGCAGCAGCAGCAGCAATAGCAGCAGTGCAGGTGCAAGCATATAAACAATCCAAGAGACCGTTAATAAATTCAGCTGCGTTCTTTTGTACGCATGCCGATTGATGGGCAGCTCGCCTATGTATAACCTGCACACCGGACGCAGCCTTATTCTATTAGTTATCTTAAGGTCGATACTTTCGCGAATACGTTCTATATTTTGCAATCTACCCACTGACTATTGATTTTTTGTCCAAATGTTTATACAATTCGAAACGTCTTTTTACAACGGTCACTTATCAACTGAATTCCGCGCTTTTTCACGCTAGCCAAAATCCTTATTTATTCAAAAAGTTCAACACTTTAACCATTGTTACAAGCAAAACGAATACCGACCTTGCAAGTGATAAGAAAATTGTTCTAAAGTAACGTAAGTATAGCGATTGTTCTTCCAAGTTAAAATCGATTGAACTTTTTTGAAATTCCTTGAACCCGGCATTTAATTTTAAACTTTAGAGCAAACATTCAACATAATGATGATTAAAAACCTTTCATTCTTTTTCAATGTACTGCATTTACTAAATTTGTTAATGAACTTCAATTGAGAATAAAAAATACTAATTAAAAAATAGTACCCGATCTCTTTGTTCGACCGTCGCAGGATAATTTTCAATGATCCATTCGAGGACGTTCTGATGGTCATAGTAAACAGCCTTATGAATTAACGGTGTACCGGCAGAATCCTTGGCAATGACGAGCTTCTTTTTTGGCTCCCCATCGACCAGTCTTTGAACTTCAGATAGCGATCCACGAACAACAGCATCGTGAATCTGAGATATTTTTGTCTAAAACATCAAAAACAGACGAGGATTGGTACTTTGAAAATATTCGTTCGATGCAAACTGAAACATCACGAATAGAAAACAAAAATTGATACTCACCAAGTAACTCGGTAGCCCTTTTAAAAATACTCTCGTTCTGAGGTCGGGTGAACTTTCACCCAGCAGTCGTGTTCCCCTTCCTTCGAGGACAACATTTTCCAATTTATCGAGTTCTCCGCGACTTAGCCAATGTCTCAGATTCGATGCAGTCATCTGCGACCCTATTAAAGTCAGAAATGTATCACAACTACTCTATGGATTCGAAAACCTAAATGATTTTCTTCTGTAATCTGCTGCTATTTGAAAGAAATGTCATCATTTTATTCTGTATAAAATACCTCGAGGAACAATTTTTCTCCGATAAACATATCGATCGAAGCTTGGGGGTCTCTTCTTATTGATATTTTGAGGCATAACTCAAGCCCGAACCCAATCACACACATCACAAATCGCCGAAAGGGGCCAACTCTGCGATGGTACGTCTCGCGTTTAGGAAAGCCGAGAAACTGCATCGACGACAAACTTGGCCCGGATCATTTGAATCAGAAAATTCGCACGAGTTACGGCGGTGATGGTCGTTTCTGAAGCGAGAGTATAGCAGGAGCAGGATAAAACGTTTTCGACGCACTGATTCCAGCGGAAAAAATGTCTGCAGCAGCGACGACTATTACGGGCTCGAGCAAATATGACACAAGCGATGGATTCATCGATACGTACACACTCGTACGAGACGTGCAGGTGTATTTTTATATATATAAATACACGAGATGGCTTTGGCGGTGTGGAAAAAGGCGGACAACGTGTGTCCGTCTGTGTACACGAACGGAGCACGAAGCTGGCGGCTATTACGAGCTGCAATCGATATTTTGTCCTTTCTTCTCGTCCATACTTGATTTTCTATATGCTAACTCCTTCACGCTAAGCGGCTTATTTGTTGCATATCACATTTGATGGGAATCGCCCGACGATCGTGAATAATAAACCAGGCCATTCATTATTCATTTAGCCGGCGTAATTCATGGGCTGCGTGCTTGCGCGCCCACGACACGAGGGAAGTCGCTCGCTCGCGCAACAACCGCGCGTCTCGGCAGCCCTTCCGCACGTAGAGCAAAAAAATCTAAGTTGTATAAAGTACGCCACACAAGGACGCGTTGGGCGAGCGATTCAATTTTCAAACGAGCTCACTTAGTGCCCTGCCGCATATCCGAAGGCTCATCGAACTTGATCGCGTTTTTGCGAACCAAGAAACCCAAGTTTTTACAAGTAATAGCTCCAGTAAGTAATCGATTCATAAAAAATATATTAAAATGCACCATAATCATCTTGCAGTATCATATTATAGATAATTTCATTCCACGATTTAGCATAAAAAATTGACGTATTTATCACCAATTTAATAATTAAAATTGATTCAAAGTGAAGGTCTCAATTGATGCTTAAATGTTATACTCTACTTCTGATATTGAAAGAACAAAATAAAAATAATTGGAACCGAACACAAATTAAGTAAAATGAAAAAAAGGTCAGATGAAATCAAGGCAGTCCATTTCTTATTTATTAAAGCGTTCGGCTCTGATGATAATCGTATAGATGAATAGAATACAATGACGCACACGCAACTTACTCAGGGGATCGTATCGACTTAATACTCGCGTCAAGTTTAACAGAAAATAGTTCGACAAGTATTATCGAAGATGATCTAGATTAATCATGAATTGTAACAGCTTTTCTCAACTTTTTTCGTACGCGTCGGTAATCCGCCAAATGATAATTTCGCTCGTGAAAATCCCGAACACCTTGACAGATACACGCGTTAAAGCTTGGAAATAGTCTTCCACTGACTGTTTTATTACTCAAGAAAATTTAAAGGCTTTGACGCTGCGATGGTCGATCGGCAATTACGAGTGACCCAAGTAACGAGTCTTGCGTTTATTTTTACGCTAATCACATGACTGTCGATCTGAAAAGTTCAACTAAGCCTGTCATTATAAGCTAAAGGTATATAGTATGTGACAACTACATTGTCTTCAAGACTAATTTGTTTCTATACTTTCTATATTTCGTCACGAAGGTAATTCAACAATGCTTAAAAAGAAAGCTCGCGAGCTACTGATTGGTGGCAAAATCCGTGATGTTTTTCATTATTTGGAGCTGACAACTGTATCTAACTTCATTATGTTCGAAAAAGACGAAAATAAATTTCCATCGATCTGTTCTCATTGAATACGGGCTACGATGACACATTACGAAGTAGTAGTTGCTGCAGTGACATAGTTTACTTAAACGGTTGTAACATCGATACTGTAAAATACGTTCAACAATACATTCAATATTAATGGACCTGCCGACCACATACGACAACATAATGATAGAAGAGATACTAACGTTTGAGTTATTTTGGAATTTTTTTCCAATAACATGGGCACGAATAATAAAGAGTTCTAGGAATTGCAGTAGTACATTTTCACGTTTTTAAAGTTTTTGAATCCTTTGGGGTTCAACTTTCTCAAAGGGTTAAGGTTTATTTCCATGACATTTGAATATTTTTAAATTTATGAAAAAACACTTGCCTAAACAGAATGGGGATAAAAAATCCTAGCTTAATTTGAGAAAATCTTGAATTTGGATTTATTTCCCCCGAAGACATCAATATATATTGTTTTAGTCTCTAATAACGAACTTTATTTTGTGTGACTGAATAAAACAATACGTAGAAAATATATCAAAGTTAAGGTAATACATTTTTTGGTATTTTCATTAAATACTTTTAAAATAAAGTGTATTATAAGAGAACAACTAAATGAAGATGCTTGATAAACATCCTGTACATGTTTAAAACCAGTATTCAAAAATTTCATTCCTACTTTTACTTTAGCCTCCTTTTGACTTTTTGGATATCAAAGTTTCCTTAGATATAGCTTAATCAAAATTTTGATCTGAAAATTTAAAGAATTCGTACTTATAAATCCGTTGACCAAATATTTAATTAATGAATACTCAAAAATCAATTTTAATAAATATTAGCGAAGAGTCAAAAAATGTCAAACTTTTATCAATAATATTACCTAAACCTCACTTATGTCTGAATGTGAATACAAATGAAACAATACTTCATCATATAAAACATTGCTTTAGAATATTTAACGGAAACATAAAGCAACAATAGAAAAATTTTTTCAAGAGATACCAAAAGCACGGTAAAAATTACAAGTTTTTAAACATATTTTCAGGAATTTTTATCGAACATTTTTATTAAACGTCAAGTTAGTGCTTTCTTCAAGTTATTCTTTTGTATAATTGTAAATAAGTTAGGTGACAATGAAAAAATGTATACTTACGGATATTCAATGACTAGCTATGAAATGAGAATTTCTCATGATCAAATAAGAAACGGTGAGGGAATTGGCGAGGAAATATAAAGTCCGATTCAATCACCATAAACAATTGACAGGGAAAATGAAATTTCCTCAAAACTGTCAACGAAGCACGCGACGCGCACGAAGACTTCGACGGGAAGCTCCGATGCCGAACTATACGCCGAGCGACTGCAGTAACTTTGCCAGAGCTTTATACATATGGGCTGCGTACGCGTCGCGCGGCTCATACACGATATACGTACATCTTATAGCTATATGTAAGTATGTACGGGATATTTCGTATTGATGTCTATAGCCCTCGTCGCGAAAGAAAGAGAAAGAAGGAGCTGGGCTGTTGGGTACGTGTGGCTCGCGCCACTGGCGCATGTAACGCATAAGAGATACATTTTTAAGTGGCGTATCGGCCAGTTAGATCCATAACATCCGTCTTCTTCCATACGTATGGTGGAGGCGAATGGGCAAAGCAACCAGTTGCACTCGCGGCCAGCTTGATGCATCGAGCAAGAGTAATTGGCTGGTTTTATGAGTTCAGACGTTCGAGTTGCGACTATAAGATGCACCGGACACGAAGGCGTTTTGCCCTCCCGCATTGATATCGATCATTGCGCTCGTTTTGTCATACACGTATTTCTGTACACCTGCACCTGACGCGTCGAACGTCCGAGGCATATAATATGGGCTACATATGTTGTGGGTATATGTACTCGATAATACGAAAAGCAGTTCGCTATCGGTGCAATGACACTGCAGCTTCGGTGCTTTATGCAATGCCACATAGGGTTTAATATTACACGTAATACATGCTCTCGATTTTAGCAGATCGCGCGTGCCTAGGGCCTGCAATGTCGAGCTTTCTTTTGCAGTAAAGAGAAGCTTCTTTTTTTAACCGTTGCTAATATAATAGCCTGAAAATTAAATGACGAAATGTTTAAAAAAATTACCGCTCATATGCTTCGTTCGTTTCAAAGGCTCCGTCAAAGTTGAGCAATTGTGCTGAATAATCAAATGAACCAAAAAAATATTGCTTCGTCAATGAAGAAGCTGACGATTCTTTTTGACTTGAGTTTTCAGTTTCCATTAACGGCTTTGAGCACCCACTTGTAAAATATGTCTCATTTAATTCTATCCCTGAGTATCGTTTTTCTCCTTTGTCGAGCTAGTTTTAGTGGTCAGTTTGTTCTTGCACTCTTTATATTATTTTAATAAAAATTATCGTATTTTTTCGTAGATGCCATAAGACCAGATCTCAGCTGCGTTGGGCGACCCCACGCAAACGTCACTCTGACTGCTTACTATCCCGACTTCATGAGCGAAGATGAATCTGACTACTTAGATTCAAGAGGGAAAAAGTTACGAACGCTGCAAGTGAGTTTATGGCTTAATCATTATTACAAAGGGTCCGTTTTCTTGCGAATGCTAAATTTTAATATTTTTCAGGAATTCTTGGACGGAAGAGCATCGTTTGTTACGGTTGCGATGGATGAAGTGTTTCGATTAAAATATGGCTCGGTAGTTTGTATTCCAGAATTAAATGAGCATTTCGGAAAAATGATTCCATTACAAGTAAGTACTTATTTTGATAAAAAATTTCATTCAAATCTTTATCCAAAATATTTGGCATTAAATGAATTCATTATTTTCAATTTTAGGTAAGAGATCACGGGCCAAATTTAATAGGAAAGGGCTTCTCGAGATTGGATATATGCGTCAGAAGTGAAGCTGATAGTTATGATACAGCAGTAAATCGTATGGTTACTCTGTATACTACAGTATAGGAAATAATAATACAATTCATTTTAAATAAAAACTTACATTTATTGCTTTAAATGGTGGTGTTCCATCATGCACATATAACTTGTAATTGACTAATAGCCACAAGACAATTGATAATTGAAAGATGTTAACAACATTTTACAAAGATTTTAAAAAATCCCCTAAAAATTAAATCACTTTCCTCACTCCATTTCATCATTAGCTATAAATTGCTCAGCTGATTCTTTACTAATAACTTGTATCGATGATATTCTATTACGATACGTTATTTCATAAAATTTATTTGCATGCTGCAGCAATTCAGGCCTTGAAACAGTAAAATAACTCATGCAATGATTGTAACGAAAAGCACAAAAAAAAATAATTTTTTCAAATACCTGAATGTAGTGGTGATAAACTGGGCATTATGACTCAATTCGTGGATCATCTCGGCTACTGCTTTTCTATATTCAGTATCGAGGGCTTGATCTATTTCATCGAATAAATAAAATGGAGCTGGACGAAATTTGTGAATAGCAAAAATTAGAACAAGGGCTATCAACGATTTTTGACCTCCAGATAAGTGTTCCATTTCAGTAGTTTCATCAGCTCTGCCAGTGAAGGTAACTTGAACATCTGCAAGTAGATGTAGGGGTTATTTATAACAAAATAATAATTTTTAATTATTTACAGACTTACCAATTCCTACGTAACGCTCTGTTATTTCGGAATCTGTTACAGAAGAATTTACAGATTCATGTGTTAAATTACTAGTTTTCATAACAAGTTCAGCTCTACCCATCGGAACTAATTTATTAAATATTTCACTGAAGTTTTTGCCGACCTGCAAGTAAAAAATACTCAATTACATAAAACCAATAAATTATCAAGGGGATATAGAAGCTAGCCAAAATATCAAAATTTCAATCCAGTTTTTTTGAAATTTCTACTGAATAATATGCCAAAAGTCTCTATGGCGACATCAAGAATATCACAATTAAGGTCACGATAAAGCTTTTTCGAGAAATATTCAGTAGAAGTTCCAGAAAACTGGATTGAAATTTTGACTAGTTTCTATATCTCCTTAATTAAAGCTCGCAATCTGTACGTGAAATAATGTAAAATTTTACTTGATCAAATGTTAGCGCTATTGCTTCATCTTTTCTTTGTTGAAGAGCGAATATTAATTCTTCGATTTTACTGTATTCGTGAAGTGACTCTTCTACCCGAACTTTTAATTCATCTCTTCGGTTAGTAAATTCTTCAAATTGTTCCAAAGCTTTTTGATTTATGTCACTAAAATTGTATAGTTTTTTAAAATTCTGGATTATTTTGTACGAAATTAAATATAATTACCTGTAATTTTTTAAGCTATTTTTAGTTTTCTCAAGAATTTTGAACAAGTTTTCAGTTTTAGAGTGATAATACTTTTGATATAATTCGTGACTAGGAATTGTTCCCAGTTCATCCCTCTTTTTTAAAATAGTTTCTATATTTTCTTTTACTAATTTGATCTTTGACATGAATTTCTCCAATTTCCTATCGTTTTCTTCTTTTTGTTTATTCAAATTTTCATTCTCAGTAATTATCGTATTTTCGATTATCAAAGATTGAGATTTATACTAAAAAAATTTAGTTTAGTAACATCATCATTATAAGAAAGTCAATTGTATACATAATAATGTAATTAATTATTATTTACAAACCATTTCTAATGTCGAAGCAACTTTGTTTTTTTGTTGAACAATATCGGTAATTATTTCGTCAATCTTCTTCTTAACGTCAACTAAACGTTTTTCTTTAGCTTTTAACATTTGTTCTTCTTTTTGTATTGAAATTTGATTCAACTCTTGCACCATCATATCTCTCTGACGAATTAAATTATTATCTAATAAATTTGATAATCTTATTTTTTCTGTTTCCAATGCATTGCATTCAGTGAATATCTTTTTATATTTTTGTGATAGCTCATTAATTGATGCACTTAATTCCCTTAGCTGAAATTTTTTTTTTGAATACATAAATGCCAATAAAAATTAATTTAAAAAAAAGTAAAAATATATATTGATCTATTACTTTGTCTTCATCTTCGGAGGACATTTTTTCACTAAAATCTTCTAGTAATTCATTTTGTAGATTAATTTTAGTAGCATTCAATTTGTCTAAATTTATTTCATTATCTTGCAAAGTCTTTTTTTTAGAAATTAAATTTTCATTGTTGGTTCTTAATTGTTGTTTGAACAATTTTAATTTGTTTTCTAAAGCAACATTATTATCTCTAAAAAATATATTTAACAATTCATTAATGTGGTAACATTACATATTTTTATGAAAAATGTTATAATATAATTCATTATTATATAATTCATTATTTTTCAACATTATTATGTAGATATTACACTTACTCTGCTATATTAATTTTGGTTTTTGTTTGTTGCAAACGACTAAGTAAACCAGTAGTATATTCGTCGAGCTTTTCCATTTCATGATTGACTTCTTGTAAATCAGACTGTAAAGAAGTTATTTTTTCCAAATTTTTTCTTCTTTCATTTTGAAACTTCATAGTTGATTTCGAATTATTGAGATGTCCACCTTTCAACCAACCCTGAGATCCAACTTGATCCCCCTGAAGGGTCACACAATCTAGATATTTTTTTTCTAATATTTTTTTTGTACAAGTTTCCAAAGAATCACAAATTAAAATGCGTCCAAAAATGTACCTTTAAGACAATATTAACGTTTAAATTATTATAAATAATACAGGCAACAATAATAAATTCTAATTGCACTTACTGTAAAGCAGTACGATATTTATTGTCCCAAATGAGTGTATCAAGTAATGGACGACATGTCGCATCGGTTGGTAAAGATATTATATGGGGATTAATTCCATCAAGAGGAATAAACGTCACTTCACCAGGTAATTTTTGTCTGTTCATTTCCATCAAGAGTTCAGAACCAAAACTTTTTTTTTGTACAACGTGATAAAATAGGCGATTGCCTGCAACAACTTCTACAGCTTTATAACATTCAGGATCACAAGTAAAAATTTCAATTACTAAACCCAAGTACATATTAACTTTATTAGCCATATCAGGTCTTTCTCTGAAAAATTTATGCAATATTTATATATTATTTTTCAACAAAATGTGAATGAAATATTGAAAATCTTACTTGAATGTTTGTAAAACTTTGTCTATGCTATTTTTACCAATCATAATATTAGTTCCAACCATAGATTTTAACTTTTGATCAATACTTCTTAATTCTTCATTACAATCAGATAATCTGTTCTTTATAATAGATTCTTTTTTGCACCTTAGAATAAAGAAAATTGTCAATTTTTATAAAATAAAAGTTCATAAATCACTTACCACATTTTCTTATCATCATGCGCTTTTCTAATATCATCACCTAGCTTGTAACGATTTTCAATATTTTGATTCAAAGAGTTTTTTTCTTTTTCCATATCAGATTCAATTATAGCAATGTTATTTTTTAAATCTTCATTTGTTTTTTCATCTAATAAAATTTCATCTTTGAGAACTTCTATAAATTCTCTTTTTTTTTCAATGAGCGTATTAACACGCTCTATCTCATTACTTATCCAAGTATCTCTTTCATCCTAATTTAGAATATATAAATATAAATTTAAAAAACTTTTGCACATCTAAGCTGATAAAAAAATGGTTACCTTATTTTTAAATTGTTTAGCACGTCCATATTTATTGTACAATTCTGTGCGTTGCTGATCTTTGAGATCTAATTCTTTTAGTACAGACTTCTCATGCTTGAGAGATTCTTCATACTGAAACAATGGACTTTAATCAATTAAGTTCATACAAAATGTTACTACTATTGACTTACCTTTGGCTCAATAGAATTTAAATGGTTCATTTTATCTTGGATATCTATATTTAACTCTTTTAGATGTTTTTCTAGCGATGATTTCTTTTCATCTTTTATTCCAACTTCTTTTTTCAAATCTTTAATATTTAATTCTAGCTGAGCTTCTTTTTTTAAAAGATCTTCTTTATCAGCACTAGAACATTATGAATTTGAATTAATAATAGGTGAAAATGTAATTAAAGGCATATTAAAAGCTATTGGAATTATCAATTATAAAAGACTACTTAAGTAACATAGGGGCCTGGTCATATTAATTTAATTGCAAATAAATAAGTATGAGTTTTAAAACTATATAATTACTTTAAATTCCTTAGCTCTTCATTCATATTATTAATGGTTTTGGCAATTTTTTTATGATCTTTATTGTTGTCTTTTAAGGTTTTTTGTATTTTTTCAATTTTTTCATTCAATTTCATGTTTTCACTAGAGAAGGTTTGTTCCTCTTCTTCCATTTTCTTCAACTTTTTTTTATATTGTTCCAACTGATGATCAAAAATAACATGTTCTATGGTTCTGCGTGTCCGATCAAGGATTTTAAATTCTTTGAAATCGTCCATTTTAACTTGCAATTCTTGTATATGTTCATCTAAAATATTAATTTAACTATTTGTTAATGATGCCTTGAAACTAAAAGTTTTTTATGGAATCAGGTATTACACTACACAGACCTATTAGTAACAAACATTCCTGAATTTCATCAATTTTTGATTGAGCAGCTTTCAATAAAATTGTAGAATCCTTTTTTTTTGATTCAAAAACATTAGCTCCAGCAATTTCATATAATAATTTTAACCTGGACTTGGGCTCCATAGCGACTTTATTGATCTACAAAAGAATTCAATTGCTAATTGAAATAAAAATGTAAAAAAAAATTTGTAAAAAAAATACCTGTCCTTGTTGAACTATGTAGTATGGGTTTGAACCCGATAGTCCAGGGGATTCTATGAGGTGCGTCAAATCATTTCGAGTTATTAACTTTTTGTTCAAGAAGTATTGGTCTTTCTTTAAACCAATAACTCTTCTCAAGGAAACTTCATCTTTATCAAACTAGTAAAATCAAATGAATAAATATATATTTTTGAATGTCACACGTTAGCAAAAATAAATACTTACAGGTAAAGAATGATCAGAATTATCAAAAATAATTTCTACAGAAGCTGTTATAACTTTCTTATTGGAACTGTCAAATAGAAAGCCTTGTTTTTGAATGTCTGATAGATGAAACAATTCATTGTTCAACAAAAATTGAATGGCTGCAAAGAAGTTACTTTTTCCTGCCCCATTCTTCCCAACTAAAATGAAATTGTTATAAAATATAAGAGGAAACTATTAAATAACAAATATATGTTTGCGTAATATAATCTTACTGATGACGGTATGTCCAGGGTGAAAAGGTTCAACAATTGTTCGCTCGCCATAAGATTTGAATCCTTCCAGTATTATCTTTATTTATAAAAAACGATATAGCTTCTATTAATTTACGCTCATAATATAATTCGTAGGTGATGAAATGAAAATGCCATTTTTCAAATATACGTTGAAACAAAACGATGCGTATTTCGCTTCGATCATACTACTTTAAAAATGACGGTTACAAAAATAAACATTAATTATTCTTACCTGTTTGATGTACATTTTCAAAATGATAACAGAAAAAAAGACAAAATTCAAACAACACTTATCATGAACAAACGTTCCACTAACGAAGTGCAAAACTATCGAGCATAGGGCGGTGATGGGTGGCTGTCGCGCGCGGAAATAACAACGTAAATTTTAGTTGATTCTAACGGCGTCGAATTTTGAAAGAACTCATCGGTGAAGACAAAGCAAGGGTATACTGGGAATCGAACATCAAAATCGCGACGTTCAACATCTGAATCGCGCCTACCGAGCACCGGTCGCGCTTTTTCAATTTCACATATATATGTATCTATGTGGTTCGACTATTCGAGTTGCAACTTGCATCCGCTATTCTGCCATTTTTAATGGCGCACGTATCGCTTCCATGATCGTTGACTTCTTTCTACTACATATTCGCTAGTTCATCGACCGCAGACTAATTCTTATTCGGATTTGTTCATATTTATCAATGATTAAAACAATGACAGATGACAGATATGTAAACAGATACATTTTATTTTACTGCAATTTCTCAACTGTTAATTTCTATTAACGAAACACAGGTTATTTTTTACATACGTTCATGGTCGTTACAGAGTGTATTTTTATAATAAAACTGTTTATTACTATGATATTATATAAAAGAAAGTTTCCCAATAGTTATAAATTGTTTCATGAACATTCATATTATACACTTAGATTTAAGTAATCAGTTTTTTACATTAATTTAGTCCAATGAGTCCAGGTTTTTAGAAGTTCATACAATTTATCACCAGGACAATTGGTATGTCCAGCTTGTCGATGACCAATAAGTGAGTATTTTTCATTTATTTTATTTGAAGATATGCCGTACTCAATTAAAAGTTGAACTGCTCTTATTGCGCCTTGATTAGGAACACGATCTAAATGATTTATAATTTTGTGTTAAATTTTCATTAAAACATAGTATAATTATGATTTAGATTTATAACTTACTATTATAGTTTCCAATTATGCAAATTCCAATGCTCATTTCATTATACTTGCTTGTGTGATTACCAGCTACGTCCCAACCCTGACCTTCATATATATTACCATCTTCTCCAATCAAAAAGTTATATCCTATATCATTCCACTTTTTAGTTCTTATGTGATAATCCTGAAAAATTTACAATACAAAGTAGGTCTTATTTTTTTCAATTTATCTTCTAGTAAAATTGAACATTATTTATTATTTGATATCTATGCAAGTATAACTCTTAACTATGTACCTGAAAATTTCTTATTCGAGCTTGACATATTGCTCTCGTAGTACAAGTATCTGTCGCAGAATGATGAATAACAACATAGGAAGGTGGGTTCTCCTGTAATCGCTGAACTTGGGCTTTTATTGATTTAGTACTCCACTCCGATTTTAATATTATTTTTGGAATTTCTATTTAATTTCACAATTATTTAATATTCACTTTAAACATAATAGATAGAAATAATTTGTTGTCTATAAATTATATCTTACCCACTTGTTCGTCTTTCAATATTGATCTACATTGAACCACTATTAGTGTTGAAATTAATAAAATACATTTACAAATCATTTTGATACTTTAGCTCACAATCTTAAAGTATCAAGTAACATCAGTATAGAGAAAATGGCACCAATGACTCGAGAAATTATGTAAATCGCATGCGCGCATACTTTTTTTTATTAATAGAACGATAAAAACGGGTAACGTATACATGTGTCGAGAATGAATCAGTGCTTGGATGGAAAAAATTGTGTCCCGAAAACTATTTCAAGTTTTAATGACAATACCGATTAGGTTTTTGTATCTAAAATTTAAATCGTAAATGCGTGTTATCAACTTGAGATGTAAGAAATTAAAATTAGCTTTAATTGATGTTCGTAAAATTAAAACTTTTTTATACGTTCATAATAATTCTTGTTTAACTAATGCAAGATTAATATTAAATTATTAGTTAATTTCGGAGTTTTAGTTTAAAATTATTTATTTGTTTACTATCAATTACGGTATCTGCACACACGAATGTACTTGATTGCATACATCTGTGAGGAAGTAATTTTAGTTTTTATTTGACACATCTTTTCATATTGAAAAATTATGGTTTTGTTTATTTTGGGTATTATAGAATTAAATCTCCGTATTAAAGATCATTAGTTTATTTCTTCCTTTAAGTAATGATACGTTACTAGTGCATGGAATCAATTTGAAATTTTTCTTGTACACATTTTATTTATTAAAATTACAAGCATGATTATAGTACGCAAAAACACTTGTGAACATTAATGTTCGTAACTATTTCACGTGTAAATTCAACACTTACTGCGGTAGTGCTATCAGTTCTAATTAGATAATAATAAATCAGGACTGTTCATCCAGTTGGGCATTTTTCTGACGTACTGGTAAAAAGCATTGCCCGGACACTGGGTGTTCCTTGCTTGTCTGTGTCCGATCACACGATAGTCAGTTCGTAATTTTTTCATCGCGATGCCGCACTCGATGAGCTTGTGCAGAGCCGTCAAAGCCAACGCGTTTGGTAGTCTTTCTATAAAATCAACACGCCACATTGAATCATCATAGCAATCTTTGTACTCCGGGTACCAGAGGAAGGTGTACAAACAGTAAAAAGTACTTTTATCAAACTTACATAGATTTAAAAAAAAAACAAAAGAATCTGGAGACTTTATAGAATTGCTTTCTAAAATGTGTGTTCGACTTCTTATACAGTATATTCGATAACTTCATTTAAAATTTTGTAGTTCTATTTATCATGAATTGATTACGTTATGAGTAGAATAAAAGTGATTTCGCCTGTTCGTTCCTCAGATAAGAATAAGCACTGCAAGCAAAAAAAACTTACCGGTAAAATCACCGATCACGCAGATGCCGATACTCCGATTATTGTAACCGGGCGCGTGCGCCCCTACTTTGTCCCAACCTCGGCCTTGGTACACGTTACCATCTTCACCGATGACAAACTGATAACCGATGTCCGACCAGTGATTATTGTCCAGGTGGTAGTCTTGGTACGAGCGTAGGATGGCGCTGCAGCTCGATCGGTTGTAGCAGTAACGGGGCACGCCTCCGTGGTGCACGACCACGTAGCGAACCGGTCTCTCGGGCATGAGAGTCGAGCTCAGAGCTTGGCGGGCCTCCCAGCCTTCGCGATTGATGATGCGCGGACAGGCCCTGCTTTCTTCGCTCTCGCTCTTCGTGCATTCGGTAGACTTCTCAGAGCAAACTATTTCTAAGCGTTGATAAATATTATTATTTTGCGTGTCTTATAATAGTCATTTGCAATACAAGTGTCAATAGTATAAATCAATAGTATAAATCAAAGTACGATACAAGTGCCAAAGAAAGTATTTTTTAGGACGACTTTTAGACTCCTCCTTAGTCCTTACTCATGTCATGAGCCTTCATACCATTCCAAACCATAAACTGCTACTAATGACATTTGTATCGTTAATTCATATTTTTTTTCACTCTCCAAGAAAGTGATGGCAATTTTTATGCTCAATACTTTGTCCAATGAAGATAAAATTCTCAATATTTATCGGTAAAACTGTATGAACAATAAATCCCTTTATTTCGTAAAATATACCTTGAGCGTCGTTCACGAAAGCACTTGTAATAATAAAATTAATTAATAACACATGAAACATAATATTATCGTTAAACAAAATTTAGGTAGCGATATTTTTCAGCGATAATGAACGCTCTGAATCGAATCAACAATATGTCACTGTAGTGCGCACAAAAAAGTGATGCTCTTAATCATTCGATTAATATCGCTGCAATTAATGACCTATCACTAGTAATTGCATACTTTCCTCATTGCAAGATGCTTTAGATCGCCAACTGACCACAAATATTGATATTAGCATTATGCAAGCTCTGCTTAATAGATGTCTCACTTTGTGAATACCTGTAGATACGTTATTAAATGCATAATATTAGGTTTCAGAAGATTAATACACATGGAATCATTTATTAACTATAACTATAATTAATTTAATTTAAAATGTTGTTTTTTGTTATTTTATTTCAATTTTTGACTTATGGTGTCTTTTCAAATTAGTACTTCGTCAGTTGATTAGATGGCATGACCGTCATTGCAGATGCATCCGAATTCTCATTCCGTCCTTCTCAGTTCGCATGGACAGTGGACTCATGGCGCATTGTGTCAAGTAAAGCAGTAAGCTACTGAGCTGCGTTTTCCAATCACTCAGTACAATTTTTCTCCGGTGACGCTTTGATCTTCCAAATTATAATATTTGGTTATAAAATAAATGTTGAACAAAACGAGTGATTTTAATTGAAAATTTAAATACCTCGTTCAACGTTTTAACATTTGAAAGAAATGAATTATTTCATAAGTGTTATTTATATGGATTATGGTGAAACATTACAGTGAAATATATTTGTATCACCGACTATAACCAAAACATTGTTTTGTAAAATATTTCAGTGTTGTGAAGTGTTTGATAATTATTATTTGTCGTTAAAAATTTATTAAGAAATAAACTAATTTGAGATCCGTAATTTCTGCAAGTAAGATTATGATAATTTTTAAGTAAAATATCTTGATATGACTAGTTTTTAATTGCTAAATTTGAAGTAAATGGCATCTAAAAATATAAATAAATAAATTTGAAGTGCATAACATTGTCACATTGTAACTTATAACTAACTTAAAAAAAAAAAAAAACTTACTTTTTAACTTTTTTAATTATAGAATAAAATCATAGCCCTAAAATGGCGTCAGAAGACCCAAATTCTTGGAGAACACAACATTTTAGACAAAGCATGATAGCAAAAATGTAAGTTGTACTACTTCCTTAATTATATTATACTATCATATGAATAAAATGATCAATGCTTACTATGGAATTCTGAACATTCTTGTAGCGAAGAGAATATGCAAAAATTTCAAATACCAACAGCTAAAAATGCAACTGACATGGAAAGTCATGTATTTTCAAAGGCTAAAACTAAGGTATTTGATTACACTACTGAATAATTTTAATATATATAGTGTTGTTCTAAACTGAAGTATGAAATCATTTTTACAGGATGATTATTTAAGCTTTGTAGCTAGACTGATATTGCACATCACACAAATGAGTAAGGACTTTATTTTTAGTTTATAATGAATTAACATTTTATTAAGAATTTCTTGATTTAAAGTTTACAATAATTTTTTTTATATTAGATAATAAAAAAACTGCTGGAAATATGCAGTCTGGTCTGAATAATGCAAACCCAGTTGTTCAACAAGGAATGCCAGATCCGATTGGTGCTCTCCAAACTTTAGCTCGCCAAGGTACTGGAAATAATGCTAACATGGGAATTCAAGGGCCGGTGCAAAACAATCAAAATATGGTTCCTCAACAGACCCCTGTTTCTAATCCTAGTAATTGTAAGTGATCATTTTTACTATTAATACAAATTGTTAAGTCTATCACTAAATCATTTATTGGTACTGTAATTATGCAATGTACATTCCAGTACTGCAAACACTGAATCAACAACCAGGACAGCCAATGAATATGCCAGGAATTCCAAATAAAATGCAAGGAATGGGAATGATGTCAGGCCAGCCTGGTTGCCCTCCAATGAATGTGAATCAAATGAATCAAATGCAAAATATGCAACCTAATCCAATGCTGGCTCAAATGAATCAGGTAAACCAAAATACAATGGGTCAACAAATGGTACGACCCCCTGGGCAACCTCAACAAATGGGTGGACCACCCATGAATGTACAAATGGGATCCAATCAAATATCATTGCAGGTAATAATTATTATACAGGAATCTTTGGTGTCTCAGTCTTATCTATTGATATAAGACTCTATATAAGCGACAAAAAATTCTGCATTTAATTAACTTCAATTTTTTGTCAATTTTTCATACTTGTACCTAACTTTGTAATTTTTTGAATAAGTTTGAGTATTCTGATCTGAATCTAATATCTGTGAATCTAATATTCATAAAATGTAATGTAGTCTCACAGCTTCTAGAGCTAACATTTAATTGCAATTAGTGTGATTTCTTTCGTTGTAACTACTTTGTAGAACTCACATAAATTGATTCTTTACGTAAAATTATTAAATTAAAAATTTTAAAATGATTTCTCGACTACTCTGCCGGATAAAAAATTTCCTTTAAAAAAAATCATCAAGTTAAGGACTCTGTCGAAAAATTTTGAAATGTTGAACTTGCTGAAAGCCGTTGCTAGCATGTTAGTAGTGTTGCATAAATATTCAAAATCAATTAATCAACTGTTTATTAAAAAATGAAGGGAAGATTAAAAGTAATAAAGAACAACATGGATTTAATAGACAATTGGTTACAAGTGTTAAATGAATGCTATCAAACTTCATTTTAAAAAATATTCGATATTTATTTAAAATTAATATTTAAAGCTCAATGAATGCACCATTTTTTTCAGTAATTTAACAATAACTGTTATTAGAATTATTTATTTTTATTTTCATTAGAACCAAATGCAGAATCAAATGGGTGGACACCAGATTGGAGGGCCTATTAATGCTGGAATGCAGCAAGGAATGATTCAACAACAACAGGTGCCTATGCAGCAACCAATTATGAATCAAATGAATCCTGCACAAATGGCTGCAAATCAAGTGTCTCAAGCGCAAATGCATCTTCAGAGAAAAGTAAGTAAATTTTTTACTAGTAACATTGGCGGCAATTGATGGAATAATGTTACAAAAAATAAAAATTATATAAAGATGACTGATTATATCTATATCATATTTTCAGCCAGAAATGATGAATTCAGGGTATCCAGGACCTAGAAATGTTACTCCAAACCAGTTTTTGCGACAAAGTCCCTCACCATCAGCTCCTAGCCCAAGTGGTTTAGGAGTTCCTACATCTACAAAGTAACTTTATTTTTAATTATAAAAAATCTTCCAATGAAATTATCTTTGAGCAGCAGAACAAAGCCATAAAATTATAACTAAAAAATAATGAATGGTAATTCTTTTTAATTACAGTCAAATGGTTCCATCTCCAGCTCTAGTATCATCGCCGAATCCGCAGCATTCTATGCTTGGTGCTCAAAGAGCAGTTGGTAAGAAGAAAACATTATTCAGATTTTATAAGAATTTTATGTGCCGATTTATCGAAAGATTAACGACACATAATTTATCAGTTTTGCTTTCTGACTCGAGTTTCTCTGAAACTGAGTCGGCTTGAAGCAACGCCATTAAGGCCCTGAATTCTCCTATTTAGATTTAAATCTAGTGATAACACCATCGGCATTTCATTGTGCACTTGCCTAAAAAGATACAGACTTTAGGTCTGCGCAAGTTTACACGTTACCACAAGACTTTGACATTAATTGTTGTAGAATTTTTTTCTAGAATATTCGCAACATAACAAAAAATTATCAAAATTTAACTTTTTGAAAGAAACCTAATGCTCTATAATTTATTTTTTTAGCAATGGCACCTTCACCCAGTAGTTCTTTAAATACACCTGGAAGCGCTCTTGGTGCGAGTCCTTTACAAGATGAACAAATGTCTCAAGCATACAAAGAAAAAGTTAGAAAACTTAGCAAGTACATAGAACCACTCAGGAAGATGATTTTGAAAATGACCGCTGAAGGAAGTAAGTAATTCAATTGTACAAAATTTTCAATTAGATTGATTTGATGAATCAATTTTCTTTTTAACAGATACTGATAAAACAAACAAGATGAAAATATTATTAGAAATTTTAACAAATCCGAGTTCAAGTACAAAATTGGATGTATTGCAGAAATGCGAAATAGCTTTAGAAAAAATGGACTTTAAAAAATTTGAAGCTCAAGGTCCTGCCATACCACCCTTAGGGCTAAAAGAACACCACTTTTTTTCTCCTTTATTAGAAGTAGTTAATACTCTTTTGCAGAGTCCAGTAGCAAATCATACTCTTCAAAGAACATTTGGCCCTTGTTTAGAAGCTTTGTTTGGACCAGAAATCAAGTATGCTATTGAACAAAAATTTCGTATTAATATTTAATTATAATCGTATTAGTTAATTGTTTTTATGATTTTAGAAACATGCCTCCACCACTAAAAAGACAAAAAACGGAAGAAACATCTTGTGAAATACCGGATGTCCTTCAAGGCGAAATAGCTCGCTTGGATCAACGTTTTAAGGTAAGCAACCGGTATTTTAATCAAACTTTTAGAAAAGAATATTTATTTCATTGAAAAAAATCATTGAAATTTTTAAAAATAATTATTAGGTCAGCTTGGATCCTGCTCAAAAAACTGGTTCAAAATGTATTCAACTTATTTGTTGGCTAGATGATAAACATTTACCTTGTGTGCCACCTATTTCTGTGACTGTACCCATAGAATATCCATCAGTACCTCCACGCTATGTTCTAACAAATTATGAATATGCGACTCCTTATTTAAATGCGGTTCAGAGCGGTCTAAATGCCCGTCTAACAAAATTGCCCACACGATTTTCCCTCTCCCAGCTTTTGGATACTTGGGAAATGAGTGTTCGTCAGGCCAGTGCCCCAATTCTACGTCATCAAGGGTCAATCGCTTCTTCAATTATTTTACATACTATTAAAAATGAAATTACAACAACTTCTCCTACGTCCAAGGTTACTGATGTGACATCAGTTACAACTTCAATAATGTCCAATACCACAACAACTGTAGCCAATAGTGTTGTAAATAATGCTATTGCTAGCAACATGGTTGGATTAGCTACCTCATAATTTATAAATGTTGCTTCCTAATTTGAAGCTTTTATTAAGTATATTTGTTTAACATTTTTGTACTTAAATAATGGATCAATTAACTTTGCTTGTATATTTTAGTTTATATTAAAATTTAATTTTAAAATTCATTTTAAATTCTGTGATTGTACATAAAAAGTAATTGTAAAAAATGTTTGGTTTGAATTCATATTGAATTGAGTCAATGTAAAACCTATTTGAACAATTTATAAAGTTCTTGTGTAATGGTAGTTTTATTTTTATAAAATTAAAATTTACATACAATTAAACAATACTCATGTAACCATGCGCAACATTTTATTTTATCGTTATTACTACAAACGATATTTTAAAGCAGTATTCTTTACAATAATATGAGATAATATGAGACTGATGACCTAAATTTCACTGTACTAAAAATAGATTTCCAATTGTCTTCTCAGTCAACATTTTTATCTCTATTGGAATATGTTAATGTATTTTGACATTATAATAATAAAACATTAAATTTTAACATTAAAATAGGATTGAATAAAAATAAATTAATAAATAATAGGATAAATAATACTTATCACAATGAATATAGTTATGTTTGTACAAATTTGCTGTTTAATAAAGATGTTTAATATAAACTTCTTAAGTAAAAAATACTAATCGATTTGAATTTTCATGAACATTTTTAAAAGATTGTACGTTTATTAATCAATAAAGCGTTCATGCGAATTATGAAAAAAATATGATTATATTAAGATATTAGTTCATATTTCGTCATTACCATGAACAGTTTAAGTTTCCATAAAATTATGAAATCTTTACGTAAAAAGCACTGGTAGTGAGATCCATTGCACTGAATGTGCATTGTGTACTAGTATATGGATAAATCCTAGAAAGGCGTCAAGTTTGATCAAGAAACCTTTTATAGTATTATTTACCTTCTGGCGCTCATTTAAGCTCGAAAGTGAAGTAAAATAATTTCTGCGCATTTGTGTTTTTTTTAATGAAGGTATATGGACGTCAATATCATTTTCCAAACCGTTGAAAAAGGTATCAAATAGTATAAAACTTCACAAAAATTGATTTCTTACCATACCATAGAATTTTTCATTCATTTAATTTAATTGAAAAAATACCGCGTTTCAAAAGTTTTGAAATAAAATTCAAATCTTTACTCTTTTCTGATGAAATTAGCTGAATTTTAATTGTCCCGAAGTAAAGCAAAGAAAATAAGTACTAGAAGTTTTAGACTAATGAAAAGGGATGTTTACTTTTGATCTTACTCAAACACAATGATTAGAAAAAAAAAATAAATTTGTAAGGTACTCTGCACCTTGCGCACATAAATGCAGTTAAATCGGTACTCAACCATATTGCAAGAGGCATGTTTGCTTGGATTGGTCTATATATCATATTGATGTATACGTAAACAACAGATGAGATGACATGTCATCGGTCCGTGATTCAGAACACTTGTCACTTTTAGTATTGTTGCCTAAAAGGTTACATATGATTATAAGTAAATTTTTTATTGTACTTGATATACACAGCGGTCATTTTGGTTTGAACCTGTTTAAAAATCATACATCGATTAAAAAATTTAGCAAGGTTATGATTATGATACGCGACGTTAAGCATGACCTCTGGCCTAGAATAAATAGTTTTTTTAATTTTTATTAAACAAATGATTATACTTTGAGAGTATTTATTCAATTATTATTATTACTCAAGTTTGACAGGTACATATTCAACTGACATTAAGTTATTACTAAAAAATTAAAACAAACTTGCACTATTTTGCTTTTAGCATAAGGTATGTTAAATACATTTACTATTTCATAATAATCTTTTTGGTATATGAGTTATTAATAAGTTATTGTTTTTTATTTTCAACTTTTTTAAACTTAGTTCACAATGTCTGAAGAAGATTGGCGACAACCTATTAACCGACAGCAAATGATTAGTACAATGTGAGTAATTGTTGAAAATATTTTACTCATACTTGATTTTTGTTGTTAACAATTCTTGTTATTTAAATAATCAATTATAGAGAGGAAGAAATAAGAAAATGGCGTCTAAACTTACCAAAATCTGCTACAGATCTAGAAAATGTGTGTTATTTCAAATCTAATACGAAGGTAAAGATTATTTTTGTAACAGCATAAACTCAAAGGAATTTGAAAATTTAATGTCAATTTATTGTCTTAGGATGAATATTTACAAAATTTTTTAAGGACCATAGGACAAATAAGAACTAGTAAAATTTTATAAACAGTTTCAAGCAGAACAATTATTATTTCAGAAGAACTTAAAAATTATTTTTTTTTTATAGAAGGTTTAGAAAAATCAAATGATTCAAATAGAATGCAGGGCATAGACAATGTAGGGACTCTACAAAAACTTTTACGTCTCCCAAATAATTCAAATGCATCCTTGCATACAAATAATCAATCAAATATGGGTCCACAAGGACAAATTGGGAACAATACTTCTAATTGTGAGTAAACAAAAATCAAACGTCTGTAAGTTTTATTTTCTTTTGCAGTAAAAAAACTTTAAGCAATGTTCAATTATATTATACAGTACTGCAAACACCAAATCAACGTCCAACACAGCCAATGAACGTTCAACAAGTAGTACAGAATAAATTATCAGCAATGAATACAATGTTAAACCCACTGATGGGTATGAATCAAATGGGTCAAATGCATAATTTACCAGGCAATGCTATGTTAAATCAAATGAATCAAACTAATCAAATGAATCAGATGTCCCAAATGAATCAAATAAATCCAATGAATCAAATGAATCAGATGAATCAGGTGAATCAGGTAAATCAGGTCAATCAAGTAAATCAAATGAATCAAATAAATCAAATGAATTCAGTGAATCAGATTAATAGACTGAACCATATGAATCCCAATAATCAAATGAATCAAACTAATCAGATGAACCAAATGAATCAAATGAATCAGATAAATCAAATGAATCAATTGAACCAGATAAACCAGATGAACCAAATGAACCAGATGAACCAGATGAATCAGATGAATCAGATGAAGCAGATGAACCATATTAATCAAATGAATCAAGTTAATCAAGTTAATCAAGTTAATCAAGTTAATCAAGTTAATCAAATAAATCAGATGAATCAAATGAACCAGTTATCTACAAATCCTCAAATTTCATCACAAGGTAATCAAAGTCCTATGGGCGGACTTGGATCTAATCCAATGCAACATACTATTCAGGTAACTACGATACTTGAGTTTACACAGATGCATGAATTTTTTACAATTTATGTTCAATTTTGTAGAATCATATGCCAAATCAAATTGGAGGTCATTCATTTGGAGGTCCAAGAAGTTCACCGATTGCATTACCATCACAGCCATCACCCTCTCATGTACAGCCACAGCATATTAATCAAGTCACTGTTAATCAAATGCCTCAACAGTTAAATCATATGCAGCGCAAGGTAATTGAATAAGTAACAATTTCATAAATAATTTCTAAGTACTCTGGTTGATAAAGAAATGAAATATAAATTTTGAAAAAAAGTGTTTCTTTTTTCAAACATTCATATGTATGGCTTATATAAATTTATTACCAATTACAGCCAGATATTGGAAATACTAACTTTCCTGGTCAAAGAAATCTTACTCCGAATCATTTTCTTAATCAGGCTCCTTCCCCATCACTACCTAGCCCAAGTGGATACCTAGGTCCTGGAAGGTGAATTAATAATAATATTTTCATCACCTTCATATCAAACAAATTATTTAACTGAACAATTTTTCAAGCAATCAAATGGTTCCATCTCCTGCTTTTGTACCTTCACCTAGTCCTCAACACCCATCAATCGGAAATTCAAGGACGTCCATGGGTAATATATTTTTTAAATTTAGTTTTATTTTTTAACTCATTAAACTAATTTATGGTGTTGTAAAAAAGTGGCTTTATCGCCTAGTAGTTCATTAAATACTCCTGCTAGTGTGATGAGTGGACCAACAGCAAGCCCATTACAAGACGAAAACTATCATGCTTGTAAAGAAAAAATACAGAAATTGCGAAAATATATTGAACCATTGAATCGAATGATTTTGAAATCAATTAATGACGGATGTAAGTTGTCAAAATGATTATAAACTAAAAAATGATATATAAATTCTTATCACGTTGAAAAAAATTTAATCTAAATTTTACAAACACATATTATTTCAGGTACTGAAAAGGTGACAAAAATGAAGGCACTCTATGAAATTTTAACAAACCCTAGTGCCAATATGAAATTAGAAGTTTTACAAAAATGTGAAATAGCTTTGGAAAGAATGGATTTGAAATCTGATCCTAAAAAATCTGAAACTCAATCTGGTTCTATTCTTCGTGCAAATTTAAAAGACCATCAAATGTTGAATCCACTACTGGAAGTAGTGAGCAAACATCTTCAAACACCCAATCCTAATCATACATTACATCGGACATTTTCACCAACTATAGAGTCATTATTTGGACCTCCAATTAAGTAAGATATTTTAAGAAAGTGTTCGAAATCCACTAAGAATTATTTAAAAGAAGAATTTCTTTATTTTCAGAAATATGCCTCCTCCCTTAAAAAAGCAAAAGTTAGAAGATAATCCTAATGAAATACCAGATGTTCTTCAAGGAGAAATAGCTCGTTTAGATCAAAAATTCAAAGTAAGAATCGACTGATTAAATTATTTACCGTGATTATAGGATTGAATTAAAGTAGAGTTAAATTAATTAATGTTTCAACAATTACAGATCAGTTTAGACCCCACTCAACAAAGTGGCTCGAAATGCATTCAGTTGGTTTGTTCATTAGATGATAAGCACTTACCTTGTGTGCCTCCAATTTTGGTTACAGTGCCTATGGAGTATCCGAAAGTTTCTCCAAAATGTATAATCATTAATCATGACTACACAACTCCTTACTTAAGTATGTTACAAAAAGCTCTTAACGAAAGGCTTGCTAATTTGCCTGAAAAATATTCTTTATCACATCTACTTGACTTGTGGGAAATGAGTGTTCGAGTAGCTTGTGGTAAAAAAATGAGAAATAATGAACGTGATTCTGTAGAACTAGATAAAATTGACATAAAGACAGATGTATCTCTTTCTTCAAGTAATTCAAACAGCTTTGGACCAAGTAGTACATTTATTAAAACATAAATGTATAAATGATATATTTAAATAACTTAGTTGAATAGATTAGGATTCAATAGATAAGAATGAGAACGTCATTGAGTATAGTTTAATATGTTACTATATTTAAGATTCTTCCAAGATTCAAAGTTATTATATAAAAATTTTAATTAATATTATTAAAGATAGTATAAAAGTAATTAAATTTTTAAATGTTATAAAATTATATAAAAATGATATATTTTCCAAAAGTTTGAGAATTTAAAAATTATTTGACTATTAATACTTTATAAAACTACATAGTATTTGTTATTATTGATAGTTAGCCTTAAATTAGTCAAACTATTAAATCCTAGGAAATATTTTTATAAATTTTGTTACAACATTGGAAGATTTCAAACAAAGATATTTTGAAGAAAAAAAGTGTTACCATTTTTTAGATTGCGAATTTTATTATAAATAATTAATAAATGAAACATTTATTAATATTAGAAAGAATAAAAATGTGTAATGTATGTTTGTTAATTACAATTGACGTATAACGAAAGTTGAAAATTCCTTTTTTTGTTATAAATTATCATTTATTTTTCATAAGCATTTTGTAAATTTGTATTTGAACAAAAATATTAAATATTATTTATCATGAAAGAATTCGTTAATTATTTTCATAATTATAGCTGAATACATATTCCATTTCATCGAACACCTATACAGCGGTTTTTTTTTAAATTTGGCGTTGGGAGAATTCGAATTAAACGAAAAATTAACCGACGAATGCGATGTCATTTATCAATCGGTTAAAGGGTGAGCAACATGCATAATCCGGCGTGCGTTACTAGTACACATAATCTGACGGCTGAAACTTGCGTTTTGAAATTGGTATATTAATTTTGATTATAAAAATAGCATAATGTCGACTTTTTTGGCGAAAGTTTTAACAATAATCTATTTAAAGGTTGAGATTTCATTAGAGAAAAATTCAAATTGTATTGCTGTACGTTTCGATCCTACGAATCATAAGCTTCAAGTTGTTGATAACGGAGCGGGCTTTACTTATTACGAACTGAAACATCTTTTCGAACAGAAAGAAAGCTCATCTGCCATTCAGACATTGTTTAATAAAATTCAACGTTCATCGAGTGCAGTCGTCGTTACATCGCGCAGCAAAGATTCTCCTCATACTTACGTCAAAGTATAAAACTCGTCTCTTTCTACTGTCATTCGCCTGATTCCGTAATTGTTTTAATGTTTACGGTTCATCATTCGTATCTCCGCATCGTTTCAGGTCGTAAATGAAAGCAACAAAGAGAAACTTTTCGAAGGCTATCATAGACCGTCCAAAGGAACGACAGTTACAGTCTATAACTTCAACAGCAGTGGCTGGACTTGCAACGGAAATGTAAATTATTCTCTCTCGTATGCAATTGCCGCCGTGGCTTGCGCTGAATCGCAGGTAAAAGCTACAACAACTTTTCAACTACTTTATAGCTCCATTATTAAATGGAATTTTTTCGATCAAGGTTTCATTTTCCGTCAGAAATGACGCGCAAAAGAAAATGTTGTTGAGCTTGAATAAACCCCACAGTCCTTGGGAAGTATTGACGGTTTTAAAGGGCTACCAAACTTATGATACGCCACATCAATCGGTGAGTCGGGCAATGAGTGATTTGAAAAATGGTGAAACCGTAAAAAAAATAAGCGTTCTGAATGTCGCAAGGAATAACATTGCTACTGCTCATCCCGAGAATAGCTTGATCGGCCCTTTTTCCACATGGTCCGATTGGTCATACAAACCTCGACAAGTAGGCAACAATATGCTAACCATTTATAGTCGTAACATGCAATTTCTGTCTAGTCCAAAAGTGAATCATCTTAGTATGAATGCAATGAAGCTTAGCCAACTTTCCTTCTGGTCGGATTGGTCCTACAGCCCAAAAAATTTGAAGAAAACCTGCCAATTAATAGACGACGCTTTTTCCATAAAAAGCTTCGATGATTCAGTATTCGAAGAAGTTTTGGATCAACAGTGTAAGAATATAGAATCTGCTTATTATGATCAACTATGCAAACAACGTCGATTGAACAAGTGCAGATTGACTGGAGAAACAGTTAATACTGTGCAGGTAATATGAAAGAAATTGGAAAGAAATTTTAAAATTTTTAGGGCCGATTTAAAAAAAAAGTATTTTATTAGGTAATTCGACAAGTAAATAAAGAATTCATACTAGCTACAGCCTATCAAGACGGAAAAAAACTACTTATAATAATTGATCAACATGCCGTTCACGAACGTATACGTTATGAATGGCTCTTGGAGAGTAATTAAATTTTTTTTTCAATCTAAATTAATAACAGTAAAAAAATTAATAATTATAATGAACCAATTTTTTACAGCCTACCGAAATGAACAAAACTATAATTATTATCCAATGAAATTAAAACAGGACCTAGCTATAAGTAAAATTAGTCACGAATTGCTCCAAAATATTGCTGAGCATAAATTAAAATTCAGAAAATTTGGCGTCAACATAAAAGCGATCATTACTTCTACAGCCACATGCATCGTCGATACCGTTCCTGCGTGTTTTGCTACAAAGATTATGAATAATTATAATCGATTCAACATCAACAAATTGATACTTAATGTTCGTGAACTACTGGTCGAGATCGCAGGCAGACTCGCTACTGCGGAAAATGCCATGTTGCCACTTTTACCGATAGCTATAAATAATGTTATTGCAAGCGAGGCTTGTCACAGTACGTAAAATATATACTAATGTGTAGTCTTGCGTATACTTTAAACGATTTTAATTGTGTCATTTTTTCGTATAGAAGCTATCAAATTTGGTGATCCTTTGAAAGTTGAAGATTGCCAATTATTGGTACGCACTTTACAGGACACGAAGGCTCCAACGCGATGTGCGCATGGCAGACCGTCGATGGTTCCTCTTGCCGACTTAACAGAATTAGAAAAAACTAAAACTCCAATAGCAGTGAGTAAACTTATTAATATATCTCAATATTAAATTATATAAATATATTCTATGAATATATAGTATTTTTTATAAATTTGAAAGAAAACAGTTGAGAAAAATTTAGTTGTCTGGTTTATTGGACATTTGAGTATTAAAGTTGTCAATATAAGTCTTATAAAATATTTGTTGAGTAAGAAAAATATCGATCATACATATTTTGTACTACAATTTGAAATTGATTGTTGAAAAAAAAGTCGACTTCGAATCTTTTTTATAACAAAACATTAGGTTCTAAAGTATCGAGTATTTATTTGGAAAGATTACGAAAAAATCGGCTGCAAACGCAAGCCAGGTTCGGTGGAGAACTGGTCCTTTTAAATCATTACAAATATAATTATACATCGGGGAAAGCGGATATAATAATATCTTTGCCAAAGTAATTAACACGGTTAGCAACGACGAGGAACTTGGAACCACCCATTTGCAGCGGGCAAGCATCGTTCGGACGAACGTAGAAGCAGATAGTGTAGAGAGCCATCTCGAGCTCGGGCGATGTGCCGACAAATATCGATGTAATTGGTTGAACGATGTCGTTCAGCTTTGAGCGACCCTTTACAATAGCTCCGTTCTGAAAATAGGTGGGAAAAAGTTTGAATATAAATTCTTGTAGTTTTTACTATTTCACAGTAGTTGCAGTACTTCATTCAACTCACCGAACCAAACTCTGCCATTTTAATGAAGCCAAGATAATTGAGATTTTTAGCTTCTTCTTGTTTGGCGAAGTAAATCCAATTGTGTAGACCGATGATTTCGTTGTCGAATTTCTCAGCCAAAAATACGGTCTCGAAGCCTGAGCTCGTTGGCTCGCCTTCCATTCGCTTGAATTGCGAGAACCAGATGCGCTTGAGCGAGTCCTTGAACTCGTACTCGTCGTTAGGGACGTAGCCTTTGTCAGAGAGGAACTTCATGGCGGCTTTCATGACGTCGGTAGTTAGAAAAGCGTCCAACAGATCGGATTCCTCCTTACGTTCTTCTGAACTCACAGTTTCCTTGGTTTTCACGTCTAATTCATAATTATCGTGAAGCGCAAGAACTGCTTTCACAGTCGGGATTTCGTAAGCTTCTGGTTTCACTTCCAATAAGCTGTTGCATAAAAGAAAAATAAATTGCCATTAAATTTCTTGTTTATTGGTAAAAAGCTGCAAAAACAGCGACTAAGAAAAAGACTTCTCTTACTTTTCTGGAGCATCGTCGGTAGAGCTGTCATCTGTCTTGCGTCCTTGAATCTTCATGACGATGTGCTTCATGGCGTTGTTGCTGTCCTGCTTGAATAGGTCCTCCGAGAGGGCCTCCAGATCGGCATCGGTGATTATGGCACCGGACGGGCTAGGAGGGTACTGGGGTTGAGCCGGAGGCTGTTGTGGTTGGCCAGGAGCAGGAGCGGCAGCAGGAGCTGCAGCAGGAGCGGGGGCGTTGTCAGGCCTCCCGGAAGCCGATGGCGCGGCAGTGACAGGTTCAGCAGCTCCGTTAGATGGGGGACCCGTTTGAAGGTAGGCGGGCGCCGGTACGTTTGCCGGGTTCACACCCGCGTCCTGCGCTGGCGCACTCGATCCGTTGTTGTAGTAATTGTTGTAGGTGATCTGGGTGTGCGTCACTGGTGGAACTACGCCGCTGCTGCTGGCGCCGTAGCTCGGACTGTGTCCATAGATTCCACCTGAGTACAGAATGAATAATTTGGTCTTAGTCGTGCGAGTCGCGAGAAGCCCCCAAAACACCGCCAACTCCGCTTACCTGGTAGAAGCCTGTTGACGGCGGCATTGACACCGGCGCTAACACCGGCGAACACGAAAGCCTCCTTGGCCAGCTGACCGATTCCAGGTCGCGAGGATTGTTGCACGAGTATGGTTTGGGCCGGTTGGGCATGACTAACGCCGGCAGAACCGTAGGATGGATTGTATCCTGCTCCGGGAGTGTTGCTGTAGCCGTGACCGGCGTTGCCGTAAGGCGTGTAGCCGCCGTTGGGATGGTATCCCGCGCCCGAGGGAGCGTGGTAGCCGCCCGAGGGATTGTAGCCACCCGAGGATGGGTGATATCCGCCCGAGGATGGATGATAGCCTGCAGAGGGATTGTAGCCACCCGAGGGCTGATGATAGCCGCCTCCGCTACTGTACGGTGGTGGATTGCCACCATAGTGCTGTCCTATATTGATTAACAATACCGAAACAAACGAGAAATTAGCATTGTCATTCATCTGACGCGAAGCTTATTTATAAATAATATTTTTCGGTTGTAGATCAATGTAGACATCGTTTACCGATTTTTATACAATTAATGTATTTTTACATGAAATTAATCGATAATTTTGAAAAAACTGAGTGAATTTCACGAAAGAACTTTTAATTTTACAGATTTTCTGGTAAATTCAAACGTTCCCTCTTAAAATATCATATATTTTTAATAACCATTATTCGAACGTACCTGATCCTGGATAGCCAGAGTTGACATTACTGGCACCGGTTCTGGTGATGTGTTCGCTCGGAGCGGATGCTTTAGGTACGGTGCTACTAGCGGATCCACCTCGATTGTTGTTTGGTACATTCCATCCTATTGTTCCAGGTTGGGAGCCTCCCGACGCTGAAAAAAAATTTACATTGATTCGATTTTCTTAAATTTTTCACGACAATTGAATCAAAATGCAATTACTGCAAAAGCATGACTAGCACTTTGAGATCTAGATTAAATTTTGGCGTGAGAAATATAAGTGAATTAACTGCATTGTGACGTTTTCACGAATGCTTACGAATGCACAAGTTAATATCATTTTGTTATTTTTGTTTTCTACGTGTAATAATCATGCTTTATAATGAGTTGTGAAATCCATGATCATGAATTTTTCTGGTCAAAGTTAATATAAAAGTGGTTGACCTTGCGAATATCATATCAATAATGTTGCTATGAACTATTGAGAAAATTCAAGAACTTACATGAATGGCTCGGCTGCGGTTTGCTTTGAGGTTTTGAAGAGGACCCTCTCTTAGAGGAAGTGCCCCAACCAGAACTTCCGAAACTACCACCTCTTTTCTTGGCGTCGATGTCAACGACTGTGAAACAACGACAATAAATGAAAAAAAAATACATGTAGTTTGGTACAATGTCGTTCAATGTTTTCGCGAGTTTGATTCGTTTCTTCCGGAAGCGTCATCTAATGACGCTCGAAACATTGATTTTCAGCGAGTAATTATCTATATCCTATAAAGGATCGCACAAGTGTGCCGCTGATTCATCGCGCTATAACAATATTTATAATTTTTACGATTAGTGAACCGCTCGTACTCAGAGATATCATTACAGAATGTCAAATGTATTGACGAGTTTGCAATTTCGACGCGATTTTCGCGTAGATTGTTTTATTCTGCTGCAGCGAAAATCCAGGCACTCGAGAGCGTTCTCCATTTTCCAGAAAAATTGTTATCAGCGCATTTATAATTATCGACGTTTCAATGGTGAACTTGCTCTTGATTTCGTTCAGCGGAGCGCGCAATAATAAATATGAATTATGCCGCCGCTTGGAGTGCGCCGAGGGTGTAAAATGAATCGTATCGAGTCCCGCGCTCTTGTGTATGTATACGATTCAACATTATACGATAGGTATAATGTAGGCAATAACGCGTTCGTCAACTCTTCATCAAAAGTGATGACCGCGTCGAGTGGCGCGTACGAGTGCACGCTAGAGGCACCTTTGACACCAGCTCTGATAGCCGAGATATTGTACACGCTGACCGAGCTCGTGTCCGCATAGTTCGCGAAGCATCGACAAGTGAATAATCGGCTCGACTCTCTTTGCACACGTTCATCATCTAGTCAATGCTGATGGGCGCTTTTATGCGCCTTCCGAGTACGATTCTCGAATATGTTATTGCAAAAATAGGAGCGCAATTACTAGCTGTTACTCAAACTTCCGCGCAATATATATCGCGCAGCAGTACTGCGATGTAATTGCGAGCCGATCTTTCCTTCCACAAAATTGAGCTCTCGATAGCTATTCCATTTCGCTCGTGTGCCGTTAATATTCGACGACGACAATAACAACAATAAAAAACAACAGTAAGAAAATAGTCAATATTTTCACTGACAGTTACAATTATATAGAGCAGTGGCGACAGGCTACGGTGACTTTCGCTTCGACGCGCTATCGAAAGTTTTGTTTGACGTCGGGTGTTAAGAAATGCCGGAGTTCGCTCGATAACTGCCCGCCGTTCGATACTTAGTAAATGAAATAAAATCCCGCGGGGGAATTTACTTCTTTTTTTTATTTGCAGTAAAACTTTATGCGTAAGAATCGATTTACTTCGTGTTATCTAAAATTAAAGTATAAATTCTGTAAAATACAATGTTAAACATCGTCAATAAAGCGAGATATTCTCACGAGAAAGGAGCACGGACAAATCAATTGTTTACGTTGAGCTAGGTATGTATCGAATGTTTGCATAGAACACTACACACGCGGCTTTGGTTTATTGTTAATTGTCTCTTACCGGATACGACGAGCAAAAGCGCCAGGAGAAAAAAGCTGGCCAGGCGAAACTGGCGAGCCATTCCGTTGCAGTTGTGAAGCAGACGAGGAAAAGTCGAAACACTCGATGCTAGCTAGTGGTAGTTCACTGCGAAAGAAAAAATAAATCCAATCGATAAACTTGTGATAACTTTGCTCAAACGAAGCGTAATGCTGTAATCGGGGAAAATGCGCGTAAATATGCATGCATCGCAGATTCCAACAAGGAAACAAGATATAGCAGTACCTCTACGATGCGTAAACTGTGCTCTATAATAGAGTATACAAATCGTGTGCGCAGTCTCTTGGGTCCGCGTTGAGATGCGTTGGGTTTCGCGATCGGTCAGTTACTGAAGCGAAGACTCGCCGAGATGCTCGAGATATATAAATGAGCCGAACGATCGCAACTCGGCGCGCAACGCCTCGTACACAATACACGCACACACATGCCTATACGCTTCTATGTGTGTTCTCGGTTTTCCTGCGTGCGTCCCTGAGCCCATATACCCACTACACGGCCGGCGCTGCTTAGCATGCTCATCCACTATATTCTTTTGCCACACCGCGATATTTACGCTACATACAATGTATACATCCATGATATACACGCGAATATGTGTAATACATATATGCACGTGTGTATCTACGTTTCTCATATACTTTGCTGTCCAGTTATGTTATTCTTTGCCATATTAAAATATACCTATACATACGTCATCGTGATGTAGATACGCATTTATGGATACAAAGCGAGCATAATAGGAGCAGCTGGGAAGATCCATTCAAACTTACAACTCCAAGTATGATGTAGATCGCTCTTCGTAACTTTTTTTGTTCGGTCACGTTTTCTTCGCTCTTAGTATTGCCGTATCTCTATAAAAAAGAGGGTAATTTAATCTGAAAAATAAATAGTCATAGATGATTTTTATCCAGAACCATGAATAGATGATTAGTAGTTTCTTTGTTGAAAATCAGCTGTTCTATTACAAAGAATAGTGCAACTTTAAAAACCAAAGCCCGTGAATATTACTATCGGGATTTCCCTTTCCACGCGCTCTGGATTAACCATTCTTTCTACGCAAGAAATTTCGCGTGCCGTGGCTTTTTACGCATGAGTCATATCTACTCGTATGCTTTTATGTAACGGAAAACAATCGTCTGAAAAATCGATGGTAAAATTTACAATTACACTTTTTTAGCAATGCAAAACCATCCTCGAATTGAACATCAATACATTTTTTCCCTAGACTTTTTTATTTTTATGTATTTATGAAATCGTTCATAATTGAACTTATTGTTTAATACAAATTTATATATATTTTTTTAGCAACAAGTAATGAAATTAATATGAATAATTAATAAAAAATTGTATAAATAGTTCACGTTTAGGAATTAAATTTATGAAACACATTGAATCTCTGTTTGAAAAATTTATATTTCGTTATTGTTTTTTTTTTATAATGTTCCATTATTTATTTTATTAACATTTATATTTTTAATTATTGTTCAAATGTAAATTATTTTTTTTTTAGAAAAAATTAAACTTTCGATCTTTGAAGAAGTATGCTGCAAAAAAAGATTAATCAACTTTTTCTACAAACAAAATACTGAATTTGTGAAAAAGAATAACAATATGAATTAATAACTTTCGAAGTTGTAATAATTACATAAGTACTTTTATAAACTATTAACAAGCTTTAAATGATGTAAAAGCAATAATAAATATTTGTAATTAATTCTTCTTGTTTCTATCTTTTTCTTCTTTTTGAATGTATTTATCAAGAATTGCTTCACTGGGATAGTCTGGTACAGATAGTTGTCTAAATCCTTCTTCATCAACAAAACAAATTTCATGATCATCCTAGAAAAATTATTATTGATTTCAAATCATTCAGTTTTATAACAAAACATTTAGCGTAAAATTAAATTCTTACAGGATCAGCCAGAATAATTACTGTAACTGTGGCTTTTCCAGGTGTATCAAGGCTTATTAAATCTGTCAAAATCTTGTTATTGGTACTTTGAATTTTCTCACGAATAACTGTTTGCTCGGCATTTGGTACAGCAAAAGCAATACGTCCATATGCTTTAGCATGATTTATTTCAGTTCCTAAAAAAGAATGCAGTTGGCTTTGAGTAAATTTTTTAATTCATAAAGAAGAATAAAGATAAATTAATCAAACCTATATCTTTGAATTCCAATTTGGCTTGAGATTTTCCATACTCCAAAATAGCATTTTTATCAGTCTTTTGTACAAGTTTCATTTCCAAAACTTCATTCCAATAAGCTAAAGTACGTTGAAGGTTTGAGCTGGATAAGCATATTTTTTGTACAGGATCTGAGGTAGAAGTAAAAACAATTAATGCATTATTTATTGAAATATTTTTCTGTAAGCATATTTGAAGTTATAAATACCTTGATCAACAGGTTGAGGTTCATCAATAATGTAATACTTATAGCCACCAGGAGCTTCTAGAACATATTTACCATCCTCTTCTTTCATTGGCCAATTATGGATTTTGGCCCTTTCAATAGTTTCTTTGGAACGAATTGTGATTCCTTGAAAATCATTACCAGATTCATAATTACTAACTCCATAGTTATAGGTTAACTCGACAACAAAGTGAGTGTCCTCAGGACCATATCCAATCATTGTTTTACTCCATCGGTTAGCATATGGACTTTAAATAATAGACCATAGATAATTTTAAGCATAACATTTCAGATTTATCAGTTAATGATTAAGAATACGAACCCATTGCAAGCGGCTTCGCAACCTTCTGAAAATTCTTCATGACGAAGAACCTGAATATTTACAATAAATTTAAAAAATTTGCTAATATAATAAATATAATATTTATTGTTTTCACATACCTTCATACCCAGAATTTCACGATAAAATTTTGCCGTTTGCTTACGATCGGCAACTTTAAAAACAAAATGCAAAGCTCGTCCGTTGATCATGATGCAAAAATGTATGCACAAGTGATTGTGAGCAGGTGTGTTACGAAGTTAAGAGTTGCCTCACGACTGACTGAACGAAAAATTGCAGCAATCAAGTAAGTCTGGAGTCTCGAGTTGATGAGTAATTACATGAAGTTTTTTTATATAAGATTATGATTATCTCGAGACTTTTATTACCGGTTATTAGGCACGTCACACAACACAATACAACTATAGCTACGCACAGATACACATATCTGCCGAAGCTATTGAAAATGTATCATGTGATCGGTAAGCATAGGTAAAAGCAACTCATCGGTATAACCTTGAGAAATACGTAAATCAACGCTCATTTCAAAGATTTTTCAATTACGCTGAGCTGAGTGATGGATCTGCGTAAAGATGAAACATTTAGTACATACAGAACAAAATGTACATGTGCTGCCGGTACAAATTCGTCGAAAAATGTATGATTTCTATAATGAAAAAATTTATGATATAAAAATATATCTTCTAAAATGAGCGCGCGTAATGAAATTCATCTGATAAGTTAGGATTCTGCTATTATTGATAACAACAAATAATTGCGCACGCCGGCTTATAACAGCACGTGTGCCGCAACTGCAGAGTGCAGACGTGTGCAATCTGAAAGTGACAGTTGTATTTTTATTCTTACTTTGACTAATTTGGTAGTTCAACATTTTAACATTGATCGCATCGTAATGTTCAAGTTTAATTTTGGAAATGCTGATGGTGTGTAAAAATAATTGATACTTTCTTTTTTATAATTATTTATAAATAAAAAATTCATTCAATGTTAATAATTTTTATTAGTGACGGATGAAGAAAAAAGTGAAAAGAAAGATGATGAATTACAATGGTTCCCAGCAAAAGAAGTAAGAATCCCGACCCACTTACTTGAAAAAGGTGTAGAAAAAGAATTAGTGTTTTCAAATAATACAAACATTGAAAACTGTCCTTTGAAACTTGTTGATTCAAATGCTGTTATTGATAAATTGACTGAAGAAAATTCTGAAATTATTGTGGAAGCTGAATCAAAACATTCAGATCTTTTACCAGCTAAGTATGAAGGTATGTCCAGGTATAAGTATTATATGATTTGCATTATTAAACGATTTTATTCTTGTTTTAGGAGGATTAAAAATTTGGGAGTGTACTTATGATTTAGGAAATTATATTCTTAATGAAAAAATATCCCTTGAAAACAAAAAAATTTTAGATTTAGGATGTGGAGCAGGGATTTTGGGTATCATTGCTCTTCTTAAAGGATCTACTGTTGATTTTCAAGATTATGTAAATTATATAAATATCATTCTAAATTAATTTTCTTAATCTAACAGTCATCAATTAATTTTTCTAGAATCAAGAAGTAATAGAAGCATACACAATACCAAATGTGATATTAAATTGTGATGGTTCTGACGTAATAGAAAAAAAATGTAAATTTTATTGTGGTGATTGGAAAGCATTCATTGATCTAAAAGAATCATCTGAAAATGATGAGAAATATGATTTTATTCTTACAAGTGAAACTATTTACAATCCAGATAATAATGAAAAATTATATAATGTATTCAAACATTTGTTAAAGAAAAATGGAATTGGGTAAATAGTCTAAATTTGTAGTAAATGCTTATAATAACATCTAAAAAAACTTATAAATTTGTTGACAGATTTGTAGCTGGTAAGGTTCATTATTTTGGAGTTGGAGGAAACATGAGAGAATTTGAATCGCTAATTAAAAAGGATGATGTATTTGAAGTTACATCAATTTGTTGCAATACAGAAGGTTTATTGTTGTTTTTTATTATTCAAATGATTAAATTTAAAGCTAAAACTTAAACTTTATCTAATTTTAGGTTTGAGGAGGGAAATACTTATATTAAAACAGCATCAATAATAGAAGTGTATTCAACAGTTTTTATATTAATGTTAGATAAAAAGGTGATTGATGAAACTAATTATTTCCAATAATTTTGTTGAGTCGAGAATGTTGTAAAAAATTATGACAATGAAAATTCCAAGTTTTTAAAGAACATAAAATATTTTTTGTTTTATTTTAATAAATTGATGTAGATTTGAACACTGTATATTACATTTTTACAAACAAAAAAAGTACTAAAACTTATGGCAGTGTATAACTTAGTTAAAGACTTTACAAGTATTGTCTCTTTCATAATATTACAATAAAATTTTGTTATTGAATGGAATGAATAATATAATTCTAAAAAAAAATTTTTTTTACGACCTGCATAAAATATTCAAGTTTGCAAAACAAATTTTTATCACAATATATTCAAGTATTAAGGTGAAAGTCTTTCATATACCCAGCCATCAACTCCTTCATGAACCAAAACATTATCTACAATTTCTCCAGGTAATTGCCTTCTAAATTTAATTCTGTCGTGCAAACGATCGCTCTGTCCTTGCCAAAATTCAACAGATTTTGGCTTAACTATGTATCCACCCCTGTAAAATGACTACATTAGTATTTTTATTCTAGACAATCAATCAATTTTAAAAGTTAAAACGTACCACCAATCAGGTCGTTTCACTGTATCTGGATACAACTTTTGTAATTCCTTTTCTTTTTCAATAAGGAAGTCTCGGTTAGGAATTACAGTACTTTGCCTGCTAGACAATGATCCAACTTGTCCGTGATATGGACGACTATTAAAATAATTATCAGAATCTTCAGATGAAGTTTTTTCAACTGTTCCTTCTATCCTCACCTTGAAAAAAAAATACAATTTACAATCCATTATTTTTCATCTGATCCTTTTGATATATATATTTACTGTACGACGAAGAGGTTCCCAAAATAATGTTAAGGCTGCATTTGGATTTTCTTCTAATTCTCTAGCTTTACGACTACCGTAATTAGTATAAAATTTGAATCCATCTGTTCCAAATCCCTTCAATAACACAGGTCTACAAGAAGGCATTCCATCTCTGAAAAATCAATACATTTTTCAAGTTCATTTACAGTTAATTAATGCTTTGAGAAAAAAAAAATATCTTACTTTGTAGCAGTTGCTAAAAACATAGCATTCGCTTCGCCAATTCCAGGTGTTTCACAAGCAATTTCAAACCAAGCTTTAAATTGACCAAAAGGTTCCTTGCTTACAAGATGATCCTCAGTAAAAGTTTCACTTTTTTCCTTATACCGGATTCTCATTCCTGAACAAACAACAATATAATTAATATGATATATTCTCTTAAATCAGATATAACAGATAAGATACTCAGAAATTATTGAACAATATTGTGTATGGACTATTTCATCAAATTAGGCAATATGTCAGTTTCGAGTATCAGAATTATAACATTTTTATCTTATTTTTGAATGAAAAATAAAAGATTTTGAAAAAAAAATTAACAATTACTTTAATTATTTTTCAGTTCTTTTTGAATATTTTACAACTATACAAATAAAATATATACCTCCAATATCAACGGTGTAAGGTCGGCTGCTTTGCTCTTTAGCATCGTCAGTTGTATTGGCCATTTTTGCATAAATGGAAATGAAACGATGTCGTTGAAGTTGATTTGTTACTGATTCAAGGAAACTGCGAGTGTGAAGCCCAAACACAATCGGTTTCGATTGCAAATACCGGCAAACAACAGTGGCAGTCAACATACCACGACTCCGCAACGCGAATGTGCGATTATGAATATCAACACAGTGATTAACTGCTTACATGTATATACCTATATGCATATAGTTTTGTATATTACGATATCGGAACTGACAGATTGCTGAACTTATCGGTAGAGATGGTAAAACGCGCGATTCACGTTCAAAACAGACTTTATGGGAAAAGTTACAATAAATAATTAATGGTGTACATAGCAAAATTTGATTTGAGTTTCATAAAAGATGCGCATTTTCATGATTATTTCTGTAATAAAAATTAGGCAACAATTAGCATATAATTTTTTTGACAACTTTAGAATTCATAGAACTATTTTTGGTGTAGCAATTATTAATTTTCTTTTTGATTAAAAATGGGAAATTGAGGAAAAAAATGTGGTAAAAATTAAAATTTTATTATTAAAAAATATTTTTGAATTAATTTTTCAATTCAACATGGCAGTTGTAAGATATAAGTCAGTAAATTGAATAACTTGTACAGAAAATTACTAACATTAAACTAAATTCATTAACCACGAGGTCAGTATCTCAAGCTGAGCTGGTGTATCACTATTTTTTACAAAAGCACTGCTTTCTGCAAAATCTACTTTGTTATCAAGATGAGAAAATTCAAAGTCCTTTCCAGATTTTCCTAAATAAATATTTGTGGAAGATGCATCAGTAGCCTCCAACTGGTTACTTTTAGTTATTCTTAAAAGATTGATTTCTTTTTCAAGAAGAGTTTTTATAACATTACTACTCTTAGCTAAAGTTTGATCCTGCTTGTTGCAAAGAATCAATATAGGAACTTTTCTCATTGTTGAATCAGCCAGCATTGTGTAAAGAAATCTAAAGAAATATGAAAAATCATTAATAATTCACGTATTTTTCAACAGGAAAAGTGATACAATAAAAGAATATAATAATACTTACTCAGCAACATCTCTAATATCTCTTTGAATTGTTGATGAGTCTATTACATATACAAGACCTTTTGCTGAATTTTTATATTTGTCAAAATATTTATATCTCAGTCTTTCATGTCCAGGAATATCAACTATTTTTACATTATATTCTACACAATCATTGATATTTTCTTTCACAGAAGTATGAGTTGTCACATATTTAGTGTGCATCAAACGTGCCCAAATTAGTGTTTTTCCAGCATCACAAAGTCCAGTTATAAGTACATTATGGCCTACAGATGCTCTACGTCTCCATAAGGCAAAAAGAACTAGAAAAAATTAATTTTTTTTTATGAGAAAAAGTTATTCACTTTTTAGAAACATAAGGAAACATTATAGTTTGAATTTCATTGAGAAATTTGAAGCTAATTAGCAATGATTTTAATAGACAACCTTTTTTTAATTTATTTCAGAATATTTAATAATTTGGAAAATTTCTATTTAATTTTTTATCTTTTTTTAAATATTAACAAAACACTGAGAAAAATCGTTTTAAAAATCAAAGTTTCATTCAAATTTATCAGTACCTAACCTGTATAGAAATAATATCGAGTGTTGTTGAATGAATGTTGTAAACTTACTTATTGTTATAATAACAGCAAAAACAGCAGCAATGACTCCCATGAGTTGGGAGTCGGTGCTGTTGTTAATAACTGGCTCAACACGTTCTTCCATGTTTTTCAGTAGTTTCTGAGATACGTGCAGCATGCAAATTCGGAGTCATGCATGTAAACAGCTGCTGCTGTCTTATGTGTTGACTAGTTGTATACCTTAGTGACGTGACGTTTGATTCATTTAATTTATTCACTCGGCAAACTTTTTACGAAAAGGTTTAGTGATTTCAGGGTAACCAACTACGTAAAAAATGTTCGTTGAAATTTAGGAGCGTTGTCAAAAATGATCAAATTTTAAAAACTATGATTCTTCATAATAATATGGGTTCTTTTTCATTGATTCATACCATTTTCAGTTTTTACAGCTTATTTTAAAATCGATGTTAAAAACACAATTGAATAAAGATGTAATTAAAGTACTTAAATAAAACATCAAAAGTTTGCCTATTAAATATTTATAACTTCTGTGATGAACTAGAATTTAGTCTAATCATTATATTTGTACAACTTTTATATGATATTAACGATCTTATCAAATTATGGGTAATTTTGGTGGTCAATCATTTAAAAATACTCAATATTTAAAACGCATAAGTAAAAGGAACTAATTCAGTTTTAATTATTAATTTTTAGTTCGAAATAAATGAATATGCATAATATGACGTAACTTTCACTTTAATAATTTACAATTCATCCTTAGAGTTCTTCTAACAATCAATATATTTATCATCGCTTCAATTCGAAAAAATATTTATTGGATACATAAAATGTAAAAAATAAATGAAAGTAGTGTAAATGAGCGATGGATCTTAAAAGTGACTAGAATTTATAGGTCGAACATCAACTCCCGTCTCCCACGCAGGACAATGAAAACAGAAAACTGCGTATAACTTCCGTAGTGGGTGTAACAGAATGTAAAAATGTCCGTTATGACATGTTAAACTTGTACAGTGAGTAATTAATTAGTTCACGAGGTTAGTCAAAATAATTTCAACAAATAATTGTTAGAATCAATTAACGCACTGGGTCGAGAAGTTCAAAATTGTTTTCATTTAAAAAAAGTAATCATACGTAAATCATAGCAATATCTTTTCATTGAAAATATTCGTTATTGTTCTACATATCATCAGAGTCGTCCGTATCGGCTTTTGCTACCCTTGCAAATTTAAAGTCACATGAGTCATAACGTATTTCTGTCATGTAGGTGCTTAAAACTGATAGAAGTGTTAACGGGGAAAGAGACAGTACCGAAAAATTGAATAATTGCGGCCAGTAATGAGTTTAATCAAACATAAAATGGTCAACGTCGATTTTTTTACTAAAGTGAAAATAATAAAAAAATACCAATTGTCGAAGATGAGATAACCGTGTTTACGAGGTCAATGCATGCGCGTCATATTCAATCGAGTAAAAGAAAAGGGTTTTTGGCAAATTTGAATACTTTCGAAGCAATGTTAATGAAAATTTAAATATTTCATTGTTTCCGATTCGTTGAGGTCATCGGTACTTGGTTTGATTTCTGTACAAGTCGGTTGCTGCCGTTAGGGTTCCGTACTTCCCACTTTCCAAGTAATCCATGGTTCGGTTACTTGCTCGGGTTGAGAGTCTTATGGGACCAATGTGAGGGACGTCTGCGCGCTACGAGTACTAACACTCGTATACAAACTCACCAACACACGGACATAATAGGGCAGACGGCACAGTACCTATAAACAGAACGGAGACAACTGGCTTGTGGCGGCCCCCACCCTGAGGCTCCAGCAGCCACTGGCAGCCGTGCGTGTTAATAGTGCATCGGCCATCTTGGCACTATTCGCTGCCTGCTAGACGTCCGTCTGGAGGATATCACTGCCAGTCAAAGTTGCGAGCTGCTCTCCTCCGGAGCAGGCAATATTTTACTCGTTCATCGCCACGGCAGAGCCGACTCACCTTTGCTCAGCGGACGATTTGAGTTTTGGTGCATGTCACGCCGACGCCTGTCACGGACATTGACGCTCGCACTGCCTACCTCCTCTCATAACTGTGTTTTCGACATCAGTGATCACTGATTAGGGGCCTATACGTATACATGCGTGCTCGTACCAAGACTTTAAAGTGCTGTGAGCAGTAGCTCACTTTGCTTCGGTATACTCTTGTGTGGGTGGTGCTACTGTTATAGCTATAGTCCATTTAGTCATTTACACATAAGTGTAGGTATAAAGGTACACATAATACTCATACACATAGTAGAAAAGTAGAATTACACGTATATAAGTGGATGACATCGATGTATGAGTGCCGTCGTGTGCGGGGTAGCCGTAACCTCTTCGGGTGAAAATCGTTCGCAGGAATCTACATGTAACTCGAATTACTGTAGCCTCTGGCTTCCTCGTTTATAACCTTCCAACCCGAGAAGCTTTTCTTGCTGTCAACGCACTCACTGATCCGAGGTGTGTACGATTAGACATTGTTTCGAGTTACGCTATTCATGTGCACCTATCATATTTCAATCTTACGCCTTGTTCTCGTTTTACTCTGCCTGTTTCCAAACTTAAAAAAATCACTTGTCTCGCTCGAGCGACCTACGCGATCCAAGCGCTTCCGGGTTGAAATGAGAATTAGGAAAACAAAAATTAGCAAAACACCTCATCTTTCTCTCTCTCTTTCTTTCTCTTACAGTATCTTATATTTAATTTTTCGTGAGATAGCTTTACTCTGCCGACTCTTGTGGATGTTATTTTTTTGGTGCATTGATTGTGATTTGTAAAAGTCTTCGCAATTTAAACTACCTGTACAATTGAAAGTAAGACGTTTACTGATCCATAAAGCCGCGCAGAGTATGACAGACTAATGTTATTTTTAGGACATTTTGATGCTTGCTTAGCATCACCTGCTCTAAAGACTCTGTAGACCAATGTGTGCAAATCCAGGTGTGGCAGATAACAGTCATGAATTACAGTAGAAACTTTTTCTCAATCCTTTATTATCATGTTTTCCGATTTATTTAGTTTTGAATTTTTTCCAAATAAATTTCACACAACTTCTAGTTCTTCCCAGTGAGAATCTTTTTTTTTCAATAAGCACAACTGATTAGACCTCTTTAAAATTTTCAACATGAACATTAAATGTATCCTCCTAGTTGAGAGAAAATGCATTTCAGGAACATTTTTTAATTTATAACCAAAGTATGAATTTTATTCATATCAACCATTTCATATATGGAATTAGCACCTTTTTTTAAATTAATAAAAAAATATGTCAAAATTTAATTATTTTAATATTTGAATATTTTCATTATTTTTATTATCTAACTTGAAAATAAATGGATTTTCATTTAATTTTCAGTTACAAAATGGCTGCAGATGCGCCACGTGAGCGAGAAATCGCAGCTGAAGACAGTATTAAAGTTGTATGTCGATTTAGACCTTTAAATGATTCTGAAGAAAAAGCAGGTTCCAAATTTGTTGTAAAATTTCCAGCTGGAGGCGATGAAAACTGTATTTCAATTGGTGTATGTAATCTCAAAGAATTTATTTAGGAAGACCAAATTCAAGTCATTTTAATTCAATTATTTTACAGGGAAAAGTATATCTTTTTGATAAAGTATTCAAGCCCAACGCAACCCAAGACAAAGTTTACAATGAAGCAGCAAAATCAATCGTTTCAGATGTTCTTGCTGGTTATAATGGAACTATATTTGCCTATGGACAAACATCTTCCGGTAAATTAATAAATAAGACATTGAATGAATAAAAATACATTTATTAATTTTTGAAAATAAATTAATTTTCTGTCAACCGTTCTGTATTAATATTTAATTTTGTATTTTGTAATTAAGGTAAAACTCATACAATGGAAGGTGTCATTGGTGACCCTAATAAACAAGGTATTATTCCAAGAATTGTTAATGATATTTTCAACCACATTTATGGAATGGAAGAGAACTTGGAATTTCATATCAAAGTATCTTACTTTGAAATATACATGGACAAGATTCGAGATTTACTCGATGGTAATTAGAAACTTTTATCAAGATTTGTTTTAGTTAAAAAAAAAAATGAAAAATAAATACAATATTTTGTGTTTATTTGTGCAGTTTCAAAAGTCAACCTCAGCGTGCATGAGGACAAAAATCGTGTGCCTTTTGTCAAAGGCGCCACTGAGCGCTTTGTCTCCAGTCCTGAAGAGGTATTTGAAGTAATAGAAGAGGGAAAGTCAAATCGTCATATAGCAGTAACAAATATGAATGAGCACAGTTCACGTTCTCATTCAGTTTTCCTTATCAACGTGAAACAAGAAAATCTAGAAAACCAGAAGAAATTATCTGGTAAATTGTATCTTGTAGATTTGGCAGGTTCTGAAAAAGTTTCAAAAACTGGTGCAGAAGGAACAGTGCTTGACGAGGCAAAAAATATTAATAAATCACTATCAGCCCTTGGCAATGTGATATCAGCTTTAGCTGATGGAAATAAAACACATATACCTTACAGAGACTCAAAATTGACTCGTATCTTACAAGAATCTCTTGGAGGAAATGCTAGAACAACAATTATTATTTGTTGTTCTCCTGCCAGCTTTAACGAATCAGAAACTAAATCCACCCTTGATTTTGGTAAAATTCTACTTTTATTCATTTTGATATAGTTGCAAACAATACTACAATATTTTTAAATTTTAATTCAGGTAAAAGAGCAAAAACTATTAAGAATGTCGTTTGTGTCAATGAAGAGCTTACTGCTGAAGAATGGAAACGAAGGTATGAACGTGAAAAAGAAAAGGCTGCGAGATTACGAGGTAAAGTTGAAAAATTGGAAGCAGAACTTTCTCGTTGGCGGCAAGGCGAAACCGTCAAGCCTGAAGAACAAGTCAGTTTGCATGATGTACCAGAGGTTACTACACCTGTTGCATCTACAGTTGAATGTTAGTAATAGATTAATTTTCTGATAATCATTTGGTATCAATATATTTTTAAAGTGTAATTGATAACATTTTAATTTTTACTGCAGTGAAATTAGATGAAGGACCAATAGCAGCAACTCCTGGTAGTGGTGTTATGGCTGGCTCTTTATCCAATGAAGAACGCCAAAAATTCGAAGAAGAGCGTGAAAGATTATACCAACAACTAGATGATAAAGATGAAGAAATTAATCAGCAGTCTCAACTTGTTGAAAAGCTAAAAGAGCAATTGGATGAGCAAGAAGAGCTTATTGCAAGTACTCGACGAGATTATGAACAGTTGCAGCAAGAAATGAATAGAATACAACAAGAAAATGAAAGTGCTAAAGAGGAAGTAAAAGAGGTTTTACAAGCTCTTGAAGAATTGGCTGTTAATTATGATCAAAAATCTCACGAGGTATTGAAAAGTTTTATGAATGCTAAACTTTAACTAAATCGAATTTTTACTTCTTGAGGTAGTTTTAAAATTTCATTGAATTAATTTCTTAACGCTTTTATAGGTGGAAGCTAAGAAAAAAGAATATGAGGCTCTTTCAGAAGAATTATTGGGTAAACAGGCATCTCTGAACGCAGTAACTGCTGAGCTCCAACAACTACGCGACATGTCCACTCACCAACGTAAACGTATTGCCGAAATGCTTACGAATTTACTGAAAGATCTTGGTGAAATTGGAGCAGCTATTGGAGGTGACGAAAATTTCAAAGTTTTGCCTGATAGCAATGGTAAGCTTGAAGAAGAGTTTACTGTTGCCCGATTGTACATCAGTAAAATAAAGTCAGAAGCAAAAAATATAGTTCAAAGATGTCAAGTGCTTGAATCGACACAGACAGATTGCAATAAAAAAGTAAGTGGTACAGAGGTAGTTTAAAATATTAAAAGAAGAAGTAATTATAACTAATATGTATCATTTCTTTTTTATACAGGTTTGTGATTACGAAAAAGAGCTTGGTGAATGTCGTTTGCTAATATCCCAACATGAAGCACGCATGCAGACCCTCCAAGAGTCAATGAAAGAAGCAGAAGTCCGTAAACGTGCCTTAGAAGAGGATGTTGATGCAATGCGTGAAGAGTGTGCAAAGCTCAAAGCTGCTGAGCAAGTACAGGCTGTGAGTAACAAAGAAAAAGCCGAAGAAAAAGAAGCAGCCACTAAAATGAGGCTTGCTTTGGAAGAGCAAATGGATCATTTAAGAGACGCTCATCAAAAACAGGTAAAAAAATATAATTACTACTTTACACTTATCTTCGAAAAATCCATTTTTTTTGGATTTATTCCAGTCCTTTAATCAGAAAATTTCCCATTTTTAAATTAACAAATGTTTTTAGAAGTCATGTATGTTAAAAAAATCCATTCACTTTGTTTTTAATAAATTCATCAAATTTGAAGTTTTTTTTTTATGTAGATGTCATAGATATTTCATAAGTCAAATAAAATTTTAAAAAATTAAAACAGCATTGGTTTATTGAATTTTTCGATTTCATTGCAGGTTTCTCAACTTCGTGATGAAATATCAGAGAAACAAGAGACAATTACAGAATTGAAAGATATGAATCAAAAGTTCACTTTGGCACACCAACAAATGCAAGCAGATTATGAACGGCTGAAACAAGATGAAGCAGATAAGTCAGCTAAATTACAAGAGCTTATGCAAATGAATGAACGTCGCGAACAAGCAAGAAAGGATCTCAAAGGTCTGGAAGATACTGTCTGCAAAGAACTACAAACGTTACACAATTTAAGAAAACTTTTCGTACAAGATTTACAAGCAAGAATTAAAAAGTCTATTATTTCTGAGGACAACGAAGATGATGGTGGATCTTTGGCTCAGCGTCAAAAGATTTCCTTTTTGGAAAATAATTTGGATCAGCTCACAAAAGTAAAATCTTTTTTTAGCTGGTTTTTATTTCTAAAATTTTCCAAATACTAAAATTTATTTTGATACAGGTCCATAAACAATTGGTACGAGACAACGCTGATTTACGTTGTGAGTTGCCTAAACTAGAAAAAAGACTGCGAGCTACAATGGAACGCGTTAAAGCTCTAGAAACAGCCCTCCGGGATGCTAAAGAGGGTGCAATGCGAGATCGTAAACGTTATCAATATGAGGTCGATAGAATTAAAGAAGCGGTGCGGCAAAAGAATTTGGCGCGTCGTGGACCTAGTGCTCAAATTGCCAAGCCTATCAGAGCTGGTCAACATCATGTTGGTGGGGTCAATGCTATTAGAACAGGCAACCGAGGTGAGTGAGGTAATAAAAATGTGATCATTGACTTATATTTTCAACCTTTCTATCAAATATTTACCTCTTAAATTTTTCATTTCACATTCCCCCTTGCCAATTATTTCTAAATCCGAATTTTTTGTATAACATTATCATCTATCTGAATTTTATGTATAATACCGAATTTCTCATTTTAGAAGCGGACAACAATTCACGTTCGTGAAGTAACTCATTCAACGAAATGTAAGGACCCAATGCCAAAACAAACTTGTCTTCACTCTTTTACAGATTATGAAAGCAAGAATGCTTTTGCAATGGACGTTCATGATAAAATCCTAAACTCGAAACCAATTAATAATTTTTACTATTCAACTGAATTAGGATGCAAAATTGTAACTAATTATGATTTGCTTAACAGAAAAATTGCTTTACCCTAATAGTTAATTAAGTTCACGCAGAAGTACTATTCACGGTTATATAAAAGAAAATCTATTATTATGATTGATTAAATTTATTTTAATAGGTCAAAGTAATATTATAAAACTGAATTTATTTTTATCGCAATTATTATATTATAAGTTATTATCTATATCACGAGCACCAATTTGGTTAAAATTTATTTTTATCATTACATCATACTCATGTGTGTTGGCATACCGATGAACGCTTTGTTGAACAAGAGAGCAAATATATATGTAAAAGCGTGTGAGTGCACTAATGCTGCACATCTCGTTATACGTTGTAAATAGTTCGTATTTGATAAATTGTATCATTTCTCTTCATTATAATTATAATTTAAAATAAAAGCTTGTATTCTGTTACGAATTCATTGAAAAAAACAGAAAGATAAAGAAGTAAATATTTCATTACAGATAAATGCAAAAATTGAAACAGAATCACAATAACATGAATGAATGTTCGAGCTTGAATAGTGGAATGAGAAAAGATAACTATTTTAGTAAACAGGTATTTTCGAAATGAAGTGTAAAAAATGAGACTATCATGTATCACTTTTAAGATTATTGGAGCTTTTATTCGCCGCTTGTAACGTTTGTATGTGTCTTAGATTGCTCGTTAAAATATTTTGTTGTGATGAACTGAGAAAATTTCAATTTTTTAATAGATATTATAATTATAATAGGTTGCAGTTAATTTATTCTAAACGTAAAAAAACGTAAAAGACTTTTATGAGCAATCTGAGATATGTCCATATGAGTATCAAATACGTTTTGTTATTATATTGCGGTCGTTCATTAAAATCATTCAAAATCTTTTAAAAAGAGGAACATTTGAGGGTTCACTTGACATTAATCAAGTTGTGTTAACTTATCAAAAGAAAAAAAAACGATTCCTCGGATTAACGATCATAGATTTGAATGTAAGTTTGATGAACTTCAGTAATGAAACAATTTCAATATAACTGCGTTATATATTTAAAAATGAATCGATAATTTTCGTCCACAAACCGCTGTTTCAAATAAACGCGTTGAATTTTTAAAAAATGCATATGTCTATATGTAATGGCAAATGATATACTTGTAATAACGTGAAGAATTGTTAAATGAAAATTATTTTTGATGATTTTGGAGTAAGATTTTTATGTAAAGTATTTTCAATGATTATTTTTTTTTTTTATGAGATCGCATGTTTATTTAAAATAAATTGCGTCTGCGTATTTAACGCCAATGACAAGTAGGTTGCGTAACTGATTGTCTTATGAATGAGTATGTGCAGATATAGCTTTCTACTATGCAATATGTCCGTAAAAATATGTTTAATGTATTTGTACTTGTCATACGTATTGGTCAAGTCCTGATTTTTGGTCTAACTCGTCTAAATATTTTATATTTATATTTTCTATGGATGTACCTGTGTGCGTGTGTAACTGATTCGTAATTTCTTTTTAAGCATATAGGAGCGTATTTTATAACCGCAAGCATCTCGTATTGAGGTATCAATTACAAATCTGAAATTGATGTTGAGGAAGTAAATCACTTGGACTGTCTGTATTTAATGCATGTTCCATTATTGATGATGTAACAAGCGGCGGTAGCCTTATTTATATTATTTATCATGCTGATCGAAATTTGAGCCAGGTACTTGAATGAAGATTAAGATTTTAATTTATTTTAAGTTGAATATATCATATTGTAATGAAGCGAAATATTAGTGAGCCAGGGGAAGGTGTATGGCATGATGTATTTTCGCTAGATTTTCTTATCTACTCGTAAAACTTGGTTGATGTTTGTGACAATTTAGCGTCAGCGTTAAATAATGGAAAATTTCTTTATCTCATGCTGTAAGACACCACGCAATTCACCAATAAATATTTTGCATAGAGTACATTTTATATAAATGGGTATTTTATCATCCTTTTTGTTGTAATATAATTTACATTTACAATGTCAATTTGATTAAGCTCATTTCTCAAATTCTTTTATTGTGCATATATGAATGATTAATTATGACAAAACTTTATGTTTTAGTTTTTATAGAATAACCAAAGATGCCTGAAAATTATATTCAAAAGGTTTATGAATGAAGCTACTCTCACTTTTATTCGTTGCTTAATAATCCAGAGAACATCAGCTTGTACTACAATACTACAATTTATTAAAAATTTATAAAAAATGATTACATAGTATCAATTATTATTCAGAAAATATTGCTAAAATAATTTATTGTTTGAATTTTTTACTACTAAATCTGCTTATATTGCAGATAACTCTTTACACTCATTTCTTCCAATTGCTATGTGGCTTTCGTTTATTTTCTTCTACAAGGACGAAAGACTTTCAACAATTATAAGTATGAACGACAGCATGCTTATGTTCATGTATATCAATACATTCAAAATTTATTTTCATTATTTTAAAAGTTTTAATAAAATTTACAACTCTCAGAAATTTTGTCTGGAATTGTCTTTATATTTTTATTATGTGAGGTCGAAAAGGTAAATTTGGATTAATGTCAAGATGATCTAAATTGACTTCATTCATTTTTCCTATTGGTCTAGGATAGCTATAAAATTAAATGTATTTATAGATCAAGATTTACTTTTTGAGTAAATAATTGGAATGTTTCTGTCCCTTACTATTTATCTGGTTCATCCTTAAATTTTTGCTTTTTGAAATGTGATGCATACATCGTCTCTCGAGGAGAAGGGATAGCAGCTAAACACTTTTTATACGTTTCCACCTCAACTAAGCCGAATTCCGTCAAATTTCCGAAACATTTAGTTAAATCGTTTTCCGGTAACCATAAATTTTTTCTTAAAAAATGAAAGAAAATGGTCGTTGTCGCGTTGTTTCAGGTGCATCATAAAGAAATAGTTTTTTAACAATTACCATTATTTACTACCTTGAACTATATTTTCGCCTCCGCGGGCCACAGCGTTCAGCAGGAATCACGCGATAATACAAGTCATTGGTAGTAGTGAAATTTTTTTGAAAATCATTTGCGTGATGCTGTATTAAAAAATCCTTTCCTATTCCGTGCTTTTCATTTTCCGAATAAAAACATCTAATGTTATAAGATGTTGTTTCATTGAAAAACATTTGATAAAATTACATACGTCTCCTTTGAGTTTGTTCTTCTGCTGGAGTAACCAATCGTTCTCGAGATCACAATTCCGTTTGCATGTGTACGTGGTATCGTAGACGGTTTTCCAATCATCTGGGGGTGGATTATAAGGAGCTCGACGGTAAAACCAATTTCCCACAAGGACACCGGCATTGTAACGGCTTTTCGAGGGTTCGATTTGCGATTCATTCGAAAAATCGGACGGTAGGCGATCCGGACGTTTGAGGCAATCACAATTTTCGGAAGGATGACTTATTTGATATTTGAAATTCATAGAAGCCATTTTGATCGCGATTGCAGAGATGGGTAATTTTGCATCAAGTAAATTAAGACAATAATTTCAAGGTTATTATGATTCGAATAGAAACAAAACGCGTCACTGCTGTGAAAGATTTAGGTCGAAAACCGTTGCGAGTTGTGACTCGCACTGCCTCGTTTTCCAAGAAGTCAGAAATTCGCGCTCTTTTGTTTTTCGATATTTGATGGAAGAAGGATGATTTTTAAATAATTTATACACAAACAATATACGTTTAAAACATATCAACGTCTATTTATTAATGCTAAAATTACATGCAACGTTTAAAAACGTTATAAAATACAAACAAGTCTATAACTCTTAAATTAGTTATTAAATTTAAAAAAAGTTTTCAACTTTGAAATAAGTTATAAAGTTTAAAAAAGGTTTCTAACTTTGAAAAAAGTTTTTTAACTCTAAGAGTTCTTAACATTATTAAATAATTACTCATCGTCTTCTGCCGCTCCGTCGGTTTCGTTTTTCGGCTTCTTGGCAGTTCTCTTTGGAAGCAGGACTGCATGGACGTGCGGGAGAACTCCTCCTTGGGCAATGGTAACGTGAGCTAGCAGCTTGTCCAGCTCCTGGTCGTTGCGAATGGCCAGCTGAAGATGCCTCGGGTTGATGAGTTTGCGATGATTGTCTTTGGCAGCGTTGCCAGCCAATTCCAGGACTTCGGCGGCCAAATATTCGAGGGCTGCTGCGAGATAAACGGCGGCACCCATGCCGATGTTTTTAGCATATCTTCCTTTTTTTAGCAGCCTTTTTATTCTGCCAACGGGAAAAGCTAAACCAGCTTTTGATGCGGAGCTTCGGGGCTTGCTCCTCGTTTTCTGTGCAGCTTCTCGGGCCGACATAGTTGAAGATATCGCACTCACTTTTAAAAATCAACTAAAAACTGTCGATGTCTCCGCAGCACACGTCCGTGCAGGTCGGGATGAGATCTGATTGTGAGCTGCGAGAACGAGCGATTTGGCGCGTCGCAAATTCTACAGCGCGATTTTAGCGCTCAGCATCGAACGGACCAATCACTTAACTTCATTGATGTTAGATAATTGGTGGTGGAAATTGTCACTCTCACGTGATTGGTTACCTCAAATTCAACACCAGTGTATAAAAGAAGACGTGAAATACTCCAAACGTTATTATAACGATAAATTTTTAACTGTTACGGTCATTTTCTGAAAATTTAATATTTTGGATTCTAAGTTATTTTAGCGCCAGTTTTTATTTTTTGTTACGCTTGAATCATACATTCTATACGTTTTATTATAATCACTTTCATCGATTTTAATAACGCGCAATCAGTGAGTAGTTGGCGATACCATGGCTCCGAAAACGCACGTTGGAAAACAAGAGAAGAAGCCGGGAAAATCGATGAAAGTGTCAAAGTCTCGTCAAAACGACGACAGATCAAAGAAGAAAAAGAAGTCACGCACAGAGAGCTACGGCATTTACATCTACAAGGTGCTCAAGCAGGTCCATCCCGACACCGGCATCTCGAGTCGCGCTATGTCGATAATGAACAGCTTCATGTACGACATATTCGAGCGGATTGCGAGCGAAGCGGCGCGTTTGACCGGTTACAACAAGAAGCCGACCCTGGCGGCTAGAGAAATTCAAACGGCCGTAAAACTCATATTACCCGGCGAGTTGGCCAAGCATGCCGTCAGCGAGGGTACAAAAGCCGTCACCAAGTACAACAGCAATAAACCAGCCATCTAATCCAATGTAATAGGCGATTGCAAGCACTCTATTATGATGAATCGGCTCTTCTAAAGGGCCAAATAATGATTAATACGTTATTTACAAACATATCGTTTGCCTCGTAATACATATCAACTCGAAATTTTCAGAAAACTTGCCGAGCATATTATTGCTGTTGCTGAGTATATAAATTTGAATATGAATTCTCAATACTGATAATTCTATTTTTAGTAAATTACACTTAACCATCATTAATGTGATATTTAAAAAAAATTTGTTAATTACTTATATCGTGTTTTGCAATTTAAATGTATATAGAGTTTAGTAAGTGCAACAAAACTTAACATTTTTTTTTGTAAAAAAATTGTTTTAATATTTTGTTATAAAAATTATATTTATACAATTGTTACTAATAAAATTAGTTAAATATTATTATCGAAGAAATTTGTTGGTGCAATGCATAATTAATGTTTTTCAAAATTTACCACTCCTCAAAAAAAAATATAGATTGTCCGTAGTATAAATGCCACATATGGATACAATCATGAATACAATACAATTTCAAGTCTTTATGCACATTTTTTAAAGAAATTTAAATAAAACTAAAACTTAAATAATATTCACAAAATTAGTTATACTTAATGATTATCTAAACATGAGCAAATTCAACATAAATTTCATAATTATGAAATAATAATTAAACCTGTTTTCAATTACATAATAGTCAATCTCATTTAAGTCTCTTAGAATCTTAATGAAGTTATCAAAAGAATACAAAGAACAACCATGTTAAAAATGAGAGACCCACACAGTAATGCTGTTAGCCATGTAGGACTAGATACAATTGTTGTTGAGTGTCCTCCACATTTATTTTGTGAAAAACAGCTCATGCATGAGCTGTACTCACTAATAGGTGGGGGTGAATAACATTTAACTGGATTATAAGAATTTAGCTTTGAGCATTCACTTCTATTTTGCCAAGTGTACAATTGATCTGATATATCAGAATATTGATCATATTCTCTAACTATAGGTTCGCGAGTAAATGTGCAATTAGCAGAGCTTAATGAAGCAATTCCTGAACTCTGACTCGAAGAACGAGATAGAGATGTTTGAGAATTATAGGGTCCTGATTGCCAAAAGCCTCCTGCAACCCAGGAAGTTTGAGTAATAGCGCCACGTAGTTTTGGAGGAGCAAGGATTGGTCGTCGATTCTGATGATTATTACGGTTTGCATTAGCAGAAAAATTAGAACCATAAATCTTTTTTTCAAAGATCTTTGGAGAATTATTTGGAGAAATTTTTCTGTGGTGACCTAAATTTAAAGAATGAAGACTCGTAAGACTATCATTCAAGGATGGTGCATGATTTTTTATACTCGTAGCAGGAGAGGTATCAAGTTCCAATTCATTATTTATATTATGAGACGATGGAGTTATTTGCTGAGAATTTTGAACCAACCTACAGACAAATAATAATATTTTATGAAATATTTGATTAAATTAAAAAGTTTTGAAATAACTGATATATTTACCATGGCTTTTTGACTTTTTCCGATAATTTATCGTTAATAGACAAACTATCATTACATGGAATATCAGATATGGTATTACTCTCATCAAGATTTGAGAAATTATTCCATGTATCTGGATATAATTCTGAACAACTTTTATTACAAGACTCCAACTTTTTGAATGCTACATTATTTGTCATTTTTTTAAAGAAATAAAGTCTGAAATTAATTAATCCTAATAATATACAGAGAATAACTATCTGCAATAACAATAATTTTAATGATTAGTTATATTAATGAGTTATGATAAAAATATATAAACTTGAACTTACAAAGTGTTGATATTTTTCATTAGCTACATCAGTATATAAATAGTCAATATCAATGTTAAATAACTTAATTACAGTGTTTTTTGGAGTTACTTGTGCAAAAATCAAGCAAAACCAACCTAGGACAGGAAAGATATCTAATTGTTTGCTGTTGACAGTAGAAGCTAAACACGCAGCAAATTGAACACCAAATCCACATAGTGGAAAATACCATGATTCAGTAAAATAAAGCGATACTGAAGCAAGAATTACTAAAACCATTCTTAAAAATCTCTCTAAAACTATGTGATTCTGAAAAATTAATTTTCAGTTGAAAGCTTGTAGTATTATTTTTTGATAAAATAAATCATTAATTGGAAATCACCTTAAATATCGTTGAAAATTGCTTTTTTTTAAAAAGAAGCATTTTGTATTGAGTGAGCCATTGTTTTTGTTTATAAATAACTTTTTGTACTATATTCTGACAGCTCAAGCACAATGGATAATCTCGTTCAAATTTTTCTCTGAATTTCGCCAACTTTTTATCACTGTAAACAACCATTGAGTCTTCAAACTCTCTCAATTTCATCAACTTAAGTTCTTCTTTATAATTGCATTTGTTGCAAAGCCTGTTGTGATTTGTGTAAGATTTACTTCTTTGACAATAATTTTTGCTTTTGGTTGTGACATCACCATTCAAGGCATATTGTTCTGATATATCATAATTATAATCACCATCCTTTAAAAACAAATGTATATGTCAAGTATCATTATCGAAGTTGTTTAGTTACTTTTGAGTACTCACAGAAGAGAATCCATTGTACTGTTCACAATTAGAACAAAGCCACCATTTTAAAGATTCTCTTGGAATTTTTGAATAATTATTGCAAAACCAACAGTTCACTTTTAATGGCAAACGACTCCTATGTAATATAAACAAAACAAGATGACATTAGCCGATCGGGTAAACTATCAATAATGGTATATGACAATAATCAACACTTACCGGAGCTTATAAAAAGCAGTTAGGCTAGCGGTTATTATAAGAGATAATGCTGACAATAATGGGATGTAAACAAAAATTAAATTTACATCGACATCTAAATAAGATGATAAAAAATGCGTTAAATCCATCATTCTCCCGCCAAGCTCCGAAGTCGCCATAACCTTGAATGATCGACCGCAAGGTGAAATTATAAAAATTGCTCAAGCCGTAACATCAATTTTCGTTGTTCATTTCATTATTCTAAGTTAATTAAAGTAAAGATCAACGATCAAGGCCTGTGGTAGCAATGATTACCCAAATTGTCTTGGGTAGCAGATAAAATCTTAACTAACAAAATTCAGTCGAAAATTTTGTCGCGAAACTGCATCGCGATGTATCACTCACACGTGCGGCCGGCAGCGCGGTTTTTGCATGAAACTACAGACGCTCGAATCGAACATACCGGCGCATATCAGTAATACAGTTTTGGAATAATAATTATAATAATATAAGACGCGTTTTAAATTCTAAATCATTCTGGTTTATTCCTATCGAAAATCATTTTATAATTCTACGAAAAGGGTGTATGGATATTAATCGTAGAAATACAATTAGCATTGTTACTGTAAAATAGGTAGAAACGCAACTGTTTTTCATATCATTATCATTGTAGATATTTGTAACAAATTTTTATTTGTATTAATGCAAAATCCAAATCGTTTTTATTTTAATAATAACACGATTTACAAATATTTATTTACAGTGTGAAATAAATAATGAAACAGACAATCATAAATAAAAATAATACAAATATATACAAATATGAGGCACTGTTTAAGCACGTTTTTGTATAACGATACTCCGCAGTCGCAATGAAAGATTTTTGTGGTGTCTAACTATAAACAAACTATCAAGGTTTTCTTTAAAAAACCTTAAGAATTTTTACAGTAATTTAGACCTAAAAATAATGTTAATTCAATTTTTAGAAAATTTTAATTATCAATTATGAAAGTTTCTTCTTTCACGAAAAATTCAACTATTTCTTCTTCCACATTCTTTGTATCTGAATCTAATTCATCAGTATCAATATCTGAAATAATAAAATATTTTGTATTAATCATGTTTAAAGTAATGTATGAATATGAAGCATTTTATGTATCTTACGTTGACGTAATTCCAGACGTCTCTTCTTTTGATTATTGTGCTGTTCAACGCGTCCAGCGCGGTAAGCTTCAAATTCTTTCATGAGTTGATGACGCTTTTCGATAAGCTCCTTGGAAGCCCGCGTGAGTCTCAATCTATCTTTGCTCTCAAATTGCGATGAGTATTTCTTGAGGTTTTTCTTAATATCCTTGATTTGCTCTGGAGTTAGTAGAGTGGGTGGTCTTGGTCTCCAATTGAATTGATTCAAATGATTGAGGTTCACACGTTTCAAAATTCTACCCTGGAACGTCCACAGCCAATATCCATTGTCTACACTTGTTTTCCAGCTAGCCACTGATGTTACGACGTAACGACCAGTTGGATCCCACTCAATATCAGAAGTTTGATAATGATCTGTTAAGTTCATACTTGTAAAATCATTTGTGTCAACAAATTCAAGGGCTCCAGACATTGTTGTCATGCCAGCCAATACAATAAATTGCCCAGCTGGTGACCAAAACAAGTGATTGGCAGCCCTCTTTTCAAACTTTTTAAGGAATGCTGGCTGATTTCCCATGCGTACTCCATAAAAGCTAACACTGACAGCACCTGATTCACCATGAATGATGGCAAATTTGTTGCCAATGGGTTCCCATGCAAAAGCATGAATAGGTTCTTTAATTTCTACACTATCAACTGGTATGAGTTTTTCACGCATGTGAAAGATTTCCAAATTATAAGATATTCCTTGGAAATTTTGAAGATTTTGAAGACTTTCCTGATGTAGAAAAAATATTGATTTATTTTTCTATTTTCATTGATCAACATTTTTATCAATAAATAAAAGAAAGTAATGTTTACCGTATATTTTTGTTCTGTCTTTTCTTTTTTCTTTGCAAATCTGTCCACCTTGACACAAAGGTAGTCCCCTGATTTTTGCCAAAAGATTTTGCAGTCGGCAACGTTAAAAAGATTATTTTTTCTGATTTCATTGCGACTAAAATGATTTAGATTAATTTTAGTATCAAATAATTAATATGACATAATAAATGTTTACATCACAAAAATTTTGTGAAACAAACCTTGGAATTTCCATAAGAGTCACTCTCGCCGGTACATCTTTATTTTCAGGAAGCCAAAAAGCAATAATATTATCAGTTGGAGACCAGCTGAAGTCTCTGATTCCAGGTGTGCTTATGCTTTTTTTATCAAGCAGACCAAACGACTATGTACAAAATAATATTAATGTACATTAATTTTTTGTCAAATCATTAGTTTCAAAAAATAAATTTAAAAATTACTTACAGGTGTCTCATAAATACAGAGTGTGTTTTCTGCCATACAGGCAACATATTTATCATCATGAGACCATTTAAAGATTGGCCAAATTGAAGGGCCTTTAACATCAAAAGATCGTTTTTTTTGACCAGTTAAAATATCCCACATGCTAAGTTTTTTTTCATTAGAATCATCTCTAGGAGAATAAGTGACAAGATATCTTTCACAAGGTGAAAAATCTATGCATTCAACATTACGTTGAACAAATTTGTGCTGTTGCTCAAATTTAGGACCTCCCCAAAGTGCAACACCAAGTTTATGAAAAGTGGCTAGGTAAGTACCTAATGGAGACCATTTTGTCCATGTTTCAGTCCAGCGCTAAAACATAAAATATTGATTAAACATAAAATATTATCAGTTATAAGATGTTAATATTTTTATATATAAATGTTGCAATTTACTAACAGGACGATCTTCCACTATCATTGGCTCAGGTTGACAATTTTGCCAAACTTGAACTGAGGTATTTCCAGGTTGCCCAGAAACAATACAGAATTGATCATATGCATCTGGATCCAGTAAGTAACTGTGTAAATCGGCAGCAGCTTTGAAAGGCTGTGGGCTTGGTGGTTCCCAATCCTCAGAAAGGTTTTCAAACTTTTTAAAATCTGTTAGCAAGTTTATTTTGAAAGTGTGCTGTTTATCTAGTTTATAGTTATTGCCCTTTTCAACTGCTGTCAAAGCATCTTGAGGAGTGCTAAATTCAAAGAAAGCATACCCCAAGGTTTCCCCTGTTTCTTTATTCACAGGATAGTACTTGTTGATAATAGTTCCAAATTTGCTCAAAATTTTTTCTATAACTGATTGTAGCTTTTCCTTCCTTTTAGGCTCAACTTTAGGGATACCATCGACCACAATGAAAGTTTCATGACCATCTGTTTCAGAGGGCTTTGATATTAACAAGTCTCCCAAGAGTTCTAAAAAAAAAAATATTTTTGAGTTAACTGCGCTCCTAGTTAAATGTTTTAAAAAGTTGATTTGAAAAACAATTAAACATAGTGACAAATTCAATGCATATTCCAACATTGAATACTAGCATCATTTAAAAGCGTGAATGTTTGTCAGTCTCAAAAATATAATTGGTATTTGAATCATGTACATCATCTACTATCAGATTATTCGAAAATTTCTCAAGAAGGAGGTTATAGTCTAACCTCTTTTGAAGCAATGATGGCATATCAACAAACAACATTGAGATGATTAGGATTTTTGCAGCCGTTTTTAAACTGGCACATAACGTAAAAATTCATATCATCATTCATGCTAAAATTCGAAAACGCAAGGCCATATTGAAAAAGCAGTGCACCAGGTAGGTACACGCGGGCGAGCTGCCGGTTGCCGCTGTGCATTCTCTCAATAAAAATTACAAATGTTTGCCCACCTTCATCTGTGATGTCGTCAATGTAATCTTCCGGGTCGCTGAAGTCTGGCTCCTCCTCGACCTTCGGGGTTGACTTATCAACATTTTCGTCGGCTGCAGCCGTCTTATCGGCTGATGATTTTTTAGCCATATTTAGCTATTCGCGTCAGTGAATGAGTGAAAAATTAATCGACAAGCAGACTGGCTCGCGGCTGCACAACGGTCACTCGGAGGCTCGCTCTTGGCATACACGCGATGAAATTTTATTCAACAGAACGAGTTATATCCGAAGCTGAGCAAGCTGGATCGTTGGAATCTCTCGAGGCCTTTTGGGTGTCTGCGCGGAGTGTCCGCGTGTTTCGTATTATGATTATTATTTTTTGCCAGCGTGGAAGTTGGAACTGATCTTGCACGCCCCGCGCGCGCCTTCGTTCCGTAAATTGAAACGAATTCCCTGCAGCAGCACGAGTCACCGAAACATTTTTTTCACAAAATGACCGAATTCTTTGGGTCAAATTACGAATATCAAACTTTCGTACTTGATTTTTTGATTTTACAAAAATGACTTTCTTATTGCAAGTTGCTCCCAAGTAGTTTTTTTTTTTGGGTAAAATTCAAATAGCCGAAAACGATTTATTTATTTTTTATAGGAAAAACATGTCATAAACATATTATTGGAAAACGTTTCTTTCATAAAAAATTTTCGTACAAAATCAAATAATAACAACTGTAACGAAATAATAGAAGGTATTGCTCAAAAATACAATAACAAGTAGTATTACATACTTTCAAACTAAAAATCAACAAAAGTATGACAAATTAATTTTAGGAATCTCTGCAACTATGTTGCTTGTAAACCTTCGCAATCTCGCTCGCGTCTTTTAAATTATATTGCCCGAAGAGGATGTGGATAGCGACGAGGAAGAATCATTCCTCGAAGAAGTTAATATTTGTGACGAGGACGATGTTCTTATGGGCCGCCTTGCCCTTGGTTCTTTAGAGATGGTTTTGGAAGTTTCCTGCGCATTGAGTATTTTACTCAAATTATCCTCAATCTGGAAAATAACGTAAAAACGACTGATTAGCTAAAGTCTTGTAAAAAGTATGCGAATATGTCGTTCTCAACTTTCTCGTTATGACCGTGAATCGAGGCTGGCCTTCTGATCTGTTCACATTTGCCGTGTTCGTCACTTAGTATCTGGTACTTATGCCTCATTTCCTGAAACATCGCCATGGTCTTGTCACATAGATCTTCTAATTTGCCGATGGTATCATTTTTCTCAGAAATTTGTCTTTCTAGTTGATTAATCTAAAAAGTAATTCACGAAACTATATCATGATTCGACGATGGATTAAAATTTTCAATTTTTACCTTTATAGACTGTTGTAAATTTTCTGGTGAAGAATGGCCATGCCTTTTTTTATTATCTGGCAACGAAACAATTTTATCGCGCAGCGATGCATTTTCGGCTCGTAAATTTATTATATCTTCGTTAAATTTTATTAATTTATTTTTTGAAGCCTCGATCACAAGATTTTGATTGTATAACTTTTTTACCAGTGATAGAATCCGTAAACGCATATCCACACCGTCGGCCAGTATTGACTTCTTTAACGACTGAAAACATACAAAATCAAAATGATAAAAAGAGATGTCAGTAAATTCAAAATTTTAATACGAGAATGAATATCTTCTAAAAAATTAGGATTCAAAAAACTTACAATACATATGGATTTTTCAGGAGCATCTTTCGACGACGTTATCTCCAAACTAGATTGACTGCTATTTTCGTTCAAGAGGACAGAGTCATCGACTGAAAATGATGTCGGAGAACTGCCACATGATATTGTGCTTCTCTGCGACAAATGTTATTTAAAATTTTATTAACTTTCTGAACGTCTTGAAAATAAATTAAATACCTCATCCAATTTTTTTAGATTGGTAAATTTGCAAAAATCATTATCAAAAGTTAAAATGTCTTCGGTCGCTTGAAACTCTCTCAAACCTTCATCTTCAGGAAGAATAGAAATATCGCTCAAAAGAGTACACTTTGTTGCCGTTGAATTACAATTTGACTTGAACGGGTGTATACATAAAAAATTGTTATTAGTCTTAGTGATTTTTGTACCATTTTTTAATTCGTATTTGACTTACTTTTTCATTGAAAGTACTATTGGGAAAACTCGAAAATGTAGATGTTAAACTTCGAGCGCTCTGTAATTGAATAAAATGTTTTTTATTAAATCAGCTACTATACAGTTGACATTTAAAAAGAAACTCACGTTAGGAAAACCATTGATACGTATGCAATTTTCGCAAGGCTTGCAATGGCATTGACCTTTCCAAATTTTTCCGATGGAATTGCTGAGTGAACTTTTAGCATTGACAAACCAGCGATGCCTGAACAGGCAAACGTTTTTTTATTAGTATTTAGATGTAACAATGTATAGAAAAATTAAGCTTTTCACTCGTTCATTTGTTCCGAGATAGTACTAAGTCGACTTTATTCAACAGTAACGAAGTACTGAGTATCAAAAGCTTCAGCTAATCTAATTTTGGTTAATTTAAAATCATTAATAAAAGTTCACGTTAAGAGCACTTAGTTATAATAATACACGTCAAGAACAAGACCTTGAAAAAGTTCGTAACACGAGGAAAAATAATTGATTAACATTCAATTGGTCGCTTCACGCACTCGTGCTCGTAAACTCGATGAGAAAAATTGAATAATTTTACAGAGACGATCGTTGCAGGCCAGTCGAATCTTACACAGAAATTTGAAACTTACTTAATTTTACAGAACATGCAAAATAGAATGACGCCAGCTGATAACGTTGCGAAAAACGTTAAAAAATCTTCAACAGTCGAATCAGAGCTGCAGACCTGAGGCTTGTAATCGATTTCAGGCACGTAAATTGTATTGTACAAATCCAGAACTTCATTATCCATTGTTCAGCTTATTGAACGACCGAGAACTTCTATTTTAATTAAAAAATGAGGGGGCAAGGCTAAAAAAGTATCGATAAATGTTCGATTTGCAACAAAAATGCTAATTTATTCGATGTTGAACGAAATTAAGGCCAAACGCGGTGAAAGTCGGTCCAGACACCTCAAAACTGATATCGTTCTCTAACGATCGAAGGAGCACTAAATTGTCACTTATAGTTTATCCAAATACGTTCGCGCGTTCGAAGTGATGTTTGTATTTTTGTTTTGCTTCGGTACTGTATAGATGTGAGAGCTCTTAGTATTCAACGAAGTACAATTCAACTTACATATTTTCATGTGCCTAAAGCTCGTAAAAGCAACTTTGATCCGAATTTTAAATAAATGGTTTCATTGTTATTACTTATTCTTGCATCGACCATTGATAAACTTATTTCTTGCTGCTTGACTAAAAAGATTTGGAACCATAACACTTTTTACATAAACTTTTGTGTGATAAAAGGTACAAATTAATTTTTTTTTATTAAATTATACATAACATTATGCATACACCCTGCTAACATAAGCAAGAAAAACATGACCTCTTACGCATCCCATACTTATTGATGATTGAATTTCTGTGAATCATTTAATGAATATAGATATAGAATTACATTTCTTTGTATACTATTGACACAATATAAAACGATATCTTTGATATACGTTTTTTCCAAGGAGACTATAGTCGATGATGTACGTAAATCAAAGTGTAAAGTATTTAATTTTAAATTATATTTTATCAGTATTGAGAGACATTAGGACTTAACTTTAAAAAAAATTTTAGTATTTGTTTATAATTATTTTTCATTTATATTAGTCAAAAGAGATTCTGAATATAATGATTTATTTATCATTGGAAAGAGTTTTAATTTACTTAAAATGTTTTTACTTTTTTGATAAAAATCTATACATCAACACATTCTTGTGTCGCGTAATAAAATCGTTTGTCAGGAATCAACGATAAAGCGTCACACGAATCTTCAATTTTAACGTATCGGTTATTCGACCGAAAATATTGCTAACAATATCAAAAGCTTGCATGTAATAAAACCTAGTGATTTTTTTTTTATACAATCTCTTTGATTTCATTTTATCTCATGCATACACTAATTACATTCACCTGAATAAAACTGCGACAAAGCATAAGGTGTTATCGTGATATATTGATGTAATACTAATGATCGAAGCATATTTATTAGAAACTATCCATCATCGTTACGATAATTTTCAATTTTGAATATTTGACTTGTTAAGTGTTTTCTAATTAATCAATTAACGCATAGATGCATTAGTGTTTTTATGAGGTTGTATTAGGCAAAGGACATTTTCATTTGTTACAAAATTTTTCAGCTTTTACGGAGCTAGACACATTGTACAAATTGAATCGAATGTGTTTTGTTAAAAAAAATATGAAACACTCATGTATTATATCATCTAAATGACAAAAATAGCCACCGTAAAACGATCAACATCGTTTATGGACATAAAGAAGACACTTAACGTAGCTCGCGAAAGCTCCCATTTATAAATTTAATGACGTTTAGTATTTATCATCATCTTATCAAGATAAAAATATTGTTTATGTTAATAGTTTTGCAATTAGTAATTGCAATACATCTTAAGCTCGCGTTTGATACACGAATAATCTGAGAGAAAAAAACACAGAGAGAAAGAGAGAGAAAGAGATCGATCAGGAAAATTGCTGGCGCCACATTTCTCATCGTGACCTTGCAAGGCCGTGTTTATATACATCTTCACGTTCATATTCGCTTGCAAAGCTCAAGTTTATATAAGGGGTGTACGAGTACCAGATAGAGCTCAAATTCTTCAATGAGTTTTTTGCGAATGCTTGATTGATTTCGAGTTTCAAAGCTTTGTGTCATGAAGCTTACGCAATCAAAGATTTAAGAAATGCAAAAATTCGTTCACAACAATTTTTGCTGTATATCATTAGTAAATAAATTAAAACTCCACATATGATATTGTGCGAATGTACATTTATTTTTTTTTTTTCATTACAGTGTACTGCAAGGAGTTGACTTTAGAATGTTCCCACACGCTGCTCCGAACGGAAAGTTACACTTTCCACACGTTGTCGTAAAAAAAATGGTACGTAAGTGGGGTGGTTCTGAATTTCACACTCGCAGTAGCAATAGTATAATATTACAACCATAATTACGAACTCTAAAAGCCTATAAAATGTAATAAGCTAAAGAAAGCAATGATCGATTCGGAGTTGGTGCAGTCGACGTCACTTGACATTAACGATTAGAAAGCGTAAGTTCATCAAATGGTCTCTATAACGTTGGATTTATGATGTCCATTACACACTCGAACAAAGCTCGCGCTACTTGATACTTATCTCTTATGGATTCGTCCACGTGCTAGCTTACTTTCTTTATACATCTGTGTACAGCGAATAGAGTCAATACACATGAAAATTTTTCCAACGATAAATCCGATGTAAGTTTCCATGACAAGGGCTAAGAATTCTACGAAAATGATTACAAGGACGTGGATCATCTTTACCAAAAAAAAAAAAAAAATGAGATAGATTGAAGAGTAAACACGCGCCCCTATACATACTTATAAAAGTATGTGAAGTAATTTTGAAGAGCGAGTATACAATTTTGTTTAGCATGATTTCATTTTTATAAATATTTTTTATATATTTTATTGTTTTTTTAATGAACTGCTTTTATTGAAGTCTTAATCGGTTGCAATTGTTGAAAATATTTTACTTTTAACGTCTGGATAAATTGCTACGGATTATGCGGAAATTAGCAAGGTCAACTTGGTTAACGAGAAAATACCTTTTTAACAGTGACTATATAGTAACACGTGTTAACTATTTTCAAGTTTTGAGTTTACAAATCAAAAGGTTTTTTTATCTACGTTGTGTAATTTAGTTTAATGGGCTGAGTTGTTTTCGAAAGTAAATCGATACATTTTCTGAAAAGTTTGATAAAAAATACTGTTACTTCAATCAAATATTAAATTTCAAATTCTGAAATTTTATTTTGACTCGAAGCCCTAGGTACGTAATTCTTGTTGTACTCACAAAGAATGAAGTTGTTTCAGCACGCGCTACAGCACTGATAATTTTCGCTCATACTCAATTATAATACTTCAATGAAAACCTTGATTAAAACTATGATTTCAACACGAAATACAAATAATTATATCAATTTATATTTCTACGGTGAGCTATGGGACTTGAACAGGCTAAAAAAGTTGGGTAATTCATTTAATCGAAACGATGAAGTTTACGAACGATATCAAATCTTTCGTCACGAATACGCTTATACGATCGTTAATACGTTTTGAAACGAGATTTCAGTACAAGTCTGGTGATAATGAACCATCAAGAAAATGTAATAGTTTTGATTACTTTAGATTCGACCCAATAAAATGCAGTCTAAACGAGCAAGTGTGAAATATTTTTAAGATTATTCGTTTCGTATTTAAAATGAGATTGGTGAGATATTTTTTCCAAAGCAATCGATAGTACAATATACATGTTTCGATAAAATCCAGTACATATTTTCTGTCATTTCCTGACGTGACGTGATACACGCGGGTGACCTACACACACTCATAGCCACATTTGCTCCTGAAACACATTTAAGAGTCAGAAATCGGAATGTAAAAAAAGCTTAAATTTTACAAGCACGCTCACACAATATGGCACATGAAAAGTGGGTCATTTAGCACGTTTAAATGCTCTTCAATACAATGATTTTAAACATCGCTTATAACCACGTGTACACAAGAGTCGAGGGTGCAAATAAAACGTGGGGCTCGAGTTTTATTACTTATTCTTGTTGTAAATATTTATTTCTTTTATCTTTGAAAGCTGATCGAATAATTTCAATTTATCGATAAAAAAACGTATTCGTTTATATTTAAAATAATACTGTAACCAAATAGTGCAATTTCTTTGTTCCTTCGAAAGTGAGCATATCAAAAATGCAGCGTTTCGAATAAAGTTAATATTCGGTTACACATCTGTTATTTTGTATTTTCGAAATAAACACGAAAAACGGCGTATTTTTCTCGTTAAAACGAACAGAGTGAAAGCTCATGAAAAACGAAGCGAAGTGTAACTCATTAGGTCGCCAGTAATTGATACGTTTACGGAGACTGGCTTGGTCGGTCGGCACTGTGCACGCATACAAAAGCGGCATTGTGCGATGCAGACGTACTGCACGCCGGGGGCATTTGAAGCTATGATACACGCGCGTAATTGAGTTCATCATTCACACGGTCTACGATGATAGATTTCTTCTCGCGCTGCGCCTCGTCTCGTGTGCAGCATTAAAGCGCAAAACTTGATTAAGGCGCCCAGTCGGTCGGTCGCGCACTCGCATTCGCTCGATCGGCAGCGGGCCAAGAAAATTCGCGCCAAAGCAGAGAGAGAAACGCAAGCGCGACGTATTTATATTTCTGTGTATTAATGCATTATATAGTTACGGGCGAGCGGGTTTAAATTGGGAACGCGGCGTCTAGAAGCTCGACTTCTCGCTCGTGCAGCACGTAGATCGCGTAAAAAAAAAGGCGTAAACACGCGAAATTCGGCCACGAAGCGCGAAGCGGAGCAAACGAGCCCGTTCGATCGGAGACGGGCGTGGACCAATCTTCGTGACTGTTGCGATGTCATTTTTTTTTTTTTTTTTTGGGCTGCTTTGTAATATAAGTGGGCGACTATTCGCAATCGCGGGCAGTCGCGCGACCTTGCGCGCCATCCGGAAGAGCGAGAAAAGAATATGTTAACGGTGAATAGCGCGCAGACACACACGCGAAATACAAATAAGGCGCCGCCGGCGCATGGCTGTTGCGCGATCGACTCGCTGCTGTTCTGCTCGTGCACGTCGCTCGGCGCGGTAGCCGTCGTGTAGAGACCGGGCCCCGAAGTGGACTCCATTTACCTCTGCGGGCACTCCGAATGCGAGCGTTTGTATGCTCGAGAAAGAGATCTCGTTTTTCGTATGTACGCGCGTGTGCACAGGCGCGCGCAGAAAGGGACAGAGACGTATAGGCGAGGCGGCTGGTGGAGCTGCGAGGGGGTCGCAGCAGTCGTATTACAGTATATATGAGCGCGTCCAGCATAAGTCGGCCACCCCGCGCGATTACGGCATTTTTGGCCGAAAGTGTCGTATGTTTAGCTCGCTCGGAAACGTTTAGCAAGAGTCAGAAAAAAAATCCAAACACATAGATCGATAGATTTTTTCCTCCTCTTTCTAGTGGTGTAGCTTAAAAAATTCTTAAAAATTGATTTTGAGGTTAAAACTCGACTTGAATATTTAAGTCCATTTATCCAAAAAATGTATCCTCCGATTTCAATTTAAACTGCACCAATCGAAAGAGGAGGCAAAAATCTATCGAAAACCATGTTTTCCAGGATGGAGAAATGATAAGAACTATTAAAGATATCGAGATGAATAGCGCAGGACGACGCGCGCGGACCTGTTTTCCGTGCGCCAGCGGCGGCACATGCGCGGCGCCGTGTCGTTGTCTTTTCGACTCGCTCGTAATGGCTTAAAAAATGCTGGAAAAATAATGTTAACACGTAATTCGATAGATTTTTTTCTCCTCTTTCTGATGGTGTTATTGAAAAAATTCCCAAAAATTTTTTTCATAGTCAAAATTTGACTTGAATTTTTAAGTCAATATTTCTTCTAGTATTTCAATTTTGACCTCAAAATTAACATTACCAATCGAAAGAAGAGGAAAAAATCTATCGATTTACGTGTTTAAATTATTTTTTCAGCATTTTTTTAGCGAGTCGAAAAGACATAGGCAGGAAAACAGGTCCGCGCGCGCCGTCCCACGCTATTCATCTCGATATCTTTAATACTTCTTATCATTTCTCCATCCTGGAAAACATGGTTTTCGATAGATTTTTGCCTCCTCTTTCGATTGGTGCAGTTTATTTTGAAATCGGAGGATACATTTTTTGGGAAAATGGACTTAAACATTCAAGTCGAGTTTTAACCTCAAAATCAATTTTTAAGAATTTTTTAAGCTACACCACTAGAAAGAGGAGGAAAAAATCTATCGATCCATGTGTTTGGATTTTTTTTCTGACTCTTACTAAACGTTTCCGAGCGAGCTAAACATACGACACTTTCGGCCAAAAATGCCGTAATCGCGCGGGGTGGCCGACTTATGCTGGACGCGCTCATATATCAGCGGTGGAAGAGCGATACCGAGTACTAGCTCCATATAGATATAGCAAGTAGGTGTACAAACACACACGTGTGCACGAGCGCCCACGTATTTATATGTATGTGTGTACAACGAGCTTCTGTAAATGTACAGAACTTGGAGCGCCGCGCGCAGCACGACTCGCAACTCGCATGACTCTGAGCCTCCGAGCCGCTATATAGACAGCAGCACCGAGAGTAGGGGAGAGTGTCGGAGGCGGCGTGCGATCGCACTCGCCTGGAGAGGGGGAAATAACGAGCCTTTCGAGTTCAGCCGCGGTGTAAAAGCAGTGCAGCCAGCAGCCGAATGATAGTTTTTACTCGGCTCCCTGTATATAATAATAAAGCGACTGCTCTGCCTGCATGCGTTGCAATATATAGTAGGTATCGCGACATACACACATGTATGTTATACACGCACAGATGCACATTAGGGCGACGAGACTGCAGATGCAGAGAGACGACGAGTGGTGTGTGTGCGCGAGCGTGTGACTGACGCGTGTGCGTGAGTATAATAATAATATAATATAGAAGAAAAAAAAGCAGCTTTATCATCGAATATTCGACGGCGTATAGCCGACGACGGCCGCAGCCCGAAGCGAGTCGTCGCAATAGCGTGCGCAAGTATCAACACAGCAGTAGGAGCAGCATTATAAAGCATATATATAGGAGCAGCAGCAGAGCTTGGCCGAGGAGACCGGCGCCGCCGCCGCCACCGCCACTGCCGCCGACGACAACACGCGTCATTGCCGCATTGAAAATATAGATTTGCCGATTGTGCAGAGAGACAGAGAGAGAGAGAGAGAGAAACTGCCTCGCGAGCGAGCCAAGGCAGTAGCACGAGCAGGCGGCAGTAGCAGCAGCCGCCAGTCGCCACCGCCGCAATCAGACACACGATATATAGGTATCGCCAATTCGCGTACAACACTGGCTGCTCGTCTCCTCCGGCGCCGCGACGCAACGCGCGCTAGACAGTCGCGTATACGCTGCACGAGCTATTACATCGACCTATAGTGCAGCGCCTAATTGACTATTGTCCGAGTGGCCCCCCAGCAGCAGCAGCCGCCGCCGCAAACCACGTAAACAAAGTTTCTGTCTACGCGAGTCTTGTTTGTGTATCAGACTGTAGCAGCAGCAGCAGCTCGTCAGTCGTGTCCGTCCGTCACCGAGTCTGCAGACTGCGCCGCGGAGTCGCGACCACGTTACTTTGCGGTTTTGCGTCGACGTCAGCTATCGTCATTACGCACACATCGACGTCCTGACACGCGTCCGTTCGATGCACACCTCATCCCGCAGCCTATCGTCGAGCTTTAAAGACCGCGAGTGCACCTCTACGTCCAGTCAAGCTCTCTGCTGGGTCTCGCTCTGATCGCCTGTCGTCGTCTAGACTGCGCCTCGTCTGCAGCCCGCAGCACGTCCGAGAGAGAGAGTACTCGCCAACCAATACGTGAGCAGTATTTGTACATGCTCGTAAAATATCGCCGAGGTATTCGTCGATTGCACAGCTATACGGAGCAGTAGAGTCTAAGCCAACTCTATATAGCGGGGAGCCGGCACGCGCGTGCCCTGCCTATCTCTTTCTCTTTCTCTCCCACTTTTTCCTTTTTCTTCGGACTTTTGCGGCTTTAACCCATGTGAGCAAGCAGAGCAACTACAGAAACACCTCGCCTTTCGATGGAAATGTCAGGTCGCCGCCACAGACAGTGATAATCAGTTACCAAGTGTTTTTCTACACACTCGAGCAACATTGTTTCTCATTGGTTCTCAACGCAGATGAGCTTCCACTTCAAAAATTCACTTTTAATTGCTTTTTCACCATATTACCCTGTTGCAAGGGTTGATTACTCAACAACTATTCATGTGTGTCTGGTTGAAGTAACTGCTACCTAGTCAATCAAATTGTCAACTTCAACATTTTCACAGTTTATTTCAACAATTGTCCAAAAGTTATCGCCTTCAAAGCTGCATGTATAGATTTCAACGCCAGCTGTTGTTGCCTTCTACTTTTTGCACACCACGTTGATATTAGTGCTTGTCATCTACCCTTTATATATAAGTGGGTTCAGTTCCTGATTTAAACAAAGTGCTAGTTCACAAATTATTCAATGTCATTAATTTCATGCAATTGGTCAAATGAAACAAATGGACAATTAGTGAATTGTGAAAGTGTTAACTTTCAGTGCTAGTTTATCAATTTTTTGTGGCATCAGTCAATGCATAGTATTTGTTGCTATTGAACTGATCTCAGGAGGGCTAGTCATACTAATGCCCAGCATTAGTGAGCTTTTATAAATATTGAGTGTGTTAAGAGTTGAGTGTGATGCCTGGGAGTCGTACTAGTATCGAACCCGAGCACAAATCCCCTAGGGAAAGTGGTGAAGATTCTGAAGATGAAAGTGAAATTTTGGAGGAAAGCCCCTGTGGTCGGTGGCTCAAACGCCGTGAAGAGGTATGTTTTTCACATATCGTATTTTATCATGAAAAGGTATGTTATTTTTGTTTTATTACAATCTAGCTGAAATTAACAGCTCAATAATTAGTAAGTAAATTAGGGTTATAATGCATGCGACTGATCGTTGAGATGCTAGTATCAGCTAAATTTTATTTATATATTCTTATATCATCATACTTTTGACATGTTGGGGACGGTTATTTATATTTTTGATTAATTAAATTAAATTAAATTAAAATCTACTAAACAAAGCCAATGTTTTAGTTTTGATACATGTAGAATCTTTGCCTATCATTTAAGAAATAGAAATTATAAAAAAACTAGTTAAATTGCATTGATAAGCTAATGATGAGTGATGGAAATCTATAAAATCAGATTTATCTTGAATTACATTTGGAAAAATTTGTAAATTCTACTTTTTGACACAAATACAAATTAAGTTTCATGTATTTTTAATGAGTTGAAATTACCTGCAAAAATTTTCCATTTAAAATGATGATTAAAAAATATTTCAAATTCCTGAATGCCTTTTAAAACTGCAAGTCCTGCTTTTCAATGACAATAACAAACTCTATTATCTTGATTGGACTAGAACGTGCCCATGTAGATATTAACTTCCCTCTATCTATTTCTATTACACAAATGCTTGTAACTGAAAATTATTCTTTTGCTTTATAAATTTAGTTATATTTGACTTTATTAGTTTAATATAATTTTATAAACTTAAAAAGTGAAAAAAGAACGAAGTTATATAAATAAAACGAAGGCAAATCATGCACGTTGGAATATGAGTATTAATATTCGAGAATTAATTCAAGTAGTTCAAGCGCCAAGAGATCTTTTCTCATTTTTCATAGTGATGATAACTCGGCAACGTGCGAAATTTAGCAGTATGCCAAATAATTATATCGGGATAACTTTTATAGAAAACGTTTTGCGCATCCATCGACGAACTTTGCTCTATATTTATTTTTTTTCTGAACGCCTTCCAATATTTCGAAAAAAATTCTCAAGTTTGTAGCTATTTTTTGCTATTCTTGCGTGACGAAACTATTTTCAATATGCTTAAAAAAATTGCGTCAACATTGTCGTTTTTCTTATCGCTAAATAGTTTATGCGATATGCGTCACATTGTTCGTGTGGATTTGCCAATCTTTACAAGCACCTATCCACTGAAATGAAATACGTATTTTCCACACCATACAGCACGTGAACTTTTAGTTATGTACAAAAATATACATCTGAACACTTATCTTAGAAGACCACATTTAGATGGTCTCGGTTACAAGTAGTTTACTTTGTTTACATTCTGCAAATAGCATCTCAAGCTCGGCCTATGCTATACGCATTACGGATTGAGAGTCTTTGATACATTACTCTTACTCTTAACACTACTTCAATCTTAATTGGATAATAATGTGTCTAAAACGTTTCATTGAAATAAGAAAAAAATCGGATTAATCTTTAATGAGCATGAATTCCATTAATAATTACATTAGCACCTGAGCGGTAATGAGATACATCTTGCACTATGAAAATTCTCCTTCCTCACTTTTTACGAGAAACTTCTCGGGTAGTTAGAAATAAGTCACATATCATGAATAACCAAATTTATTATTGTAAATTTGAATTTCTCTGCGAAGGATATTTTCTACAATTTCTATTAAGTTAGTGCACGTATTTCGAAGCTTACATTATATAACTATTGTATGAATATAGAATTTGCATGAAATAATGGCTTTCAAAACTATGTTATATTGTAATTCCGCTATGGAGCTTAGATTTTATTAAAAATCACATGGTATCTAGCATTATTCGAGTTGAACATCGATAGCGGAGGTGGCAGCAGCAGCAGCAGCAGCAGACTTTTCCGCTAGTGTGCGAGATTTTCATTATTTCCGCGTTCTTGGCTCAAGATCGAGGCAATGACCGAGATCAATGTCAAATTTTTTTCTGCTCTCGCACTCGTTCGAACGAACGTTTAAGCCGCTCCATGCTGCGTTTCACGTTATATAGCATACAACACTTGTCTCTTTCAATTTAAAACTACTGTGCTCTGCGTAATGGATATATTTTCGCGCGAATTTTCCGACATTCTTGGCTCTTTAGCTCATCGATTGCCCATTGAATGTCGCGCGAGGTGACGCGTGCGCGAGCTTTTTTGCAGAATTTTCAATTCCGAAAGATAAAAGAAAAAAGCATCGAGTACCGTATGCGTATCGATTAATAACTACAATATATAGGCACAAGTAGCGGCCGCATTATGCATGCTATATTTGCTCGTCACTTTGCTACGACATATCGTTGGCCTGCGCTTGAGTAACTTCAGCGCGAGGAATCTCGTGGGAAAGAAAAGTGTGAATAATTGGCTTCGCGTATTTCTGCGTGTCGCGATCGAACCTCTGCTTTGCTCACGCACGCGCACGCATTTATATATCTACCCTATATATATTATATACACGCACACACATATAGGCACAACGAAGTAAATTTTGCGCGACGACGTGACGCATATTTTGCCACTAATCTCTCGCATTAAGTATATGTGGAATGCCGATGTCGCCGCTGAAAGATTCAATATATGAAATAAAAAAGAGCTGCGCCTTAACTTTTTGCTCCGAACCAACGAATTTTGAGCATTTTTGATCAAGTTTTTTCAAGAGCTCAATATAGTTCTAAATTACGTAGATGAATCGAATCTTAAAAATTATTATATGAATCAATAATAAATTAAAATGATCAGAATTTAAAAATGATTCGTAGGGGAAAACTTTAAAATCATAACAGTAGTGCTCTCATTGCACACATTGCGCGTCATGTCAGATCCTCAGTAGGTCACTATTAAATGACCCTGCATTGAAAAGTGACCAACGCTTCTCTCCGGCACTGGTTTTAATATTAAAGGTCTCGTTAAAAATCGCGCCAACTGTGTGGCACGTTATAGCCGCGATTACTTAAATTCATGTCGAGATCAGCATTCATCGGCTGTAACTCTAGAATAAGAAGACACATATCTTATTTGTCAAACGAATAAATAAGCATTTAATCACTAATTTCACTTTTGGGGCTTTCGCCAATAAATCACCCGATCGAGCAATAAATACTTACTTATCAACGATTGAGGAGAGTTTATCACCTGATAAATCAATTACAATTGCACTCGAACTGTCAGAGAAGAAAACAAAAAATTACGATTAAAAAAATGGACTATCATTGCGTCCAGTGTAAAGAATTTTTCTACTTTGCCATCAAACTTGTTTATTTCCTAGAAATCAATATGTTTCAATGTGTAAAATTTAAGTCTATAGCCGTGGAAAACCATCCAATGAAAAGATAGGCATCGATACGTATATTATCTGTACTTTAACAAATTTGAATCAAATTCAATGAACATTTTTCTTGCGTTTTTAAAATCAAATCATGAAAAATAATTACAATTTACGAAAAATTAAAAATAACAAATGGAATTTATATCTAAATTAATAAAAAAATTAATTCGTTTACAGGTGGAACAACAAGACTTGCCAGGGATAGACTGCGCGTATTTGGCGATGGATACCGAGGAAGGCGTCGAAGTCGTGTGGAATGAAGTTCAATTTTCCGAAAGAAAAAATTTCAAAGCTCAAGAGGAAAAGATACAGCTTGTCTTTGAAAACTTGACGCAACTCGAGCACCCTAATATAGTTAAATTCCATCGTTACTGGACGGATACTCACAATGACAAGCCTCGTGTAAGTACCTCTGCAACAACTTTTATTACGACTAATAATGTTCTCGGTGGAAGGAAGCGTTGACAAAAGAGTACGGACGACTTCATTATAATGAACATTAAGTACAAATTATAAGTGTAGTAAAATTGCTTACCACAATTGCATACACCTATTGGCGTGGTAGTTCAAATGGAGCAGAAACTATAAGCCAATTGTCAAAAATTCGATTAAATTATATGAACATCTATAATATATGCAAATGATCTGCACACAAGATTAGAATTCGCCAACGCTTGTAATGTTCAAATTCGCCTATTACTGTAACTATTAATATGTCTAGACGCCAGTTCTATAAATACATTATGCGACGAATATTATCGATCTTCTTTAAATCGTCGGATTGACTTTTTGACATTAAAGACATAATAAAACGAGCTTGACGCATAACTTAGTGGTTTGTTCAAATTTTCAGCGAGTACTAATGGATCGTAAAATCATTTAATTTTGTTACAGGTCATTTTTATTACTGAGTACATGTCATCTGGGTCTTTGAAACAGTTTCTCAAGCGAACCAAAAGGAATGTCAAAAAGCTACCCTTGCAAGCTTGGAAGAGGTGGTGTACGCAAATACTCTCTGCTCTCAGGTACCTATCCAAATATCGTTTTTAAAATCAATTAATTAACGCAAAAAACTTTTTATCGCAATTAAATTATTGATTAATTTTGTTGATAACGCTATATTAGTTGAAAAATAAGCTTGTAAATAATTTATCGTATTCAGTCGCCGCATAATAAAATAAAAAAAATCGTATTTATGCATAAATAAAAAATCATATATGTAAATAAATTATTCATATATTTCCAGTTACTTGCATTCCTGCTCTCCACCAATAATACATGGTAATCTCACATGTGACACCATTTTTATTCAACACAATGGTCTAGTCAAAATTGGCTCTGGTGAGTTACTTCTAAATCGTTTACTAAACTGATCAAATAAACTCATTCACTCGTATAATTTGCAATATAATGATATTAATTGTACGAATCTCATTGCAGTGGCTCCTGATGCGATTCATCAGCATATCAAGACTCACAGAGAAAACATGAAAAATATGCATTTCATTGCTCCTGAATATGGAGGTAAGTTACTGTTGAGAGATATAACAAAATTTTATCATAAAAATTCGGTGTAAAGAACTTTAATTTTTATTTTTCAGTTTCCATAACTCCATCTACAGATATTTTCTCATTCGGCATGTGCGCATTGGAAATGGCTGCATTGGAAATTCAAGGCAACGGAGATAGTGGAAATGTTGTTACAGAAGAACATATTATGAAAACTATTGATTCGCTGGACGATATTCAACAAAAAAACTTTATTCGCAAATGTATACAAGGGGACCCATTAAATAGGCCAAGTGCCCGGGAGTTACTTTTTCACCCTATTTTGTTTGAGGTTCATTCCTTGAAACTGCTTGCTGCACATGCCTTAGTCAACTCTGCTAGTGAGTTGATGATTTTGATTATAAACAAAAACTTTATCGCGTCGAAATATTCAATGGGACAATTGATTTAAAAAAAATAATGTTTCACAGCAAATATATCGGAAACAATAACAGATGAAGTGCTGCAAAGGCTATATGGACCGGATACCGTGGTGGCTGAGATGAGATATCAAAATCGTCCACCCCACCAAATACGTTTGAGTGATTTTCCTGTTGCTGAAAAATTAGAAAAATTTGTCGAAGACGTAAAGTATGTCAAAGTTAATTCGAGTGTTAGTTATTATTTAAATTGTAATAAATGTTAAATTAAATTTTTTAGATATGGGATTTATCCACTGACTGCATTTAAAGCAAAACTTCCACCACCTGTTCGGCCTCGAGCTATTTCTCCTGAAGTAGCTGAATCTGTAAAATCTGTCACTCCAGAACCAATTGACACAGAGACTCGGAGAGTAGTCAATATGATGTGTAATGTAAAGGCAAAAGAAGATTGTACCGAGCTGCAAATGACAATTTTATTAAGAATGGATGACAAAATGAATAGACAATTAACTTGTCCAGTTTCTGAAAATGATACTCCATTACTTTTAGCTCAAGAACTTGTGAATTTTGGATTCATCAATGAGGTAAGAATTCACAGTAATTTACTATACAAGTGCTCTATGTTACTTGTGGCACTTCTTCTGTAAATTAATATTATTTTTCTAAGATTCTTGTACTATAAACTCAATTTTTTTTTTTAACCGATATAAATAATGATATAAAACTTCTCTTTTGTTGTCAGATTGATCGTGATATGTTAGCAAATTTGATTGATGAAGCTTTAGCAAGTTGTTTCAACAAAAGAATGTTAAAACCTGGTATGGTGTCGTTGTCTAATCTAGTAAATCCAACAACATTAAGACTACCAGAGCCAGGTCAATCTCAGATTCGAACTTTGGACGCAGAAGCGTTATCAAAACATCTACAACTTCAAGCAACTTTAGCTGCACAAAATAATATGGGCCTTGATACTCCAATGAATAAGCATCAGGAACAGTTGCACCAGCAGCATCAAACGGATGAACCACAAACAATGGCTACGAATGAGGTTACTAGTTAACCACCGGCCTCTCTGCTCAACGCATTTCATGGCCATTACTTTTTACATTGCTTATGCTACTATTGTTGTGCTGCGCTTCATTCTCCATGTACAGACTGGCTATTTATTTTTATATTTTTAAGTAAGAAATTACATCAGTTTTATGAAGCAAATAGATCTATAACAAAATTCGATCTTTTAATCTAAGAAAATGTTACTGTCACTCATAAATTTATAGATCAGCGATCGGCTGTAATGATGTAGATGGCAATTGCCGGTCAAGGGTTTCCCCTTACCGTGAAAAACAGGTATTCTTCGACAACTTATATCAAGATCATGGCTATGATGATGGCCTGCGGCCGATTTTAATTGTATAAATTAAATTAATATTGACACCCCTATTTTTGTTGAAAATAATTTTCTAATGTCACTTGGAACAAAAGATTTCGCCTTTTTGAGAATGAAAAAATATGGTGAATCTCTTAACATTCATGGGTATTAAAAATTGGGCACAAGTATTATCACTCTATTGGACATAAAGCTTTATCTTAATATTTAATTCAATTCATAGTAATACGATTTATTATAAATTAAATATTGAAAAATCAGTCAAACTAATTTGATGAATTATTATAAATAGCTTACGTACAATTTTGCATTTTGTGTTGAAAATTTATGAAACTAAAAAATAACTAAAATATTTTCTCATAAAAGAATGGATTTTATATTTCGAGGTACAGTAAACTTTGTCTTTTCGATTTTTCATTGTTGCTTGTATCGTACTGTTTTAAGATCATGCTTGAAATTTTTAATATAAAGTTCTAAATTTTTAATATAAAGATTAAATCACTTTTACATTTTTATAGAAATTATAGTAATTTTACGCTTATGTTTATACGTGTTTGTAAAAAGAAAAATTTGTTTACAATTCTCCGTACCAATTCATTAAGAATGCAGATTTGTCTCGTGAATGTACGGCGTTTAAAGCCAACCTTGATCATTGAAGATACAATATATAAAATGTAAAGGAAACAAATGTTATCAAAATTGTAAAAATGAACAATAGTTTTGAATACACATTTCGCACAAAAAATGAGTAACAGTAGTAAATATGTAAGTCAATCCATTTAGGCCAGCAGTAATGATAACTGAACGAAATATAACAATACAGTCCTTACTCACCGTAAGTCTCTAGAGATCTTATTGTTTCATGTTACGGTACACATTAAACGAGAAATACTGTGGTATTGAATATGACACTAACTTGTTGGGTATTACTATTAATATATCAAAGTTATTAACAAGCTTATTATTCATCATATTTCTTTCGGAGCTGAATTGTTATGATAACGGCAATAATTATTTATTCAGAATCGTATAATTAATAATATTCCGTTCAACTACGTAAAAAAATAATTGAAATTTTATTAAAATGTTTAAAATATAATATATTAACGAAAGCTAGAGAGCTTATTTGATTTTTTTTAAATTAAAAGATGCAATAACTACCAGTTGAAGGATTCGAATGAACTTACAGTATCAAAATAATTTACAAAAGGAAAATACCAAACTTAACATAATCATGTAACTCCGGAATAGAAACAAGGTTTTACAACCGTAACATATAAAAAGGAAAAGTCATGTTCGAAATATGAGTTTGCTGTAAATAAAAACTATATTTTTAAGAGAAACTGTCAATACAGAAAACTAGTCATAACTATATTCAAATGTTGAATAGACTAACACACCGACTTCCTTACGTCTTTTTTGCATTTAAAATTATGACAAACGCTTGGCCAAGATGGAAAAGAATTTTTTGAGATTAAGATTGAATTTAAAAAAATCGTAAATGAATTACAAAAAATAAACAAGTGTGAATAAATAAACACAAGTTAATGAGAACAAGGTACTGCTCTTATTTTTGTCCATACTTCCGAAAAATAACGAGAATATTGAATCGTTGCATTTTTTATAAAAATTAATTATAGAATAAATAATGCGTGATAAAGAACCGCCCGAGAAAATGGTAGAATGTGAATATACAGAATTGTACACTTCAACTTCAAAATGTTTACAATGTCGAGATGCAAAGTGAATGAAATGTATAGCGATATTTTCTCGACTTATTACTTTTTTGTAATAAAATGCTAAATTGTTGTGATGCAAACTTGAATATAATGATGTAATATAGTAGAAAATGTGGTAATAGAAAGCCATTATTATATTCGTTCAGAGTTTAGCTCGAATCGTTTTTTTTTATTGTTTGTTTTATCGGAATGACAAATTCCACAAAGTGATAACGTGAATAAAATGATGAGAATTAGAGTCTCTTTTGCAGTCTGTTATTATTTTTTGTTCGCTTCTAAATAAGCTTTATTTATGTATAGAATAGCGTTTTACTCGCAAGATATTACAAAATTCATATAAACTAAATAATGTTCCTCTTGTTTATTTCTTTTATTTTTGTACACACACCATGATAAAATTGAAAGAGGCAGTTAAAGACATCAAAAGTATTTTTTCATAGATTTCACTACAATTGTGAAGTATAATATCATTACTTGAAATGCATTCTGATCGGGACTGATGGATGAACACTGTGTAAATCCAAGTAACATTACAATATATTTTTGTACTTATAGTTACTATATTTTTAACCAACTATTGTTTGAGTAATGATATTGAAAAAACATTTTTTTCTGTAAAAAATAAATAAATAAAAAATCTACCTTAAAACATACAATAGTACTATAACTCTTATTAAAAAAACTTAGGACTCAAGAGTTCTTTAATATTATTTAACAATGTTAAAACTTATTTTATCAACGGTATCAGTATCAATGGTATTTAAAAATTTGATTTCCTAGCTTAAGTTTTTACGTTTCGATGCAGATTATAAGTAAGCTCAGAATTTCAAAAATAAAACTAAGGTAAAAAAGGTCTGTCAATTCGAAGAATGACATGACATTTTATTCGTTTCATATCTCAGTTAACAACTATTCATCTGTTAGCAATTTCAGCAGCAATATCATAATGCACACATAGTGCATTATGTTATTCGTCCACAAATGCGTACTTCTTTAGCCAATAGAGCGACAAGGCGCCACTCAAATTTGTTGATGCATTTTGATATCCGGATTGCAAATATACGCAAGGTGGATTTGTTGAAAGTAGTTAAAACATTTCTTGTTATTAATAAATTAATCAGGGTCACCAGACTACGGATAGTGCGACTTTTATAGTGAAAAATAAGTGTCATGAATTTGAACGTAACAATGCGCTAAAGGGCCTGAATCGATTGTGGGACTCGCATGGAGCCATGTCAAGCGTTACCATCAAAGGGTGTTGAACCGAAGGAAACACGAGGATTGTTTGAATGCACTCATGGGCTAGTGAGACAAAAGAAGTGTTGGGCCCAGACCTAACAGTAAGTGACTAGCCCAGAACAGGCGAACAGAGTTCAATAGATTTTTGAAAGTGTCTATTCGGTGGCGGTAGCGTACGCGAAAAGCGCGTTTGCGCATCACAAGACAATAATATTGTGGGTTATTTCGGACGGTGCATTCCGTGCATTACATGTTTTCGTTTACACTACAGCCACCAAATAGACACACTCTAAGTTTGGCTATCTTTAGTTTAGGGGCCCCGATAAGTTTGATTATCAAAACGATTTTATAAGCACAAATGTTTTCACCACCTTCAATAAATTCACTTTGCACACTAGTAATTATAGATCGAAATGGGTCGAATAAACGTGGGCGAGGCCTTGCTACACTACAGTCCAGAAGCAGAAGAGTACCTTTTTTCGGGGAGGGGGGCAAATCGGTGCCCAAGTGCGATAGGCACGACGCGGTGCAAGAATGTGCAACTTATGCCTCAAAAACATGAGCCACAGATGTACGCCATGAACTTGAACCAGTGCTACAAAAGTTGTCCAGCGTAAAACAAGTAGTTTTTTTTTAAACGGGTTCTTAAAATGGCTAGTAAAATCATTATTTTTGATTTAGAAACCAGCGGTTTTCGCAGAGACGATGATATTCTGCAGGTACATTGAAAAAAAAAAGAAAAATCAAAATTATCGGATTAGGACATTAGAATTAATTAAACGTGCTTGTAGATTTCAGCTCTGTATCCCCGTACGAATTGGATTTTTAATAATTACATTACTCCTTCAAAACCAGTTTCGCCACAGGCTTCACGAGTTAATGGATTAGAAGCTTTCGGAAATAATTTATTTCTACACGGGGATAGAGTTAACACTGTTTCTGCCTCAAGGGCTGTCAAGTCCTTCATATACTTTCTCGGAAGATTCAATGGTCCAGTAATTTTGTTGGCTCACAATTGTTTCAGGTAATTCTCTATAAATTCATAATTTTGTATATTCGGTATTCACTTTCATCAATGAGTTATTTTTAAAAGAACTGTGTAGCATAAGTTCAAATGTCGACGTTCGAGATAAACATATTATTTCACGAAGGAAAGCAAGTGCACATAATTTCTAAAAGTGCATAAATGTCTAAAAGTGCATAAAACTCGGCCTTCGGCAAGATGCCGGTTCGACGTTCAAATCTTGCTTAATCAGCATATCGCGCTGCTCAGAGTTTTATGTGTAGAATTTCACTCCTTTGTTACGTGTAGTAGCGATAAACTTCTCTCGACCGTCGATGTTTGATACGCTTTGTCACATGTAAGTCGCATATTCTGGCACCATGACTCACTGCGTTGCTCGCGCGCCAATTTCATTCCAGAGTACTAGATAGTGCGATTTAAATCGTGAAAAGGGGACATAAATGTGAAGCTAGCACAGTGCTATAAAATTGCGTATGACTCATGGGCGAGCACTCTTTAGTGCTATTTATGATCTTGGTAATTCATAATACTCTTTTTTTATTAGTTTTGATTGCCCGAGGCTAATCAGACTCGTATCAGAAGTTGGCATGCTCGACCGGTTCAAGGCAGTTGTACAAGGCTTTGCAGATTCTCTGCTAATATTCAAGGAAAAACTGCCGTGTATGGTCCAGGAGAGAAGGAGATTTTCAATCAAAGCCCTGGCCGCAATATTTTTAGATAATTTTGATTATGGTTCACTGCATAATGCCGTGAATGACGTGAAAACCTTAAGCGAACTGATTAATGCAATTGGCGTTGACAAGAACACTATTATAAGAAATAGTCGCAACATTTCGAATATTTTAAAAGAGATGAAAAGAAGGGAGATTATAAAAGATAATCGATGTTCTTTAAGCGAGTATGAGGGAACAACGTCCAATTATATTTTGATGAAAATGGCCAAAAATGGCATTAACAAAGAAATATTGCTCGATACTTTCGATGAAGAAGGTGAAGATGGGATAATGAGGCTTTTCACGGAATATGTGAACGGGAAACCTCGAGTAACCAATAGTCGAAGACTTGTGCATAGATTTTTAAACTATCATTTTTAAGAAAAAAAATTAATTGTTAAAATTAAAAAGATCTCATTTCATTTTAAAAAATATATTATTTTCATTTCAAAAAGATTCTTTCAGTTGATAAAAACATTATTGATTTTTTCGAATAATTATCTTGAATTTTGAGTATAATAAATAAATAACCAATTTTTTTCATAAATAGTTTGTATTTTCATTATTACCTTGTAAAAATAATTCTCTAATTTTTTGCTTAAAGACCTACTTGATTTTTAAATTTAGAACTTCTCGCTCTGTTGCAAATTGTTTCTGGGGTCTGGTCACTGCTGTAAAGTCAATTATATCCTTATATAACTTTCTTCTTTTATAAGCTTTTAAAATATCGAAAAATTCATAGTATTGTAACGTCCTACGGCATATAGTCTACACTCTGTCAACCAGATGTTTGCATGGGAGCGACCAAAGCGCCTGTACAGCAGTAAACCACCGAAATTTTTGAGCATATAAAATAATTTTTTTTCATGCATAATATTCAAAATGTGTCGATTACACATTTTGATCTGTACAAGATACAAACTACGTACAAGTAAAACAACGGTTAAGTTTATTTTTAGCAGTTTTATCGCTTTTCACACCTTTCACTCGGGGCCATGTGTTCAGACTTTTTATCATCCGACGCTATAAAAGCTATCCTGGAAATACTAGCACTCTTGGCCGGGCTTTGAACAAGCTAATATCTCTGTTCAGCTTAAGACTGAGTCATATCCTTATTCTTTATTACACTTCCAGCCTACCACAAGCAAATAGATTACCATACACGTTTAAGTAAAATCAAAAATTCTCAGGAAGTAGAGACTGTATTCGCTAGAACTCGGACCCCTTATGGTAAGCTATTCGCGAGAGGTAGGGTCGAACTTCCTCAAAGACCCAAGGTCCTTATGGTAAGTTTTTCCATGAGGGGTCCGCTTATACTTCACCCAAGAAAATTTCTATTATGAAGGTGATTTTTAAGAGAAGATAAAAATAGAAATTTTACACCTGTTTTCAGAGATTTTAACGGAATGTATTTTTAAACGGTTCTAAAATGTACTTTTCACTATAAGCTTTGGTATCCTCATATTAATCATTTAAATAAGTCTTTTTTCTGCATGATAAATAACGAGTATAATTTACAGTTATTTAAAGAACAAAATAAAAGATTGCGCGTAAAAATCTCTGTTAAAGTGATGACTTATTGCTTTCGTCACAGTATCAAGTTAAAACAGATTTTTGACAACAAAGCTTTTTTTTTATCGTATTTGCATATTTTATTGATGAATATGTCTTACCTCCTGAAATTTGTTCGTGTGAAAAATAGCAAAATGTAAAAGCTCAAAATATGAAAAGCTAAATAATTTTTTACAGTGTTCGTGCGTAAAGCAACGTCATAATTACCCTTGTATTCAAGATTTTACATGCAGAGCTTTTTGTAAATAGCTTTGATATTTAAATATTGCTGGGCACATCAACATGATTTTATTATTCACATTAACCCATTAATTAGATTGAAAATTCATGAAATTAATATTTGATTTTACTTTGCGAATAGAATGAGAAACGTACAATACACAATAAATATTGATTATTTTTCCTTACTCAGAAAAAAGTGATTCAAGTATGTACTAACTCCTACTAATGCTTTGTAAATGGTTGAGTTTCTGTTTAGGTTATTTAACTGAAAAAAGTTACCGCGTTAAGCTTCAAGTTATATGGTACATACGTTTTTAGCTGATCTTTGAAAGCATTTATTTTTTATTCCAGAAAATTAGTAGTTTGGAGTTGCCAGTAAGTATGTATTAACTATATATTTGTCCTTCATAATTTTTCTCGCTTAATCTTAGAATTGATGATATCAATTTTAAAATGTAGGTTTGATTCAGTAGGTGAGTTTTTGTACTAAAGTTTTGTTACGTACTGTCATATTCGAAATCTGAGATGCGCCAAGCTCGGGCTTGGTCACGTGTTTCTGATATGACGATCCCATTAATTCTCAGAAGAAAATAATAAAACGCTTACGCGAGGCGAAAGGGCCATAAAACGTTGCGCAAGACATTAGCAATCAAAATTACGCGTCAAGAGTCACCGGTTAGTTTTGTAAATTCGCGTTTCTTTCCGACACTTTGTCAAAATAATTCAAGCTCACGGGAATTAGTGAAAAGGCCGGACATCTTTTGGAAAACCTTCTTGTCTTGTTATATTTCCGCGCCTGCGATCTCTCTAGCGTCTCATCGCTTGTCAATTCGCACCCACTTTCTTCTTGTCGTATTCGAGGCCGCTCTTGTTCTCTCAACAGTTTATCTTTCTCGATCGCGTGCCGACGCTGCGCGGCTTGCTTTTGATCTCGCTCGGCTAAAATTTGCCTTTGTAACGATTGATATACCAATCCGTTGTAATTCATATTTAAGATTTGAGATATCGAGAGTAGGCAGCTCACTATAAATATATTGTTTTAAAACAAATTACGTAATATTTTCAGTATCCTCAAGCCCTCTGTTACAATGCATCAATTTAATAATTTCAAAGTTAGCAACAAATAAACGAATTCCCATATACTATTTACAGCAAATGAAATAAATAAAGAGAAAAATGTGATATTAATTGAACACACAATACTTATGTGTGTGAAAGTGACACACGTAAAACACTTTCGTCAAATAGAAATTAATAACCAGATCGGATGATGTTAATTTAGTGGAAAAGCAATAAAATTGGGCATCCGCTATTAATTGGCATTGTATATCGTCACGTTCTCACGGATGAGCAGATGTCAACGGGTCTTTTTTTCCAAATATATTGCACAAATTTTAAGTTATTAAAAGAAGACTGAAGAAGCTTGGGGGTAAGTAATATGCCTGTCATCTTATCCGGTGTGCGGAGCTCGTGTCACTTTGTACCGCGAGTTCAACGCGGAGTGCAATTCGTTATCGAGGTAGCCACTGCCGTTCAGTCAACCAGCAGCCATAGTTGAGCCAGTTGCAGAGTAAGCCACGAGTATTCGACTATTGAAGCTAGCTGAGCCAGTTGAGTCATCTACACCGAATCGTTCGGCAGGCCTTAAGCATCTTGCTTATAGTTAGTTCAGTAAGCTTAGGTGTATGTCAATCTTTGTATTCATATGTTTGAAATGCGAATAAATAGTAGTTGTGAGTACCCAGTATCATCGACTATCGACTCCTTTCTATTTATTTTTTCTCATTCTCTATTGTCAGGATAAAATCAACTTCTTAATTAATTAACGTGAGTCTTATCACGGCGTTATAGTTTAATGATTTTTCAAGTGAGTAGTTCAATGAGTAGTTTCTTAAAATGTTTACCTATAAACATTTTATTAAATTTATATTTATTTGTCTGTATGTTTTATTTATTTTAATGTTGATTCAAACTTTTTATTAATTTCAGATTTTAACATCGGTGTATCCTCTCAATCATATTGGAAATGTAAAATATAAATTCATATGGACGTGTGATTTACGCCTGATGACAGATTTATAGAAATACCGTGCACTGGCAAGATATAAAATTATAACAATTACCCAAGTAATTTTTAAAAATCAGTAAGCACTTTGATTCTATTGGAAATATCATCTCCTCATATTATACCCTTAAATTATACTACTGAATAACAATGATAAATAAAAGGCAGAGGCGTTTCGGTGCGAAATGCGAAAGCAAAGGATATGATATGAGAAAATGCTGCAGAGCAGACTGAAAAAGTGGCATCGCGCACGTCGTATTGCACTTTTGAATATCCCGCATGTCATATCTCGCAGACGCGGATCTCGTGTTAGTATATTGGTGTCTTACCACGTGAAAATCGGGTGTACCGGGATCATCGTGTGTATACAAACGCGTGTATACATATATCTGAAATGAAGGTGAAGTCAGGACGAGAAACGTGCCGCTGCTTTCAAAGTTTTTCAATTTTCCTCGACACACATACACACGCCGTGTGTGCGGCTGCAGAAAATATATAAAGCGAATGGTGAGAAAACCTGCTGGAAATTCATGGGCACGCGCGCGCGCATTCCAAATCCGACGAGCAAGCGTTGCAGGCGTATAGTACCCTCGCCTTACCTTTGTGTTTCGTCCGGCTGTATGCATATGTACCTTCATCGCTCGCAGCTACAACTCCTGACCGTACCTAGGCTAATTCCACAAGTATACTGATTAACTCGGCAAACTTTGCTGACGATTGAATCTGTCCTTGCCGAATAAACGATTGAACGATTGCTTATTTTTCACACGTGCTTGGTGATGGCTACCATACACAATTATTACTTTCATCTGGCCACCATTGGACGCGAATAATAAAAAAGTAGCTTTTGCATAAAATGAACTGTGCGCATTTCAAAAAATGTTACTGTTGAATATACAATATTATCAATCAGTTGTATAGCGACAAAGAGGGAGAGAGACTCTGGTTTTTCATTTTTCACTCGCAACTCCCAGGGCATATTTGCGCAAACTTTGTGCATTTTTGCTTCTTCGCGCCGAATGCGTATAGGATATGCATGTATGCGCAATGCGTATCGTTTAAGTCGCTAGATCTTATCGCTCTCGGTTTTATTTCTTTCTTTGTGTATATTTTTCTCCATACGTTTAATCTTTTCCATCTCCATGAACTGCACGAAAGTCAACAGCGAGTCTTTCTCCGCATGAGTTGTTGCGATGCAGAAAGTAGCTTTTTTGAAAATTCCCTTTCTATTTTAGTGCTACGCTATCACGATTCTCTTTTTCAGCCATTCTCCCCCGAGTTCAAGTTGAGAGTCTACTCCAATTCTCGTGACTATCTCTTCTCTCCCATATCCGACCTCGAGCGCTTTGTATTTTTTACTTATTTGCTTCCACTTCAAAGCCTTATTATTTTTACTTGTATTTCTTGACTTATGCTACTTATAGCTTACCTCGATTTCGGATTATTGTTAATAATACATATATGTACTATTGTACGCAAGGTAAAACTGTGGCACACTTACTTGCAGAAGATGTTGAGTTAAACTGAATTATATTTAATGGGTTAAAACTCTAAGACAGAAATTTACTCGATACCAAGATTTTTATAGTGTCACAAGGATGTTGTAAACTTTTTACATGGATTGCTATTCTCGCTGCGAAAATTGTCTCGCAAAGGCGCTCTACGATGATTTTTTTGTTATAAAAAAGGTAATCTTCATCATACTCTATGAAGAAAATGTTTGAAGCTATAGTAAAAATTGTTATATTCTATAAGAGAAAACCACCATAGTAGGACTCTTTAAAACTTTTCCCAGTGAACATAACAATTTTTACTATTGGCTCTCTCTCTTTCTCTCTCTCCGTGCAGAAACTTAACGGCTAGTTAATTTTTTCAATCATTCTCTAGAGCATTGACACCATATTGCTCTGTAGTTAGTCTCCAGGGCCAGCCTTTGAGAGCAATAAAAGTGAAAGTAGAATCCGGAACTTGTTGAAAAAGCCACTTATTGCTGCTGAAAACTTAAAAAATTAATCGTGTCAAATCTATTCAATATGATTTTGATAACACGCTACACACAATAAAGCCTTAGGCTCTGCAAAGTAAAGAAAAAATGGTCGAGTCAAAGTCACATTGAAATTGCCATAAGCTAGTGGTCGCGCAGGAAAGCTCAAGGGTTGCTTATCGACGGGCAGATAGTTTTAACGGGCGCAAGTTGAGAGTTACGTCGGAGGCATCTGGGAAAAAAGTCGCGGCGAAACTCGAGCAGTACAAGATGGACCGGGGGTAGCTCTCCTTGGCGAGCAGATAATCGAGTTTCGCGTGGGAGCACACGTACGCGTCGCATATTACGGCCAGGCCAGAGCCTCGACCCAAAGTTTCCCCGAGCGGATTTCGTATGGCGGCGGCGGCTTCGGCTCCATTTGCCCCGTAATCTGGCCAAGTCTGTGACTTGTGATCGGCACGTGCCACTCGCGGCAGGGGCCATAATGCACACCTCAGCCTATCCACCCTCTTGCCATATACCCACCTGCAGTCTGAGGGCCGACTTTTGCTGCAAGGCCAAGTGCATCGACTCAAAAAATAATTAATTTCATTTTTTATAATATCGATCAATTTTATGATTTTAACAATTTTTCTTTTATGTATAAACTAAGAATTTCATCAGATACATATGTAATGAGTTTTAAATCGTTAAAAGCTCGAAGAATAGGAATTTTCGCTTCTTTTCAAGGTCCTTAACTAATAATTTTTAACTTTATGCTTGCCGTACTATGCATTCCAGAACGCATTATCGTGTATGTTTAAAGGCGTTAATTGATTATTGTTACAATTTTTTCTGAGATCCAAACCAATTAAATTAAAACTTCACCTTTAATGATCTATCGATTATCTATTTTATAAACGCCCAAGCAGGAAATAAGCGTCACAAGTAGCGTACAGAATTGTACATCTCTTACGTTCAGATAAGAACAAAGTAGCATGAATGGGTTCACGTATTATCGAGCGTGACTCTGCTTGGTATAAGTATATGCACAAATATGTTCAATTGATAACATACGAAATGAAACGATTATGAGCACGTGCAAGAGTCCGCTTAAATGAATGACAGCAAAGGAAAAATATTGAAGGGCATAATCATACGTCAACCGACATTGAAAGTGAACAACAATAGTCTTAGCCACAACAATGTGCATCGACGAAAATAGCATTTATATCGGGCAATGTCAAAGATAGCGACATGCGCTTTCCTCTGTTTTTCTGTCAACAAGGGTGAAAAGATATTGACGCATAGAAATGAATTCTTCAAATCAACAAAAGTTGCAAGCATTAACGCATGTAAGAACAGTATATGCGGTGGTCAAAAATCAAGCTCAAGGCAGATCGGTTTCTACAGTTGAGTACGGCGGGGCTATGCCAGAAATCATAAGACTTACAACTATTGTCAAAGGCGAAGCTCTATCTGATCGCATTTGTAACTATCGAGTAAAAGGTATAAGTGTTCTCAAGTGCATTTAAGTGTCGTGGGTAGAAAAACTGAACTGAACATCAGCACTGATTGCTTCAGCAGCTACAATATCCTTAAAGCGTCGTGCCGCTCAGCTGGTAGAGTGTTGATAAGTTCATCAACGTATAACCGGCAACAGCAAGTGTCGCCCTCAACACAACGGTAGTGGCCCACACACGTTCAAGCAACTACGTCACAGAAGATCTTTTAATATAACGACAATTAGTAAGCTTATACCTTGTTGTAAATTATACTTACAACAACGATAATCAATAAATCAGAGAGTGTGCATTAAAAGAGTGAATGAAAATTATTTCAATTGTAAACCTCTCCCTTCTCACTACACTAAAGTTATGAGACAATGGTAAGTTGATTTTATTATAGAAGTAATTGGGATAAGAAAAGGGCTCATTACACGCCTTATATTTAAAATGAAGAAACATTAACTAGATCAAAAGATAATTGGAAATTGGGCATTTTAACGATTTTTACCTTGTTAAATATGTGCCGTCTGGAAAAAAGTCAAGAATAATAATATTTTTCGAATTTATCAAAAATCTAAGATTATTTTTTGTTTTACGAAAAACAATTTTTTATAAAAACTATTTGTTCATCAAAGTTTTCCCGACACTTTCAACAAATCCACCTTTGCCAAATATTCATAATCAGGGGGTCAAAATATATTAAAAAACTGGGTGCAGCCCCTTCACTCCATCAGTTACGAAAACCCTCTGGGTCCCGGACTAGAAGTCATGAAAAAGTATGTATAGTATAAATGCATTCTTCGGAGCTTTGAATTCTGATGCAGAGATGAGAAAAACTTTTTATCGCACGTCACATACTTTCGCAACAGCAACATTACCTATAACAAATTTAAATAAACTTATCCAAGAAAGTTCAGGGGCTCATCGGAATTCCTTACAGTATTGATTTTTTTTCTTGCCTACGTGCTGAATTCGCGATTAATTTTTAGTTGTCTTTTTTTCGAACGATGCACACATGCCAACGAGCATAAACAACCATAGGAGGTTTACACAAAAATAATTAAAAACAATTCTCACTACATGCATAGAATTTTTAAGCATATGAAGTTTAGGAAAATTAAAAAGTCTGTGAGTAAACACATTTTAATTGTATTTTTTGTAGTAATAAGAGAAATATTAAAGTAAAGATTATTTCTCTTACGAAATAAAGTCTTTATGATTAAAAAAAATAATGATAATCATTTTTTTCTTAAATTTATTCATTGAATTTATTTATTGAAAGTTATCAATGAAATTATGTTTTGGCGACACTTTACGGGACCTTATCGAACTCCAAATAAATAATAAACAAGTTACAACAATTCGGTACAATATTAATTTTTTTCACAGACCTACGTGATTGAAATAATATAGAGTATGCATGTTAAAATTTTTTACCCGTATTTTATAGATGGCTTCGTAAGTAAGGTTGTGACTTTTTTGAATCCACGGTAGGGGCATAAATCTTCGATTCATAGTTTACGTTTTAAACATATTCAGAGCGAAATTTATAGTACTATTCACGCCGCAGCTCATATTCGTGCAGTAATATACTTTATGGCGCTATAAGATAGAAACGAGTTACGAGATTTCTTGAACGATTTTTAAAATCACGGAGTTCGGAGTTTTTAGTTCGCTTCGTATCGAACAGCATTTTCTTTTTTTTTTCAGTATTTACGTGGCCGAGGTAATTTTCCATTGCTTGTAATCGAATTATAGCTCAAATGCAGCTTAACGAGGCAGAATGATCAAATTATTGGATTGCTTTTTGGACTCAATGAAAATGTTTCTCCAGCTTTAAAATTGTGAAATGAAAAGGGTGAAACTTTATATTCAATCGGTCAAAAAATATGCTGCGAAAACGACAAAATTTCGAATGGCTCAAGTGGTTAAACAATATTAAATTTATTAATATAATGATTAAATTGATCAATTTTCAAAAGTGAAAAAACAGAATTCAATTAAATAAAATTTTACTTTTTTCAAAAATTGTCGAAAAGTGATAACAATTAACAACCATTATCGAACTTGAATTACCTAAAAATTATTATCATAATTTTCTGGCAAAATTAATAATTAATTTTAATTTATGTAAAAATTTCAAATTTAGTAAAGACAGTTCCCATTCTCTATAACAACAAATAATCTTATAATAGAGGCGCTGTGGTCGTATTTTTGAAGTTTACGTGACTGTTTCTTCTCTCTTGCGTAGTTCACATAATATAAGTCTAACTAATCTGTCTGCAAGAAACCTAAGAAGGACACAGTACTATTTTTACTGCAGTTGTTTTGGCAAAAAATTTTAGATGAACCTAAGCTGGGTATGTAAGATACGACGTTTTTTTTTCTTACACATACACGCGAGTAATACCCTCTTAGATCTCAGTATGTAAACTCACACACGCAGACTTGCTAATATTTGAAGATTGTGCGCAGACTCAGCGGCTCTTGTACAAGTTACTGTTACTGCTTCCGTACTGTCAAGTTTACTGTGGGACGTGTCTAGTCTGCTTAGCTTTTTATTTACAAATGTGGCGGTCATTTCAAAAAAACTTGAATTTATTTCCAACAATAGGTGATTACTCATAATTATAGCATTTATAAACTTAGTTTTTCTCTCACTGCGTTTATGAACTTTTCTAGGAGAAAAGTTTTTAATTATGGTAATATTATAAATTTTAAATTTCCAAATCTCAAAAGAAAGTGGTAATGGTTGTCATAAATAATACGAATAATTGAAAAATTAGATATCATTGTCAAGGTATAGCGTAAAAATATTTTTCATTTTATTTCAACGGAGATTGTTGATTTTGGACGTAAAAAGTTCAGATCACAGCTGTATTTTATGTTTGTTGTTCACTTTGCACATTATCAAGTTTTGCAGCTATTTGCAAATCACAATCCTTTTTATAAATGTGTAGATTTAAATGAAAGTGTAAAAAATTACATCAGTTGACATTAAATGATTTATTTTGTTAATAAAATTTTTCGTATCAACATTAATCTCGAATATAAGTTTAAAAATATCTTTAATAATAACGAAAAAAAACAATATTAATGAAATCGAAAAACCGATTGGAAACTCATTTAAAATTCAAACCAATGGCAACTTTACGTCCGGTTTCGAGAAAATTTATTGGAAATGATACAATTTAAATGGTTTTTTGGGCTCGTTACGCAGGGGGATTGCATCCGTAATGAATGAAATAATCTTCAGCATTGCTATGAGAAGTGATGTGCGGTACACTTCAGTTACACCAACAAAAACTTGTAATTAAGCACAATAAATACCACCAAGTACAGTTCATGTTTCATCTAGCTATGCCAGCGCGGGGGAATATTCCGTAATCACTCGTTAGCCCTTGTATGGCTCTGCAGCGGAAGTTGCAGCTGTATAATCACACGAGTTGCTATTAACTCTTGTAGTTCGCGAATACATTGCCGTAGAAATGCTATCAAGAAGTTACCTGTGAAAATTTTAGCTGATGCGCTCATATTGTCTTTTTTAATCTGCTCCAATTGTTTCTAATTGACTCAATAATTATAGCATTTATGTAATTGTTGTTATTTTTTTCAAATTGTTTCCACTATTGAAATAATTTAATGATCCCTATAGCTACATTTAATTTTTTTTTGTAATCCAACAACTTACGTCAATCCCAAGCGCTAATTTGTAATTTTAAGCGAACAATTGTGTAACAGACAACGAACACAAATTGCCTTTAAAATAATTACCGATAATTGAATTAATCTACTTAGTCTTGAATGTAGAGCTGGTAAAAGACACCAGAGGTTCGGTAATTTTAATATTTAAATTGCTGAAAGTAACAAGTAAAATATGGTGGTTAAAAATATAAATAAGAATCTTTATACATCTCAACGATAATTCAAAAGGTTAGAATATAAAAAATAATTTTCAAGTCAATCGAGGAATTGGATTTTTTTGAGTGAATAAAATGTATTCATCCCGTTCGATACAGTGCCGAGTTCATAAAGTTTTAGATAGTAAGTATAGGGCACACTAAAAAATGTAAAAAGAAGCGGTATATTGAGAGAACGCACTTGAATTTCAATGACTTTGCCTGCAATCGCAATGCTATTCAATATCGATCGATTGCGTACGTACGGAGGCTGCCCTGTGTTGCCTATATAAATTAGGTTTAATCTTTTGCCAGGCCGCTGCTGGTAGTTTGTCAGCTCTTTTAAAGTTGCATGCCGCGCGCTGCGTTCCCGGCGTACACGTACCATACGTTTTGACTCGTGACAAACCCTTTTTCTCTGATGGTTTTGTTTGGCTATTTCAATTTTTCTTCGGCCGCTCGACTTCTTCCCCCTTATTTTGCCTTTTGCCGCCAGCAATTTTTTTTCATTTTCAATGAAACGTTACATGTGTGAATATATCGTTCTCAAGCCCATAAATACGATATACGGCGTTTAAACAACACCCCGCACGCAACAATCAAATGAAGTACCGATGAATATTTTATTCGAGCTTGGACAAATTTTTTTCCTTTTTTCTGATTTTTCTCGAGCGGTGCAATTTCAGCTGGCGCTTTGTAGTATTAACTCCGTTATACGTAGTAAAATGGATATTTCTCATTTGGATTATTGGATTTCATCTTCCGATACTCTATGATAGCTATACGGATTATTCATTCCAAAATTATAAATTCAGAACATTGCCAAAAACTGCAGCATTTCATTTTTCAACCTAATTATCATTTTCATCCAAGCTTATGGATTTAAAATAAATGTTGACTTTAAACAACATAACCAGGAATAAATTACTTTTTGTTTGAAACGAAACGACGCACAGTTTCAGGATTTTAAATTTAAAATGAAAAAAGTACTTATCATTTCTTATTCTATTTTAATATTAGTTTCGTTGTCTTCTCTAAAAGAAGAAGTTTTTAACATATGATGTATGAAAAAATATAATAATAAATCAATAACAGGTTGAAATAAAACATTAATTTATAATTTAATTAAAAATGGATGAACGTTTACCAATAACACCACATAAATACAATTTTTTTTTTAAACAATTATCACAACTCATTTCAATTCAATCGCAATTTTCAATTTAAAAAATAGGTTATTATTGAAAAAAAACTTGGAAACGAGTATTATGTTTATAACGTATTATAATATGCGTTGTATTCCTTTGAATATGAACCATACCTTACTTAAGCTTGGAATGGCTTGAGAACGAATATTATTTACTTGACCAAACTTGGTATCAAATTCATGAAGAGATATCATCTGATTGAGTTCGTAGAGAGACTAGACCATATTAGTACACGTGTTTCTCATGCATAATTGTATTCACAGGAAGTTTAGC